ACGGAAGTGACGGTGCAGCAGAACAAGTTCAAGATATCGCTAAAGGCGCTGGAAGACGAGCTCTTGGCCCGACTGGCCTCCGCTGGGGAGAATGTCCTAGACGATCATGCGCTGGTGATCAATCTGGAGAATACCAAGCGCACCGTGGACGAGATTGAGGCGAAGGTGCGCGAAGCGAGAGTCACCACTCTGCAAATAGATGATACCCGGAACATATATCGATCGGCGGCCAAGCGGGCTGCCATCCTGTATTTTGTGCTCACAGATCTGAGCCGGATCAATCCCATTTACAAGTTCTCTTTGAAGTCCTTCATGCATGTCTTCCGGCAGGCCATTGCCCAGGCCGCCGAGTCTAAGATCTTTGAGCGCCGCGTGCTCCATTTGGTGGACTCCATCACCCTGCAGACATATCGCTACACTTTGCGGGGACTTTTTGAGGCGGACAAGCTGACCTTTACCTCGCACATGACATTGCGCATCCTTATAGCCGCCGAACAAGTGGCCAAGGATGAGACGGACTTCCTGCTGCGCTATCCCCACGATCCGAGCACTCTTTCACCACTGGACTTTGTGGGCCGCAGCGCATGGGGCGGCATCAAGTCACTGACGTTGATTGAGCACTTCTACGGCATTGACAAGGACATGGAGAACTACACGAAGCGGTGGCGCAAGTTCATGAGCAGCGATGCCCCCGAGCGGGAGCAGTTTCCCGGTGAGTGGAAGCACCGCACTCCGCTCCAGAAGCTGTGCATCATCCGTGCGTTGCGTCCCGACCGCATGACCTACGCCATGCGGCAATTCGTGGAGCAGACAATGGGTAAATCCTATGCTGAGGTGCAGACGCCGCCCTTTGGAGCCATTTTCCAGGAACTGAATGCAGCCACACCGGCTTTTTTTATTCTCTCTCCCGGTGTGGATCCCATCCGAGATGTGGAGCGCTACGGGCAACGACAGGGCTTTCACACAGAGTCCGATACTCTGGTCAATATCTCCCTTGGCCAGGGCCAGGAGCTGCTAGCTGAGCAGGCCATTCACCAGGCTTTGGCTTCCGGCCAGCAGTGGGTCATCCTACAGAACATCCATCTGGTGGTCAACTGGTTGCCCACACTGGAGAAGCTCATCGAGCGCATCGTATTGCAGAGTGAGACGGAGGGCGAATCCAGCTTCAGGCTCTTCATCAGCGCCGAGCCAGCTCCGGATCCGCAGTATCATGTAATACCGCAGGGCATCCTGGAGTCCTCGCTGAAGGTGGTCAATGAGCCGCCGTCAGGGATGGCGGCCAACCTGCACAAGGCCTGGGACAACTTCTCGCAGGACGCCTTAGAGACGTGCACACAGGAGGCTGAATTCAAGTCGATTCTGTTCGCTCTGTGCTACTTCCACGCGGTGGCCGGTGAGCGGCGCAAGTTTGGACCGCAGGGCTGGAACAAGGTGTACCCATTTAACATCGGTGACCTGACCATTTCGGCAAGCGTCCTGCACAATTATCTGGAGGGCAGCAACAGGATTCCGTGGGAGGATCTGCGCTACCTGTTTGGCGAGATAATGTACGGCGGACACATCACGGATGACTGGGACCGCCGCCTGTGCCAAACGTATCTGGAGGAGTTGCTCCAGCAGGATCTCATCGATGGGGACTTTGAGCTGTGTCCAAACTTCCCGGCTCCCCCCAATCTCGATTTTGAGGGCTATCACTTGTACATCACGGAGATGCTGCCTGAGGAGAGTCCCCTGCTATATGGACTACATCCGAATGCAGAGATTGGCTTCCTGACCACCGCCTCGGAGCAGCTGCTGCGCACCATCTTTGAGCTGCAGCCACGCGAATCGGAGCTGAGTTCCCATTGTGGGGCACCGCGCGAAGAGCTCGTAAAGATCATGATCGACGACTTCCTGGACAAGCTGCAGGATGAGTTCAATCTTCAGGCACTGCTCAATCGCGTGGAGCGCAAGACACCCTTCGTGGTGGTTGCCCTGCAGGAGTGCGAGCGGATGAACGCACTCATAAGAGAGATCAAACGTTCCCTTCGAGAACTGATGCTGGGATTGCGGGGTGAGCTGACCATCACCCAGGAGATGGAGCGCCTGGATCATGCCATTTTCTACGATCATGTGCCGGGTGCTTGGGCTAGGTTGGCCTATCCTAGCATGCTGGGTCTCCAGGCCTGGTTTGCGGATCTCTTGCACCGGCTCAAGGAGCTGGCCGGCTGGCTGAATGACTTCAAGCTGCCCTGCGCCATCTGGCTGGGTGGACTTTTCAATCCGCAGAGCTTTCTCACAGCCATCATGCAGGAGAGTGCGCGAAAGCATGACCTGCCGCTGGACAGGATGCTAATCAGTTGCGATGTCACCAAGAAGCAGAAGGACGACGTCACGTAAGTAAAGTTTATAAATTTTAAATTTTAAATCAAATCCTTACCTTGGGACAGCCTGCCACCCATGGAAGGTGCCTTTGTCCACGACCTGTATATGGACGGAGCCAGCTGGGATTGCCAGTTGAACTCCATTGTGGCCCTGCGACCCAAGGAGATGCTCTGCGCCATGCCCGTCATCTACATCAAGTCCATTGTCCAGGAGAAGCAGGAGCTGCAGCGTGTCTACGAGTGTCCCCTGTACAAGACAAGGTGGGGGGTTCTCTTCTCATAATTGGTACTTAATATTTGTAAACTAACTTTATTCTGCTCCGTTTTAGGTCTCGTGGTAACACCTACGTCTGGACCTTTAATCTTAAGACCCGGGAACGCCCTTCAAAATGGATTTTAGGAGGAGTAGCACTTCTACTGCAACCATAAATATTGTGTGTTTTAATTTAGTAGCACTTCTACTGCAAACATAAATATTGTGTGTTTTAATTTAATATACATACTTGTAGTATAAATATAATAATCATTAATAAATAACAACATATATATGTGGAACATGCAAATACACATGCTTTTTTTTAATAGATTTCGCCTCATCATTTCGCGTCATTGCCGGAAGGTCGAGTGGCGAGGAAACGCCTTCCCCGATATACCCATAAATATATGACTAATCAATTAGTAGATATTTATAACTTCCAACACACCTATTGACGCGTCACTCGCAGTGCGCAACTCACGTGAACCTGGCGAAATTGTGACGAAACGGAATATATGTATAGCTTATCTAATATTGGGGAAATCATGTGCTGAACCGGCTATCTGTTGCCATGCCAAGTAAGTCACGCACCAGAGAGAGCCAATAAGTTTCTTAAATTCTTCGGAATGAATTTGAGAATTTCTTCGTTCCATTTCATATATGAAGACAACAAAGAATGTGGGTGTGTATGTATGTCAAGGTGTATGGGTGACAGTGCAGTTTTTACTAGTTTCGTCTGTTTTATTTAACTATGATTAGTAATTTATTATGATCAGTAAGTATCTATGACCAGTTAGTATCAATAAACATTAAGTAACTATAATTAGTGATTAACTATGACCAGTAAGTAACTATGATCAGTAAGTATCTATGACCGGTAAGTCTGTATGATAAGTTACTAACTTTGAACACTAATAAACAATGACTTGCAATTTTTGTAACAACACATTTCTGATATTTGGCCGGCAGAAGTCACTTCGTTCCGGGGATATTAGAACTAGTTGGGAATCATATGCATCCATGTGCGTAAGTAACTATGACCAGTAAGTAACTCTGATTAAGTAACTCTGAACAGTAAGTATCTATGACCAGTAAGTAATGTAGCAGGCCAGTTAAGATAAGTATGCTCTGGCCACTCTAATTGAGATGTTACGCTCTCTCAAAGAGAACATGAGAGAGCGACTGGCTAAGAATGGGGGTTGATTGAGTGTTTGCTGAGAGCGGCAGATGACTTGGTGAGAAGATCGGAACGAGAGTAGACGTGTAAAGACAAAAGTGTAAAGACAAGAGTGAAGAAAAGATAAGACCAAGTATAAAAGTTTTAGATTAAATAATAAAGAAACATTAGTAAGAGAAGAAACGAATTAGAAGTGTTTGGAACTAAAAGGCGGCTACAGTAACTATATCAGTAAATATCTAAAGTATCTAAAAGTATGAGTAAGTATCTAAGTATGTAAAGGGGACCATGGTAATAAACATAAAAATTGGAATATAAAGTCTAGACCTAGGCCTGATCATGTCATGGTTAAGACTTACCGCAGTAAAGGACACGTCATTGCTTACTTCCTTCCAGTTAGTGACCAAGAATCCCAGAGAGCTTCTTCCTAGTCATCCAGATGTTTTGAGTTGGCCACGTCATATTTTTGAGGTCGAAGGCTGATCACTTGCACTATCACTATCGATGTAAACACTAGGTACCCCTAGGACAGACTGAGGCGCGCGCGACCTCAGCGCCTCTATTTATAGTCCCCGAGGAAAGAGAAGAGAAGAGAAAGTGAGTGTGAGTGCGCGGGAGAGGGGTTGCCTCTAGAGATCAACATAAAGCGATAGACATAGAAAAAGAGAGGGAGAGGCAGAGAGAAACAGCGAGCTATTTAATTTAACTAGAACTATAACTAACTATAATTTAAGCTATTTGAATGAAACTATGGAGTTATTCTTCTATATTATTTAGTATAGTACATATATAAGTCGGACCGAGGCCAATCGGTGGACTATATATATACATATATATAGCTGCCATAGGAACGATCGGAAAATTTTAGGAAAAAAAATTATAGCTTTTGCAGTTTTCAACAGATGTTCAAATTTGATATATAGCCATTATACATTAATCTAGAATTTTGTGTGAAATTTTATAAAAATCTGACTACAATATCATGTTGCTGCCATACAAACGATCGTTATAGAGGAAAATGAAGGTGAATGAAATGATAGCAGCCATAGCTTTATTGTTTTTTAGCACAGTGTTAGTTAGTTTTAACAGGCCAAGTGAGCCTGGAATCCTTTTCTTTATATTCACATTCACAAGTTTCACATTTTGATGGCTAATGAGTCCCTTGCTACGTATACGTAATATTTCATCAAAATATACACATTGCGTATACGCCTCCTTTAGCTTTGCTACAAATGCAATCAATTTAAAAGCGTGGCCCAGCTACTAACTATGCACGTTATTAAAATTTTGAAAGTATTATCGCTAACTTTCTTTGATTTCAGTGACTGAAATTCTGAAGCTTTTGAAGTACCTTGAGGCCCTCTTCCTGATACTCCTGCTTGGATATCCAAAAACCGTCGCGATCCTTTGCCACTTCCGCAAGAACAGCACCACCAATAAAGACCATTTCCTTGCGTCGTGGCGGATCCTCGATACGTATTTTAAATTTCGACAGCTTTTCCGTATCGTTCTTAAGTACACGCTCCAAGTACAGCTGCTTGATCTCTCGCTCCAGACGACTGGGTAGACCCGGATACATGGTGGAGCCGCCGGACAGCACAATGTGCCTGTAGAGCTCCGAACGGATATCAATGTCCGCCGACTGGATGGTGTTAAAGACAAGTTCCGCAATGCCCGGCCCCTCGACGTTAACTAAATGCGGCTGAAAGAGAGCTTCCGGGGCCGCGAATCGTTCACCACCGACCCTGATCACACGTCCATCGGGCAGTGTGTAGGACTCCACCAGCACCGTGGTCTCCAGGGCCAGACGCTGCTCCATCTCGATATCGTATCCGATGTAGCAGAGCTTCTCCTTCAGAATGCGCACCGTTTCAAAATCAGCCGAGTGGTTGAAGGCATAGCCACGACTCAACAATAACTTAGTCAAGTAGTGGGTAATATCGCGACCTGCGATTTCCAATCGTCGCGTCAAATGGGACAGGGAATACTCCTGATAGACGGGACATATATGGGTTACACCATCGCCGGAGTCAATCACCACACCAGTGACCAAACCTTGGGCATATAGCGTCAGCACGGCCTGGATGGCAATGTAAGCAGAGTCGAAGCCATACTTCTCGAACATCACTTCAATCATTTTCTCGCGGTTCTTCGTGGGATTCATTGGCGGCTCTGTCAGCAGGATCTTTGTATTTGTCGGATCGATATTCATCTTCTTGGAGCCGAACGTGTAGTCCCACACGTGGCACATATCCTCCCAATTCCGGACCACGCCCTTTTCCATTGGATAGGTTAAGTCCAGCAGGGAACGCAGCTGTGAGGCTTCATCGCCGACTATCACATCGGCGATATGCAAATCCCTGACTGCCATGTCGTCGATACTGTTTCCCGCCCGGATAATGGGCCGTCCCACCACGGATGGAAAAACAAAGGCGGGAAAATTGCTGCCGGCATATCCACACTTGATGAACCCTGACCCATTGTCACAGACGATGACATTGCGACCCTTGCTGTCCATGTCTTCAGAGCTCAAACTGAAGCTGCAGTTCCTTTTGCTCTGAACTTCTTGTGTATGAGTGTTAAAGTGTTCCTCTAATATTTTGCCAAACTATTTGTCATTTTATGATATATAGTTTTATACATGTAAAATAAATTAATCATGTATCTATATATATAAAATGCTCTGTTCGTGTCTACATCCTTCATAGACTCGAAAAGTTCTGAACCGTTTAAGCCCAAATTTTTACACAACATGCGTTGAGGTTCCAGCTCGGTTATTGACTACTTTTGATGTTGATAGCTTATCTGCGGTGGCGAATATATCTATTTTTTTTGCGTTTCCCCGTGCCCCTACTGCTGCGCCATCTACAGGCAGCCAGCTGAATCAAAGCATTTCCTGTCAAACATTCAAAACATATTGAAAGAAGAAACTTGAAAAGTTCTGAGCCGTTTATGCCCAAATTTTTAGAGAACATGCGTTGAGGTTCCAGCTCGGTTATTGACTACTTTTGATGTTGATAGCTTATCTGCGGTTGCGAATATATCTATTTTTTTAGCGTTTCCCGTGCCCCTACTACTGCGCCCTCTACAAGCAAATCAAAGCATTTCCTGTCAAACATTAAAAACATATTGAAAGAAGAAATTGGAGATACAAATTTTATTTTTTGTTCAGGTTCAGTAAGAAACGAAGTCATGCCACCAAAGAAGTCGAGATTGGGTCGTCGTATTCGCAATACAGAAGCAAAAAGACGTAAGATTACGAATATGACTGACGAAGAACGGGCCTCCATCCGAGAGACGCGGCTGCGCGATGAACTTTTACTCATACAGGTTAATGGTTCGGAGGACCGATTGCAATCATATATTGAAATGTCGTCAGTTGTTTCATCAGTACATTGTCGATATGTATGCAAAAATTGAAACAACGTTTGCTGTTCCTCCGATTGAATCAGAAGAAACTTCGGTCCGAGGAATATATCCATTTGCGGGATGCTGTGATGAATGACCGTAATACAACCAGCGTTGGAAAGCTCACGATTTTGCCATCCTCATACATAGGTAGTCCACGCCACATGCATGAATATGCTCAAGATGCCATGGCATATGTTCGTTGCTACGGCCGTCCAAATTTATTTATCACCTTTACATGCAATTCAGCTTGGGACGAGATAGTACAGTATTTCCTGGACAATCATATAGGGATAGGCATGACATCACAGCCCGTGTTTTCAGACAAAAGCTCAAGTCACTGATGGATTTCATTGTGAAACATCGAGTTTTTGAATCTGTGCGGTGGTAGAATGGCAGAAGAGAGGATTGCCGCATGCGCACATACTGATTTGGCTGTATGATAAAATTTCTCCAGACGAAATTGACAATGTGATATGCGCTGAGATTCCACGGGCAGAGGTTGATACAGATTTGCATGCAGTTGTCATCAAGAACATGATCCATGGCCCATGTGGTACCCTCAACCGAAGTTCACCAAGCATGGTAGACGGGAAGTGTTTCAAGCGATATCCTCGAGCATTTACAGCCAACACCGTAACAGGGGAAGATGGATATCCTCTGTATAGGAGACGGTCAACTGAAGATGGAGGGACTTCGGCAACTTTAAACATGAGAATTGGTGATATTGAGGTAGACAATCGTTGGGTGGTTCACCACTATTGTCAAAATCATACAAAGCGCACATCAACGTAGAATATTGCAATTCCGTGAAATCGATTAAATATATCTGCAAGTACGTGAATAAAGGCAGCGATATGGCAGTTTTTGGTGTTCAGGCAGAAAATGGTGACAGCAATGCAGTACGAGTTGTCGATGAAATATCTCAATACCAGGCTGGAAGATACATAAGCAGCAACGAGGTTGCATGGAGAATTTTTTCGTTCCCCATTCATGAACGCTATCCAGCTTTAGTTCACTTGGCAGTCTATTTGGAGAATGGTCAACGTATCTATTTCACAGAAAGAAATGTGCAAGAAAGAGTCCTGAATCCGCCAGCGACAACTCTGACTGCCTTCTTCACCTTATGCCAGGAAGATGATTTTGCCGGAACATTGATGTATTCAGAAGTGCCCTCTTAACCACAATATGCCACAGAGAAACGTGGCAGGGTACAGCTAGTATTCAAATAAAAATATAATATATATGGGGTAACTATGAAGCAAAAGGCAAAATGATGTCAACAATATTTCGTTGTCTCATTGTGACGTCTCCAATAAAATTTATTTAAAAATAGGCATCGAATGAGATTGAAAAGATAAAGCTTGGTCAACATTTAATACGGAATATTTCAGTGACGACATGGGAATTAAATATTTGAAACATTCCTCAGGGCAGACTGAAATAATTCCATTAAGAATATGACTTTTTTTGAGATAATTCAGTCGTCTTCATGAAATTCTAAAAGCTAATTATGAAATATGCCCGCTTAAGTCAAGTGACGACTAACCAAAGTCCAGAAAACGCTTGACGATAGGAATTTCTAGACACTGTAGGTTTTATAAAGTATTTTGAGCTTAATAATGAGCAATCATAAATCTATTTTTAAGATGTTTCATGACTATTAAGATTACAACAAATTATTTCCCTGGAATATGGCTTAGTTTGTATAACTTTTTGTAACATTGTATGAATTAAATCCCCTTTTAAGAGTGTGATTTTTATAGAAATGTGTAAATAAAATTTGTAATAATTATATTATATATGTCTCATTATTAGCTATAAATATAAATGTATGTAAATATTTCCCTTAAATGTTACTAATTTCTTTAAAGTTCAAATGGCATTTAATTCATAGAATGTTCCAACTCATCTACGAACTATTCCCCCATTGATTTATTGGAAAACTAAGCTAGACCGCAAGCGATCGTGTGTTTTTATAGAAATACCTCAACACGTCGAGCATGTCTTGGTCTCCAGACCGGCATGCTCCGTCCGTCATCCGGCGACTTTGACCACCAGCTGCCCACGTGCGTGCATAATCGCCAGACTGACGTAATCGGCAGACCGATTCCAGTTCACTTGCTCCGCTCTCCGCCGATCGCCATGAGGCCCCTGCCACCGGGCAATCACGTGAATAGCTAATATACTCGTAATACTCGTAATTGTTAGTGCAATCAATGAAAGTCTTACGCGCCTCCGGAACCCGAGCCCGCTCAGCGTCTGGATGATTAGAGCTACTTGGGCCATTAGGTGATAAGGTGTTGTTGCTGGCATTTGCCTTTACGATTCGCGGAAAGGTGACACACACCACCCGCCAGGGGAAAGTTACTGACTAGCGTATAGAAAATCGGTGGGGGCTCGTCACCGGGGCCACACGGCGGCTGCGTGATCTGGCTGATATAGTTACTAGAACCCACTAACCAGCTGCTAACGAGCTTGGCCCCCAACGAATGGGGTTTATTGACTGATACTTAGTTGTAGTTAATTATATATACACATATATGCATTTGTTAACATTTTCCTTTGACGTCAAAGGGGATGAGCCTTTAACCTTAGCCCCCTAAAATGTAGGGAGAAATCTATTCCCAAAATTGTACGTCAATTTGCCATAAGTTGTTACACAGAGAAATATTACTACGAGTGTTCGGGTATCGAAAAATTTAATTTACAAACTTAATTAGCTTGATAAGATTGAGTGGTAATTGTGATTATTATTCTAATTGAAGAAAAAAATATATTTTATTTAGTTGGCTTTTTGTATCCTTCATTTTTTGAGTATTAATAAACGTTTAATCATTATTTTTATAATTTTCCCCAGTGTGTTTAGCAGTGCTCTAACCTGAGGAGAGCCCCTTACCTAATTGTTTCATCAAATGTTTGTATTCGTTTTATTTTTCGTGCGAAATATATGGCTGTCTGGGTCTGTATGGTCAACTCTCGCACCGGGAGTATTCCCCGGCCACGAAGGCTGCACGTGACAGCTAATGGTGCGAGCTGCTTCGGAGACACCTCCACACAACCCCACCGTGGGGCCCTCCTCAAGATCAGGGAGGGCTTTGCACATAGATAAAAAAAAGCGCTCGTTGCCCCGAACCAGACAATTCCAACAGAAGTCGGAACGGACGCTATCGCCGACGTCGACGCCTCGTCCGGCGGAAAAGTATTTAAGCGAGAAATGATTGGGTATGACAAATCAGAAGTGAAATAAGTGAGCAACAGCAAGCAACAGGCTGCCAGCCGAAAAAAAAAAAAAAAAACAGCACTAAAAAAAGCATCTAAGAAATAGCTCAAGGTAAGAAGTAAGGGAATTTTAATTCACAAAAAATATTTGGCACACTTGGTCTTGCCAAGAAATATAGTAAATTTATATGCCCGCTGATCACGCTCAGTCAACGTGAACTAACCCCCAGTTCCGGTTACGTTTGCAGAATCCGAGACACGTCGAAGAAATCGAAGGAATGGCCACCGCATCAGCTCATCTGCCCATCCAGAAGCGCCAGTCGTACGCGCACAACGGTGAGCCCGGCTGCCAGGGACTGGACGAGGTAAACCGCATGTTCCGTAACTTTTGGGACCCGACGGCCTACTGGGTGTGCGATAAGCAGGGCACTCGCGCCCGCCTCCAGCGCTGTCCCCAGTCGCAGCTGTACTCCGAGGAGCTGGGCCGCTGCATTCCCTACACGGACTGGTCCTGGACGGACCCCAAGGAGCCGCCAAGTCGGCCCAAGAACAGCCAGTCGGTTTCGACCAAACAGTGATATTTTGCTCTTAATTTAAATTCTACTCTCTAAGACACAAACAACCTCAATAGGCTTACGTTTTATGTTTACAAAATACCTTTATTTTTTAAATGAAAATAAGAACAATATCAGTACAAAAATGAAGAGTTGCTCGTGTTCAACAATTTGAGGGCATTGTTTACTTTAAATCTTAACTACAATGGAAATGCACGCTTCCGGCAGGACTAAAGGGAGTGGAATGTATCGAGTGCTAAAGCGAAACAAAATTATATGCGAGAGGCATATAAAGCGCTGCCTGCGCCCCTTTGTAGGATGGGGATCATCCGAGGCGCTGCTATGCTTCCCGGCTAGTCAGTACATTTAGCTACATATTTGGACTAATGACTGAAGTTTAGGGAATGTTAAACCAGTTACTATGATGGATATCCCCCGAAAATATAACTGAGATGCTGGAGAAGAAAAAGAGGATACAATAGATAATAGAATAACCGAATTTCGCGTTTGGGAATATCCCACGTTAATATTCTGTCTAGAGCTCCACGTTGACGCCCTGCTTGTTGATGACCTTCAGCTTTTCCTTCTTTGGCGGCTGGGTGTCCGAGGCAATGGGCTCCTCCACGGGCGCTGGCTTTTCTGGCACTGTGCGCTTGGTGGTCGTTGTAGCCGGCTTTGGCGTAGTGGTGGTCGTCGTCGTCGTCGTCGTCGTTGTGGTGGGTGGCTTGGTTGTTGGTGGCTTAGTCGTTGGTGGCTTGGTTGATGGTGGCTTAGTCGTTGGTGGCTTAGTCGTGGTGGTGGTGGTAGTGGTTGGCTTCTGAGTAGTCGTTGTTGTGGGTTTTGGCGTGGTACTGGGCTTTGGCGTCGTTGTGGTGGTTGTCGCCTTGGGCTTCGGCGTGGTTGTTGCGCTTGGTGGTGGTGCACCAATAGAAGCCTCCAAACCATCACCCTCGACGCGAACGTTACGCACCTTGATTGTGGGCTGCTTGGACTTTGGAGACTTCACGCGCGCCACATACTGGTTGCTGGGAGAGCCCAGGAAAAGGAAGTCCTGGAACTCCAGAACGTGCGAAACGGAGGAGGCCACTTTATCGAAGCCGTGCAGGGAGCCCACAATGTTGCCGTTCCAGTCCACGCGTACCACAGTGGTTCGCTTGGGGGCTAGCACAGTAATGCTCTCCATGTGACCCACGAAGTGAACAAAGCGCTGCGAGAACTTGTTCGGATAGACGCTGTTCAGGTAGCGGAAGGGCAACTCGAACAGGGCCAGCATACGGGCCAAGAACAAACGAACACTGGGGAAGCGCGTGAAAATCGTGGCCCCGTTCGGATGTTCGCTATCGGTGCTGAGGACCAGTGGAACCCAAATTCCCTCGGCGTCGGGAGTTAGGTTGTCGGGCAATCCTGGCAATCCATCTACGAACACCTCGCTCTGGCCGGCCTTAGGGCCCTTCAGATGGTACTTGGTCAGGCGCAAGGCGGCCGTCTCGGCCACGACAAGGAAGTCCTCGTTGGGGCTGATAACCACACCGTTGGCAAAGACCAATTCATCCAGCAGCACCTGGCTCACATTCTTCGATCGATCGTATTTGAAAAGACTGGAAGGGAGAAGAGGAGAAGAAAGCAGGGACCGTTAGAGTGACCATTAGACCCGTTCAACCCGAAACCGGTTTTGCGTTCGTATTACACTCTAGCGTCTGTAATTCGAAACAATTCGTCGGGGTTTTGGATAACTATTTGGTGAAGGGAATAGAGTATTCAGTGAAACTAATATTGCCATTTAAATTCCCTTTTAACTATGAAATATTCGTAGAAAAATAATAAAATAATAAATACAAATATCTTTTGTTAGCTAACCAAAATTAAGAGTAAGTTAAATTTCGTTAAAGATAAAAATTAATTTAAATATTGCCGTAATCTACCCAATTTGTATCTGAACCATTGCATTTGCATTCAAATCAATTCCCTTCTTAACTTAGAATCTTTTAAGCTTTCAAGAAATGAATTTAAGTTGAACTAATAACACACTCTGGTTTCCAATATAATAATAAATAGCTGACTTCAAGGTATTAAAGTTAGTTTTAAGGAAGCTCTGCTGTAATTAAGATTCTTCTATAATTCGCGATGAACTCACCGGCCCGAGGGGTTACTAAAGATGGCAAAGACCAGGTCTTCGATGGTGAAGTCAGACGAGGAGTCTGTCCAGTAGATGTCTCCCTGTTTACTGACCGCCACACCATTGAAAATCTTGGCGGGGCGATTGATGGACTTTCCAGCAAGCTCCTGGGCCGGGGACACCAGCAAAGTCTTCTTGTTCGTGCCCAGGTCCACCTGCCATAGGCCGTAGTAGGCGTCGGCGATAATGAGGTTGTTGCCCTGCGTATCAAAGGCCAATCCCAGAGGACGACCGCACCTCGACTCCTCATAAATGTCTTCTGTAAAGGGGGAGGCATTACTAACTGATAGACTCTTGTTTAATAACCCAAATACGCACCACAGGGCTGGCCGATCTTAGTGACATGAGTGACATGGTTGCTGGTTAGCTTGATGACCTCACCGCCATGGATGCCGGTATAGATCTCGTTGTTACGGGCTATCAGGCACTCAGGGCCGTACACACGCCCCTCCAGCAATCGCTCGGCGCCTTCCAGGTGAAAGTTCGGCTCCAAAGCGCCCTTCAGCTCCTTGGGTGGCGGCACACTGGTGGGGCGGGAATACGTTCGGAGATTAGAACGCTTATTACGTCAATTGTAGCCGTAATACAACTTACATGAACTCCTTGAAGGGGAAGGTGGTGCGCGGCGGCAGACCGGGCAGCATTATGATAATGAGGAAAAATACCATGAAGTTCATGATCCTAAGACCCAGCCCGTACAGAAGGCCCATGATTGCTTCGTTCTCTATCCACCGATCACAAAATATAGACCAAAAGAAACGGTTTTCAAGCAATATCACCAAGAAAAAGCGACACGACGGCAAAGTTCAATCAGAAAACACAAAAGTCATCATCGGAGCCGGTAGAGCTGGCCAAAACATCGATTACCACATCGTTCGGTAAAATCAAAATGAACTCCACTCTAACACTCTCCTACAAAGAATTACAATTCTTGGCTTTGTTAGCTTGGGTTTTAATGCAGATTTAATCATCACAACTAATACAATTATTTATTTATAAATACATTTTTTTGAATAACGAATATACCTTAAATTGCATAATGTTGACATATGAAGATGAATAAACCTGAGTATGACCGTAACCGTTTCGGAGAAGGTATGTTTTCGATATCAGGCAACGGTCACACGGCTGCTGCTGGTGTGTTTTTGTTTTGGGAATTCTTCGCAACGTCGCAGTTTTGGAAATGAGTGATAATAACAACACGGCTGGCAGTAAGGACGACGCCTTTAGCATGGACCACGACCAGGACCTGAGCAGCAAGCATTACTCGCGTTGCAGCAGCGCGGGCAGCACGCACACGCCCAACTCCTCGGCGCACAATTCAGGTAAATACATATGCATGCGGAGCTGTCACGCTGGCCAGGAGTGTTGTGGAGTGGGGCGGAGTGGGGGTCAGCTGATAAAGCTGGCATTGAATTTCTCAGATTATCAGCAGCAGCGTTTTATTACATTTTGTTCCCCATTGCTCTGTCTCACGCTCCCGCAGACGACGACGATGACAGCGGCGGCGATGCCCGACACTCGGCCGCGGCCAACTCGACGCTGAGCTACAAGGAGCGAAGGCGGGAGGCGCACACACAGGCGGAACAGAAACGGCGGGACGCGATAAAGAAGGGATACGATAGCCTGCAGGAGCTGGTGCCACGCTGCCAGCCCAACGACTCCTCCGGCTACAAGCTGAGCAAGGCCCTTATCCTACAGAAATCTATTGAGTACATTGGCTACCTCAACCAGCAGAAGCTCAAGCAGGAAGAAGAGGGTTCAGCGCTGCAAAAGGAGGTGACAGCGTTGCGGATTATTAAGAACGGCTACGAGAATATGCTGCAGCACCAGCAGGCGAACCCCGGGCCGGAGGAAGCTCGCCTCACCGACGAGGCCAAGTTCCAAGTGGTTAGTATTAGGTTTTACTATCAACCTTCCGCTCTAAAGAATCTGCTTCCTCTTTCACCAGTTCCAGGCCATCATGGAGGAAATGTTTGAGACATTCCAGCATATACCCATGGACAACTTCAAGCAGCTGACCACCGGCATTATTCCCTGGCTAGAGGAGCACTGCAAGCCGCACATTCTGCGGAACATCCTTAGTCGCACGCTGCAGCAGATGGCCCAAGAGGCCCAGGAGAAGCAGCAGCAGGCAATGATGGAACAAGAGAGTGGCGAGGGCTTCAGTTGATCTCGCAATGGTGGGTTTTGGGTTCATTCATTCGTTATTTCATAGGTTCTTTCGTTTCCGTTTCGTTTACTGCGTACAAAAACATTAAATGCGTCATTTAAATAGTTGTAAAAGCTGAAAGATTGCTACATTTTTGGCTTAATACTACTTTAGATTAGATAAAAAACTACATTTCACTACTGTGAGCCAAGTGTCTCCGCCAGGGAGGCTTTAGTCACGGTATCACCCAGCATCTTCAGCAGTTCATTTAGCACGTCTCGGGTATATGGTTTAAAGCGACTCACTCGCTCCTTCGTCACGTCCAGTGATGTCAGGAGCTCCTCAAAGAACTCCTTCAGACGTTGCTCAGCCCAAACATGCCGTGCTTCGTGCCGGAGCTTTTGCACACCCGACGTCAGAGTATAGATCAGTCCCTCGTAAAAGTTCTCCTCGTCGAGACGGGCAGCCAGTTTGGCGCTGGTCAGCAGAACCGCTGGCAAATCGCAGCGGAACTCATGCGAGCGAACAAAGCAAGTGGCTGCCAATTGGCGTACTTGGTCACATTTATGGCGCAAAAGCCGCCAGCTTAGGCGACGAAAACGAAGTAGCAAAGGGCTGGGATCCCTGCCGCCCGAGGTACGCAGGTGCTCCACCTTGGATAAGAAGGCCAGGAACAGGATGATCGATGAGGTAACCTCTTGACGATCACAGCATTCCAGCATATGTTCGCAGGCCTTGGGCAAGAGGCAGCCCAGCTCATCGTAATCCAATTCGCTAGGTTCCCATGTGGGACGCGACTCAAACTCCGTGGCCTGACGCTGACCGACCAACTTGCCCAGACTGGCGCCAAACAGCTGAAGCGCCGCATTCGAGATGGTCCACTCGGCGTTGTCAATGTGTTCCATAGCCACCAACAGAATCTCATTGTAGTACTTGCTCATCGCCGGTCTCAGTTCCGTGTCGCGCACCAAAACGCAGAGATAGTGCAGCACCAGAGCTTCCCAGCGATCATGATTGCTGCTGTCCGGAGGCGTATTCTCCGCCAGACGCTTATCGTTTAGCCTCTTGAGTATCTGCTGCACTGCTCGGTGCAGGATCACACGCTGCCGCGGATTGTCGTTCTTGAGGACGTGTAGGAACATAATGGCAAAGCCAGCGCCACGCCGCGTGGTGCTCACCTGCCGGCTCTCTGTCAGCAGTTCTCGTTCCAGACAATCGTAAAGCATTTGGAAACCAGCATCCTGGCTCTCCAAGGTGTTGGTGATCCCACGGGTCAGTCTACCTATGCTTAGACCGGCAGACTCAATAGCACCCTTGTGACGGCATAGCGTCAGTACCGATACGTTGATGTCGAGACAGCGGCGCAGGGCAACGATATTCACGGTGGCAGTGGATTGAAGCAGGGAACAGCCAATGCTGGTAGCCAGATCGCAACAGCCCTAGACAGATTTAGAAATTAATATCAGTTCTTAAAAAAAATCGTTTTATGAGCGACTCACCTTCAATGTCAGCCAGAAACTCATCAGCAAATACTTCCGCCACGCCTCTGCCCCTTCTCCGGCCTTCAAGGAGCTCTCGTTGACTAGTAGATGCAGACTCTCGTCCATGTCCTGGAAGCTGGCTGCGGTGGCAGCCGTTTCATCCTGTCGTCGGGCATTGGCCAAATTGAGAAACTTCAAGATGCCACTAAGAATGCGCTCCAGCAGCGGCAACAGATCCTCCAGAGGCGTCTGCAATTCTGGCACTCCTGACCGCACCACCTCGTCCAGTCCACGAAGGTACCCAAAGAGATGACCTCCAGCCTTGGCCGCAAGCAGAGGATCCTCCATGTATGATTGCAGTTTTTCTTGTAGCCCCTTGAGGCACACGTCGAATAATTTCTTGGCTGAATCCTGTTTTACCACCGCCAACTGAGAGTAGAGTGACACGAGTGAACATTCATCCACATCTGAGTTGTGGCACAGGCTAAGACATCGCTCCACACACAGCTCGGTATCCACGTGCCCCAACTGAATCAGTAGGGAGACCGTTAACTCTAAGGCATCATCGAAGCCCTGAGGATCGTTGAGGGACTCAAAAAGCTGCTTGGTTACCACCTGAGGCCGAAAGACGCCAAGCTCCAGAAGGAACGTGCCCATTCGTTGGTTCTGCTGGGTGCTGCACATCTTGGCATTCTTCGTTACGTTTTCGGCGTACAAAGACCTGTTCAGGATCTCTAGCAACTTGAGAGCAAATATCTTGGGCTGGTAGACCTCGCTCTTGATGTCGCGCTCGATGAGTTCCTGCAAGTGCGAAAAGAATCGCTTAATATTCACCGACAGGCCATCGCCTCCGGTCTTAAGCGCCCTATGGAAATGCTTGGCAGTGTGGTTGATGATGGTAGGTATCTTGCCCAGCATCGTGTTCCGGAACTCTGAACTCTCGACGCCACGATGCCGATCGACGAAGCTGTGAAAGAACTCCAGGCAATCTTCGACCGCAAAGTTGGCCAGGTTGTCGACCAGAAAGCGGAACACTAGCAGCTGGGCCTCAGTTTCCAATTGGCTACAGTTGGTCAGCAGCTCTGTGCTGATTTTGAAGAAATGCAACTTAGAGGCGGCATAAATCTCTTTTGCGAACATACTAAAGATCAAGATGAGGCGCAACTGATCCGCCGGTGACCTTAAATCTTCGGAGCAGCCCAAAAACTCAACGATCTGTGGGTTGGCTTGGAGGAGCTCGAACAACACATCGCGTTGCTGGATCCGGAGGAACCATTGGGAATGAAAATTCTGGATCTCGGCAACACTGCCGCTGACCAACAGCTCCACACTGGCTGCAAGTAGTGCTGGTGAGCACTGATTGCTTAGGCTCTTCACCGGATACTGGCTGGCAGCCCTCAAACCCTTGTAGCTTAAGCTGAGGCGCAGACCGTTGAAAAACTCCGCCTCGCTTTGGTTAGTGGTTGCCAGAAGCTCGGGCAATGGGTGCGAATTGAGGATGCCGCTTAGCAGGTAGTACTTGTTGCGATTGGTCCAAGGCCAGAATTCTGCGATCAACCGGAAGTATGAAAATGCCCGTTCCTGCTGCTTACAGCAATGATTGTAAAGCGTCAGCGCCTCTTCTCGGGATCCAGTCTGGTTCTGGCGCTGAAGGCAGTGGTAGAAATGCTCAAGTCGCAGCGCTAACAACTCTAGTCGTGGAAACTTCTTCACCAAGAGATTGGTCGCCTTAAGCACGGCCATCAAACTGGGGCTGTTCCGTATAAGTGCTTCAATTATGGCTGTTGTGCACTTCCCCTCTAGCAGGTCAGCATCCAGTTGCTTCCAATGGTCGGTGAGCAATACGGACTGGAGCATGAGGAAACCACTGGCCTGTTCGCAAGACAACCGCTTTGGGAGATCCCTGAAGTGGGTATCCTTCAGCTCATACTTGTGTACTATGTGGTAGTACACACGGAAGCTGACGTTCAGGGCGGCTTGGTTGGCGCCGCCGCACGTGTCTCCCTGCATAGCCTCCGCCTCCTCCTCTTCCGCCCGTATTCGCTGGGCCAGCTGCAGGGCGGCGTCCTCCGGCAAGACATCTCCCAGGCTCTGGATAACCAATAGAGCTGTTAGATTTGGGAAGTATTTGGCGTTATGGCTCACCTGCAGGTAGGACAGACAGTCGCTGTGGCCGATTTTCGGGGGTTTTTTGCCAGACACAGCCATACCCAACCGTTTTCGCGAGGGGTGGACAACAACAATCGATTAATCGGCCAGGGATACGCGAAGCCGGCTCTTCTTTTGCAGTTCGATGATTGTGCAGTAAAAAATATATCGAAACGTAACGGTTCATATTCAAATCTTAAGTTCGAAAATATGAAAGTATTGATTTGTATGGGTATTTATAACGGACATCTTTCAGAAAATAGCGGTGTCTTCTTTGAAAACTGTTTATAATCAGTATATAAGTTATTGTCCTATGTCTTATCATCTCGAGCTTGGAATATATAATATTCACAAAAGCCAACATACAGGATATTTCCATTCCTTTTGCTTTCCCTCAAATATCTGTATCCATTAATTATTATTATTCTAATTGATAATTTAATGATCAGCAAAGGCGAGGCAAATAGACAATAGAGTATTTATGAAACTCTTCAATAAGTTTTAATAAAAAAGAGGGTTATATATCAACGAAGTTCCATTTTTTCTAAAAACTGTGCATATTAACGTAAACAGGTTACAAGATTATGCTACGATATAAAAATCAGAAGCGAAAAAGAGCTAAGAACTGTAAAAATGTGTTAATTCCGATTGAGAGTAACTATGAAATGAAAAAAAACCTGTACTAAGAGATTATTTTAGCCATCGGAGAGAAGAAAATTAGAGATTGCACTTTAGAGCTGCCGCGTCTGTCAATTTTCCTGCTTTCTTTTTGTTTTCTTTCGCACAGAACTTTTTATTCATTCCAAGCTCGATATTATATACATATATTATTATACATCCATAAAGTAAGTACTTGTGTGAGTGTTCTACATTGCAGTGCATATGTCGTGTGTAAGTATGTGTCATACTTTTCATTCATTTTTTTTTATATTATAACTCAGATAATTCGTGCGCTTTTCGCTCGGTATTCGTGCGATGCGTAATTCGTGCAGATGCGAAAGGTTTTTCCGCATTTTCCCAGCGCCACACTGCCGCGCTGCCCATCCATATCCATGGAGTTGGGTTCAAGTTTCCTGTTCTGGCACCTCCAATTCGAACTCGAATTTCGGAATCCGCGACGGCACATTTTTCGGGTCCGCTCAATACTTGTAAATCTAGTTTCGACTTCGCCACATAGCTGACAGATACAAGGTACTAAGAAACTCAGTTCTCATTCTCAGCTTCGCATCTGCCACCCCGAGTCTTAAGGAAGCTCGCTTGGCAGACGAATGGGAGTATTTTGAAGCAAGTACAAGTATTCAGCGATTGTTTTTGCATTTCTATGTACATATACTTTGTCGAAAAAGGGTTGCTGCTGCTCACCTGTGCACAGGTTTTTTTAAAACGCAAATTATCCCGATAGGGACGGTTGGGAGTAATATCTGCGTATCGGTTTTTACAGTGTCCCATCGATGTGGTGAACGTAGAAATATGATATGATTACTTTTTGTGGAATTTGATATCTGCACTGTTTAATCCAAAAGAAGACAGGCAAAAAACAATCGGTGCCTAAATTTTTCCATCAAAAAAAGCTTCTGACAAGCTTTGTTATTTATTGCATAAAACTATAGTATTTAGAGCGCTACCAGAGGCAAGTTTCATATTAAATTACAGTAGAAATTCTATAACTAAGTCCACTAGAAAAAAACAAGATCGAACATTAAAAAAAAATACAACTATATATACATACAAAATTTGTTTGATTTATTGGTTTAAAAAATTGTGACATAATTGAAACATAATAAATATTTTCAAAAAATTTGTTTTTGTATAAGAAAGAATCAGATACAAATTAAAACTTAAAATATTGCAAGTTAAATAATAAATAATACATTCTAATAGTAAAACCTGTAAACCAAACCACTCATGTCCTCTTTCGAAAACGGAAGTGCGACTGACGTTCGATTCAAACTGAATGGCAATGCCACGACGAAAAAACAGAAAAAGTTGAAAAATCATTATCCGAGCGATTTCAACTCGTGTATGCTATGTACGGCTAGGTTTGAGTGGTGTGTGTGCGCAAACCCATAAATTTATATTTCCCGAAATAACCCCGTTCTTGAAAAAAGAGCGAAGTAAAAAACGCAAACAGCCACAAAAAAAGCTAAATGGAAGGGAAAGAAGAAAAGGCAAAAAAAGCAAAAAATAATAGGCAACTGTCTCTCCGGCAATCTCTCGCAATCTCAAAAACAACTAGCGACCATAACCATTATTTGTACCTTCCGAATATATAACGCCGAAGCGCACACAGACAGATACCCAGGCGGCGTGTACATGCAAGCCGAGCCTGGCGCTGTGTGCGTGTATGTATTTAGTTTGGTTTTCGTAGGCCCGTTCGTCGCTTTTTCGAGTTTTGAAATTAGTATTGAAATCGTCGTTAGCGGCGACGGTTTACTTGAATTTCGTCTCTCAGTCTGAAATCGGTTCACGCTCTCTGGCGCTGTGCTGGTAAGTGGCCGTCTGTGATTGTGTGCGTGCAAGGTGTTGCTGCTCTGTTGGAATAGTTAAAGTCGAATTATCGAAAACTTATGGCAGGCAGCGGTCTCCAGACTTGTGCATTTAAATATATCAGGGTGACAGTTAACTGATTAGCACAAATACCCCGGGAGCAGTCATCGGCGGGCAATGCCAACGGGAATTATTCAATATTGCGATGGGTAATTGGGGAAACTCAATTTGTTCTGTTCTTTTTCTTGAAAAATTCTCAACTGCACATAATAAGCGTAAATTCGGAGTGCGCGCGTGTGTGTGTGTGTGTGTGAGCCGAGCCCGAACCGATGGTGAGAGCAAAGTTGTTATGTCGTTTCCGCTTTTTTCCCGTCAGATATGGCCTTTTTCGTCGGGAAAAGTTGTCTTTCTCCGAAAAGAAGCGCGAAAATTACGTAGATATTTTGTATTGTATTATTTAAAAAACGCTTAAATATAACACTTAAATATAATAAATACATAAACACTTAAAAAAACAGGCTGGCGGCTTTAAATTAATCTTACTTTACGAATCAGCATTAAAAAATAACTTGGTATGTCTGTATTAACTGTAAAACTAAAAGTATTTTAAAAATCATTTTATTTTTTAATTTTTTAACTTGTATTTTTTGTTGATCCAGCTTTTTTTATCATTACAAAATGACATCACTGCACCCAAGGCCCCATCCCGCCCCCATTCCGCTGCTGCTCTTCCTCGTTAGCTTATTATCGTATCTTTTGCATTACAGTGCCCACAAGCGATTTAAATTAAGTTGGCAATTAAATTTCCGCCAGCCTGCCAGCAATGAATTTTAGCGGATAATTACACGTGATGCACCTCCAATCCGACCAGGTCTCCCAGCTAAAACAGCTTCAGAAGTTCCGAATCTCAAGATATTTACTCGTATCTAAAACCTTTGAGATACAATATGTGTTCCGATTCAGCGATTGGCAGATTCGCGTCATCGCTAAATCTCCGAAACCTCAACCACGCTATGGAATCTATCTATCTATATATTTATCTATTTAGCACTCAATATTCTAGGTTGCTCTCTTTCTTTGTATTTCTTTTAAGTCAACTTTTTCGCAATCCACCGTTTTCGTACTTTTCGTATCTCACAAACTACAAACATACATACGTACTTCCAAATTAACCGATGCGTAATCGGCGCTCAGGAAATCAAGAAGCAGCAGGGTGCGAGATTCGAATTGTTAAATTCTATTTTTCTATGCTATATTCGGGGCTCGGTTGCTGGCGTATCTTGTTTACTTGCATTTGGAAATCACTATCTCGAAAAAGTTCTGTTATTGAGAGTGTTCCACTTGCTGGTGTGTGCCTCTGTGTGCGTTTGCGTGTGCGTTTGTATTTGCGGAGAGTGTATCTGTGGAAGTTTACTTGCTCGCTTTTTTACGTTTTCTTTGTGGCCATTATTCGTTTTGAAATAATCAAAATCGATAAAAAATATATATATATATTTCCTCGCTTTAGATTTGTAAGCTCTTTTCGTGTATTTGTTATTTCGTGAGCGAATGAGCGAATGTGTTAAACAGTTGGAAACACGTCAACCTCACGGGGTTTGCATCAACAAATGTGTATATATTTATGCAGGTAAATAATAATCAAATCCGTCGGTGGTGGATTCTGAAGACGAAAACCAAAAGATACATGAGAGATATCCGAAACCAGGCTTTTGCCACTTTTGACAACTAACAAACCCCAAAACTGGATTTTTATACCTTTTGTTCCCAAGTCTGAAATGGAATATTGAACGGAGTTAATTATTTTGTTGTCTACAGAATAATATTACGTAAAAATGTTTTAAATCCGCTTAGTTTCAAAATATTCACATTTGATTATTTCTTGTTCTAGAGAAAGTCGGTTTAAAGCTTAGAAAATGTATTAAACTTAGGTAAACTCTGTAAAAGTTAAAACAAATGTATTTAAAATCGAATAACAATAAAGTTTTTCCCTATATAAACAGAAAGCATCCCCATTTATTTAACATGTTGATAGAGGGCAATATCTAAGTTTGATCAGTTTTATTAAAAATAATAATTTCCCTGTAATAAAGATAAAGATAGATAAAGTCACTTTATTCAGCATCTGACTAATTCAAAACAAACAAAAAAAAACTTTTTAAAGTATTTGTGCTTTTTGGGTCCCCCAAACAAGTTTGGAAATTTTTGGAAACTGGTTTTGAGGTGTGCTGCTAAAATCAACCTTTTTTAGTTTCAAAAACGACTTTTAAGTAATTTCCACATTAATTTGATATTTTCTTGTTGTTTATATCATTTCAAGTTTTTTGAAGTTTTAAAGAGTGCACAACTAGAACCACATCCATGTTAATGCCACGCTATCTGGGCCTGAACGATAGCACCACATCGTCTGGCAACCACGGACCTGCCGCTGGCAGCTCCTCATCTCCGCCGACGACGGTGGCCGCCCACACGAAGATGCGTTTACTGAGCAAAGTGGAGCAGAACATGCGTCAGAGCCAAGGTCAAAACAGCCAGAGCAATCTGAGCGGCCAGGAAATCAGCCACCTCCTGAGCACGGCGGCCACAGGCAATGGCCTGGTGGGCGACGTTGACGGACTGCTGACGCCCATGCGCATTAAGGCGCATCTGTCCCCACCACATTCCACCAGCAGTCTGAGCGGGAGCTCCGGTAAGGGCGACTCCCTGCATTCGATGAGCTCTCGGCCAGAGCGCAACCTGTGGAGCCGGGCCGAAATGCTGGAGATGCTCAGCATCATGCAAAATATGAATGCGTTGGACCAGCTGAACGACCGCAACCTGAAGAGCGAGCACGTATTCAGACAGATAGAGGAAATCATGCGAAGCAAGGGCTATGTGAAGAAGTCCAGCATCCAGATCTGGACCAAGTGGAAGTTCCTCAAGTCCACATACAACACCACCACACGGCATGGCACCGGAGTGCCCAAAGTGGTGCCAGAGGAAGTTTATCGCGTACTCTGCCGGATGCTGCAGAACCATCACGGCAGCAGCAACAACGCCAGTGCCAACCTCAGCGAGTGTGGCAATTCGATGGACAGCTCCAAGACCGAAGAACCCAAAGAGGATATCCTGGGCGTGGAACATCCCATATTCGGCTTCCGTTTGGGACCCATTAAACCAGAACCTATCGATACTGGTAAGTCACACTCTATGTCCTTGAGACGCTAGGATTTAACCTCTTCTTTTCGAATGTTACAAAGCAAGTTTAGAACAATCTAAAGTATTGCTTGACTTCCACTTTATCTGTCTGTTTAAATAATTATTTTATTACCCATTGCAGGCTATGAGACCCCGCTGAAGTCAGACATGGTATCTGAGCCGGATCTTGAGGGCTATGACTATGGAAGCAGGGATGCGACAGATGCCAGGCACCGCGACCAAGAGGATGTACCCCATATGCCGTTTATAGTGTCAGTGAAACACGAACCGGACATGGATCTGGGCATGGATGGCACTAATACACCGCCACCCACAGCGCCAGCATCGCCTTCGCCGCCACCGCCTGTGGTATTAGATGAAACCGATGATGAGCCCATCCACGCATCTACTCCGGAGGCACTTCCGCCATTGCGTGTGGCATCCTTTGCCAAAGGAGATGAGCAGGAACGTCCCACACATGGTATCCTGCAGATCGATCGTCCGCCACCAACTCTAACTAAGATGGGCCGGATGAATCGATCACTTACGCTCCAGAGCACAAGTAACATCAACTTCGTACATCCGCACAGCAAGCTGATGCTGCCTCGTAAACAGAATGCGAGTGCCGGTCAATCCGGACTGCGTCTTCCCAGGGATCTTAATGTCCAGCCGGCGGGCGGTATGCGCATGAAGACGGTGCCCATGCGGGAAACGGGATATTCACTGCGACCGGATCGTATGATTCCCGATCTGGACCAGGCGATGACCAGTCCACCGCAGTCCCCTTCGCCGATGGGTTCTCTGTTGGGTCGCGGACCACCGCCAAAGTATCCGATATCCGGACAACAAACGGATGGTGCTTCCACCAGCAGACATGCTCACATGATGTCCTCGCACCAACTAAATCCTCAGCAGCTCCAGCCGCGAAAGCGTCGCTTAGGGCAGAGCCCGCCGATGGGCATTCCAGTGCCTGTAAAGCTGCAGCGCAGCTCCACAATGTACGAATCCACTCCGACGAAAGGCTTTCGATCGCATACTGCAATGGGAGGGGCAGAGGAAACGAAGCGAAAGTCCAGTGAGGAGGAATCTAAGTTACGTAAGAAGCGGCAAGAGGAGCTGTTTGCAAAGGAACTGACCGAAATGGCTAGTGCCATGCGATCGGCCCAGAAGGAAATGCTGGAGGACTTCTTCAAGCAACAGAAGGAGTTCGCGCGCCGAGAGCACGACTTCCAGATGAAGCAGGACGCAATTGTAATGCGGGCCCTACGTAAACAGACGGAAGCCCTGCTGCAGAGCGCCAGCGAGCTAGTTGGTGAAGCTTCAGAGCAGGTTAAAGGCAAGCCGGAGGCTAAAGATCATGTCGTACCCGAGACCCAAATGCCGTTTGAACCGGAAACACAGCTGCAAATTCGTGAAGGCAGAGGTGGAGCTGGGGAAGCGAATGAGTATGACGAGGAAACTATGCTAGAGGGAGAGGATGAGTACGATGAAGAAGAGGATGGGAATGAAGGCGATGAGGAAGATGACCATGACGATGACGAAGATGGGGACGAGGGCGAAGACGATGCTGACGAACATATGGGCGCGGAAAGCGACATGGAAATGCCTACACTAGCTATATCCGCCTCAGTTCCAAGCGATGAGTACTCGAACCCGGCCGAAGTCACCGGCGAAGTGCAGTAGTCTATCTCCTTCCTCAACCATCCCATTCTCCATGCTATCCCGTCTCCAAGTATTACCCAAAAAAAGAAAAGAAAACACCATTGTTGATACCGATTCATTCCGATCGCATTCCTTAAGCTATATATACTATATAGTAAATTCCTAGAGCCAGACCCGCGCATTGTTAAAAGACTTGATTACATTTAAGCGTATTAATACATAAAAGAATCCTAAAAGTAAATTAAATGTATTTATTGTTCATCGACCGTCTAAGCCCCAAAGTGCTGTAAAGTTACTGAGACAACACACAATATGATAAATATTACAAATAAATATGTACATAACTTGAAGAGAATTGAATTCGAGGTTTAGGGTACCAGAAGTAGAATTTGGATGCTTATCTTCCTACTACAATGGCTTCAGATAAAAAAAAAAAGGAAGCGGACATCTTTAAAGTTTGAAATTTTATTTTAGGATCGAATATAAAGTCGATTATAAATAATTCGACAATTTTGTCCATAAATCAAAGTTTAAAAAACTCATAACTAAGCCAAAAAAGGATTAATTAAAATTCGGAAAGCTTTCTGATGTTAATTATTATTAGTTTTATAAATCTGTATACTCAACCGAAAAAAATTAACATTTTGGCAATTTTAACGATGTAAACGCTTATAAAATGTTGAAAAAATTGGTAAATTTTATTTCTGCTTGGGAAGGCTAGATCGAATCGGCTGTTGATTCTGATCAAGAATATATGAGTTTTATGGTTGGAAATAACTCTTTCACAGCGTAACAAGCTTCAGAATAAAATTATGATACCTTCCAACGGTATAAATACAAAACCTACACATCGTCATAGTCAAAACTGTTCACATATTATGAGGGGCTCATGACATTGGACAGGAACTTCATAAATCGGTTTAACCCCCTACAAAAACTCATCAATTGTTGTAAATCAATTTTAATTTCCTAACACGAAAAATATTTAATATTGCATTAGTTCAAAAGGAACAAATTAGGATTTACAAACTGAACCAAAAAAAATATATATTAAAAATCGAGAGTAAAGTCCCTAAATCAATCTTAATGGCTAGGATTTTTCCGAAAAATTTTAGTTTTAAACTAAACATTAAATAGAAACTATCTTAAAACGACAATCAGCGCAAAGTGGTGGTGCACTAAACTAGCTAATGCCCATATTGTTTGTGCTCTTTGCTGCGCTTGCCTATGGGTTAGTGTGTTCATATATGTATACTCTCCACCGATTCGCATGATCGGTAAACGCCTAAAGCAAAGTGTTAGCAGCTAGTGTTTATATTTTACAATTACCATTACGACCCCGCCACGCCCACTGTTCTATCCCAGCACCTAGTCGGGCCGATAGATGGGCGTTTTAGGTATAAATTCAATTAAAATAACATACTCCATCATGGAATTGGAATCACATTGTTGCTTATGCAGTCGCCAGTGCAGGCCCAGCTTATGATATAAATGATTATTCTCCCATTCGAACAGTTTGTCAAGAGTGAGTTGTGTCTGTAAAGAGCATTAGGGAGAGATTAAAAAGATTTAAGCCATTTATGTATGAATTTGCACTTACACGTTTGCTGAGACAGATGACGGGCCAGAGCGAGCAGCCGAGCGTGCAGCAACAGCAAACACAGCCGCAAAAGAGCCACTTGACGTTGACGGGCAGGGATTTTTTCAGCACCCCGTTAATGCGGCCCACCGTCGCCTTGAACTCCTCGGGAGCGACACGGGAGAGTAGACCGCAGGGGAACTCCACGTTGAAGCGGTTGCTAAGACCAAAGCTGCAAATCCAGAGAAAACAGTGAGGTTAGAAGTGGGTAATTGACGTGTTAATGCATTTATTCTGCCCTGTATCAAAAGCACTTATGCAATACGTAAATAATTGACAGCTAAGAACAAACCAAAGCCATCGCTCAAAAAGAAAAAAACAAATGGGGTCAAGCGGTATCAATACCGAAGTACAGTCAACACATATGTCATGACGAAATAAATTTCGTAAAAAGCCTTGAACTACATTTCCGTTGCTCCAACTCATATATGCAGAGTAGAGGTCAAAGTATATATGCCGGTCTTTACCTTTAGGGACATTACTTGAGTGATTATTCAGCTTTCATGATTATCCCTAATTTGTTAAAAAATTAATAGAAATACGCCTGAACAAGGCATTTTGATAGCCAGTGCAGGTCTATGTCACACAGTCTCTAAGATCTGTAAGATCTCTTAGATCCTTTTGACACTGCATACTTTAAAGGACTTATAGCATGCTGACTAAAAAGAATTGACTATTTATATCTCTTTAAGAGTTTTGGTATTATTAAATGCAACTGCAAATGGAACGGCACATGTTAGATTCAGATAACATTGGTTCTCTTCTACCAATTGGGTTGCATTTCACTATCTGCGCCCTCCTTCTGTTCGCCTTATCACTTGCTTACTTACACCGTCATGTTGCCCGCGCCGCGGATGATAATGGGCTCGGGCACAGGCGCCACTGTCTGGTCCTGGAAGTGCTCCAGGTCCTCCAGCTGCTCATCCTCGTATATTGCGTCAAAGTCGGAGAAAGACATGGTTGGCAGATGTGTATGTGTTGTGTGCTGCCGTGGATTGGCGATTTAAACGTTGAATCAGGTGACAAGACGATGACCGGGGGACAGAGAAGAGCAGCAAGCGCTCCAGCTGTGCCGTGTGAAAGGTCAAAACATGTTTGGTGGCTGCCGTTTCTGGTGGGGATTAGATGTGTTGCGGTGTGCCTCCTGGCAGTGACTTCCTTGTTGCTTGTTTAGTTGTCGTAGATACCTTTTGGTGCTTCTTCCTTGATGACTGCTGCTACTTCCGCCATTAACGCCGTTGACGTCGGCGGCGTTCTGGAATGATGCGGGATGACGTCTTCCTTCCTCTCTGTTGACGCAGATACGTGGGTGGCGGCGGGGGTGTTGGAGTATAAATAAAGTGCATATTAAAACACAATAAATGCAGTACAAAGTGTATTGAGGGGCGCCCCAAGCGTTTTACAACACTATCCTTGCTTTGTTGTTGCTGCTGCTTTATGGGTGGGAGAGGGAGGTGGAGTGCCTCCAACACAAAGAAAAGCTAGCCAAAAGTTAGATTCTTGTGTTTCAGACGTGAAAAGGATTTCCACTTATCAGAATGCAAAGCAGCAGCATCAAATGTTTTGTTTTTTTCTACTGGGACGCTCACACACTTCCAAAACAAATATGCACACACCTTCTGCAGCTCTTTGCGTATTTCGCAATCACTTTTCATTCACAAGCCAAGGTAAATCTATTTTTATGTTTGCCAGCCGACCGAGCTTCTGTTTTTTTTCAGTTATTAATACTCTTTGATTATCGAAACACGGATCCTGCGACTTTGACACGCTTTCTGCGTTTTTTTTTTTCAAATACGAAAATAAAATTTCCAGCTCGCTGCTGAATTTGTTGTTATACGACTGCGACGAACAGCTGGCAGCTGTGCTCTGGCCAGGGTTGCCAGACCTGATCAGAAGTGGCAGCCCCAATTTAAATGACAGATTAATGGCAAGGGTAATATTATTGATTTATTAATATTATCTAAATAAATAAGTTACTTGTATGTATAAAATACATAGAGCGATAAGCTTAACCTAAACAAGACAAATTCGACGGATTAGCAAATGAAACAACATTGCAATATAGCTTAATTTCGAGTATAAAATAGCTCTAGCGTGAACGAGAAGGCATATTTGAGTTGGGATTTGTGTTTCTTTGGGTATCTCCTGGCCCTGGCTACTTCTTTTTGGCCGCACTGGGGCTGGTGGATTGGAACACCGAGGAGGCGGACATCAGGTTCTCGATGTACTGTCCCAGCACTTGGTTTTCAGAGCGCAGCTTGAGATTTTCTTCCTTGACGGAGTCTACGCGTTGCGACAGGTCGTCCAGTGTGTTCTGCAGTTCCAGGACCTGGGTAATGAGCCGGGCCTTCTCCTCCCTATCGTCCTGGGCCATTTCCATGGTGTCCAGCGAGTTGTGGGACGAGTCCGGAGTGGAGCTCCGGTTGGTGAAGGAGGAGCGCAGTGAGTCCATAGATCGGCCGCTGGGCATGTGCAGCGCCGTCGTCGGCTCATCCTCATGGATCATCACTGTTTTTTTATTTTGTTTTTGGAAGCAACGGTTAACGATAACATCATCACTGGACTTGCCTCGCCCACTCTCATAATCTTTTATTGCTCTTACCTTGTGGATCCTCGTCCATGTTGGGAATGCTGTCGTCGTTGTTCAAAAGCGACATGGCTGGCAGTGGGATTATCTCTTTCCGGTTAAAAAGTGATGTTTAGTAAACGTTTCCCAAATTGTCGCGTAAATTGACACGAAGAAAAAGAAAAACTACCACTTTGTCTCTTTAAGGTTAGGCAACACTGTCGTGGCGCTGCCGTTGTTTTTTAGTGGCGGCGTTTTCCAGCACTGTTCTGTGGCATAAGTTCAAAAGGAAGAAGCAGCATCATTTATGCGTTTCTTACACAAATATTTCAGAGTGTACTTCTTGAGAAAAACAAATAACAAAAGGTAAATAAGTCCTTCACTTTGCACACAATTTTCCCTAGAACAGTTTTAAATCTTAACTTTCTCGCTTAATTTCTGCAACACCATTCGCGACTGTTTGGATTTTCAACTTTTAACGTAAAAAAGCTTAGTTAAAAAAATTATTATGCGCATCATAAAATATTTACCATGAAGGATATATTTCCTGCAAATTTGAGTATTTGCAAGGATTTTATTTCGGACTTTTTAAAATAACTGACACCAGGCGCACACACATCGGAGACAGAGTTGCCACCTGAGCCGTTCGATCATAGAAATTAAAATACACACATGCTTTTGCAGTTTCTAATATCGCTGGACACAACGCGTCTGAATTCCAAGGAGTGCGGATTATCCCGTGTTGAGCGCTAATTAAGCCACTTCAGATTGAATCCGTGAAAAGTGTGTGGAAATCGTGCTAAGGCCTCGACAGTTTTAATTGGTATTCGTTTTCGCACAGAGTACGCCACAATTTGCCCTGCGAGGTCGAACTCATTTAACTCCCTCACAATCAACGTTCAATCGAACGGAAATGACAGGTAAGAAACTTATTCCGCTCAAATGTGTCGGTAATTCCCATAACATCCCAAATGTGTGTCATTGCAGCAGCTGCCTGTGCCCGTGAACTCTCGCATCCTGGCTTCCGCCTCCGTCTATGCTAGACATTTTGATTCCCTCCGCGGCAATTGAGGAGTTGTCAGAGGGTAAGTCAACTGTTGAATTCTGGGTTTCCAAGAGGTATGCTTTCTGAAAATCAAAAATATAAGGCTGTAGATTCAACGGTTCTTCACAAATCCCAACCAATTCCGAATCCAAAGATAAGAAGTTTATGCTCTTGGGGCCTTGTGACATCGCCAGCTACGTAACATGTCCGAAAGAGACTAGGATTATAAGTATGAATGGGATTCAGGGGGTATCTTATGAGGGGCATAAATGTCTTGGTAAGGCTATAAATAAGGGCAGGTAATTTTTGAGAAAGCATAAAATACAGCATAACTAAAAATGGTATCAAAATTCAATATGTATCCGGTGTGACCGCAGCCGGACAACCTGAAAATACTAAAGAGTCGGAGGCCATTGTCAAAAATGGCGTTTCGCCAAATTTAGAGGTGTAATAAATATATATAGATCGTGTAATTAAGACGCTTAATGCAGTGTTTACCCTTTAATTTTTCAGTTATTATTTACTTCGAAGTTTTAAGAAGTACAGGTTCTGTGTTGGCTTTCAGAAAATATTCAAATCAAATCTATTGCTGGCACATGCGGAAATCTTATCGTCTCGTCATTTATTTTACGCTATATAAGAAGGTAACTAATTAATTAATAATTTTAACTCTTTTACAGGTGATTGTAGTTGGTAAAATAACCATACAAAGTTTAAACTACACTGCGAATTTGCAAATTGAAAGAAAATACCACTGTCTGGTATAATACCAAATCAATAAATACATACTATAACTGTGTGCAAATAAACGCGCGAAAACTATAACATTAACTCAAAACTTTATAAGCGCAGCTCGTTAAGCAAGGGCACGAATTGTATAAAAAAGAGTAAATTGTAAATAACTAAATGGTGAAAGAAAACAGTGAAATCGAGGTACCAATCGGCGGAAAATTGTGAAAACAAGACAGAAAAAATACCAACCCCGGGCTGCGGAGTGTGTTAAAATGCCAGAAACTTTTGTGCGCCTCAACGTCCAAAAATTGTAGGAGTTACGAAAACGAGACGCGAACGGAAAAAACTATCTTTTACTTCACCTCTATCCTGTTTTCCGGCTGAAAACGAAACGTAGAAAGTGGATTTAAACGAAAGAATACCACCATGTTGCCCTTGTCCTTGGCCAGTGAAGAGGCCAAGCAGATGCAGCAGCAGGCCAAGCGCGAGCTGGCAATCACCATGTCGTCAGTGTCGTCCTCCGGCGGCGCTGGTGGCCAAAGTGCCGCAGGAAACAGTGTCCTGGCAGTTGGGCCCAGAAAAGAAGAGGTCCGTTTTGTTCCCCTCTCTTCAATGGCGGGCAGCAAATCCTGCAACATCAGCTTCAGCAATATTCACTCAACCACCAGTACTGGTGGTGTCCCCCATCAGATCCAAACCGCCTTAAAGTCCAAACTGACTGCGGTGAACATAGTGCCGAAAACATTAAAGACTGGAACCGTGACAGGCGGAACAGCCACTGGCTCTGCTCCACTTTTCCAGCTAGTGCCATCGCTCAACAATCCCAGCCAGCCGCTGGTGGCCATTTTGGCTCCCCCCAGGAAAACCATAGGAGGAGCAGGGACCGGAGGAGGAGTCCAAAGCAATGCCCAGCCAGTGGTTATCCGTTCGGGTCCCGCACTCAACAAGGCCCAACTCACCATTCAAAATGGTATAGCCACCATGACGACAGCTCCGGCTCCAACTCCAGCAGTATCAGCAGCACCAGGAACCAACGGAGCAGCACCCAGTAGATCACTGCTTACTAAATCAGATTCGGGTGAGTAGGTTATTATATAAGCTAAGTGTGATCTCCGTTTCCGATCCGGAAAGTGGAAAATGCTCGAGTGTTTTCCCCCAAAAGAGATTGTGTAGTGTGTGTGTGCGTAAATTGTTTTTTTTTTTTTTTTTTCTTATTATTATTATAGTTTACTTTTGTCGTTGCTCACTGCGTGGTTGTTGCTGCTGGCAGTAGCTGGCTTTTGCTTGCTGCGGGTTTAGTTTTTAGTTGTTGTTTGACTGCTGCACATTTCATAACACGGAAAACGGTTTGAAACGTTCCAAAAAATTAATTAGGTTTGTGTGGCATAAATTTAACCCTGGCCACAGGTTTCGGTTCCATTTCTTGGATATTGAATCGTTTTCGTTTTCATTTCGGTTTCTTTACGTTATTTAGCTACTCTTCTCTCTGCTATATATGCTTGCTGCTGGTTTTATCAATAGCAATAAGTATGCAAAAGGCGGGGTAGCAACTACAACAACAACCGAAACGAACAGTGATGACGATCAGGTTTTTGCAGCTGCAATAAAAACAAAACCAAAAAAAAACAAAAAACAGAAGTGAAGGAAAAGGAGATCTCAGGCGGAGGAGGTGGAGAGATCGATCTCTCATTTACTTGAGGATCGCTGAACGCCTGGCATGCGTCCGCCTCCGCATGATGACTAATTAAAGAAAACGAATGAAATTCCCTTGTCAATTGATGGTAATTCCCATTTTCTCTTCGTTTTTACAGCCCCTGTAGCTGCCGTCCAGATACCTGCGGCCGGAGGATCCGGCCAAATCTCTTTGTTGGCCAATCCCCTCAAGCCACGTGCACCACTCATACTCAGTAAGGTGGCAGTGGATAAATTGCAGCTGAAATTTAATCAGTTTAAGGCCAATCCCAAATCTATTGTCCTGGGAAAGTCCAACCAGGTGAAGAGGGTAATGTCTATGCCTGCTCGCACTAACATCAGCAGCATCCGCAGCAGCAGTGCCAATGAAAAGGATAGTAACAAGTCGGTTATTCCTATAAAGTCCGTTCCTCTGGTAGTGGAGGAGGTGCCCAAAGCCATGCCCACCAACAATAACAACAACAACAATAACTACTCCAGCAATACCAAGAGCCTGATTAAGCCGAAAGCATCTTCCATAAAGGCGGTGCCCCTGCCTGTTAGTCAGGATATAATCACTGTGCCGGCTTTTGAGTCGATGGAGGAGAAGATTGCCATATCCCATCTTAAGGACACTCAGAAAGCGCTTTCAAGTCTGGAAATAATGCTGAATGGGCCAGTAAAGACGGCACAGTCAGAACCCAGGGATGCTCCGCTGCAGCAGCAGCAGCCGGCCCAGGAGCCAAAGACCCCTCCCAAAATAAATGAGCCAGAGGCCAAAACATCTCCCGAGCAGCAAAAACCAGCGGAGGATATTCTGGAAGAAGAGAAAGCCGACACCAAGGAAACTGTCAAGGAACCTCCTAAGCTTCAACAACCTGAACCCCTAGGAGATCCCAAGCCGCAGCAACCGGAGGCCAGGGAACCTTTACAATCGCAGCAGTTGGAAGCCAAGGACATGCCCAAGTCTCCAAAGCTGCAACGTTCCAAGTCTTTTGTGGCCGTTACTGAGCAGACTCCAACAGTGTCGAGCAGTAGCGAGCGACGCCACTCGGTGGCCATTATGGCCAAAGAGGTGGATGTTATCGAAGAGCCCAGTGCCCCAATCGAGACCATTACGATTGAGGATGACGATGAAGACAGCGAGGAGGAGCTCATTCAGAAGGAGATCATTCTGCCCATTCTGCCAGCTGGGATAACGATCTCCACGACCACAAAATCAGGCGCTAGATCCCAGCTAGTGCGGAAAAACTCTAGCGTCACGACTCTCACCTCCTCCAGAAAGACCTCCATTTCCGTCAGCAGTACGTCCAACAGCGATGTGGAGGAGATCAGTACGCCCGCGAAGAACATTGAGGAAGAAATAAGCCTTCTGCCCGGGATAAGCATCATCAAAGCGGAAAGCCTGCCGCTTTCCAAAGAGGACTTTGAGCGCTCGCTCCGCTGTGACGAACAGGTGCCTAACACACCGCCCTCTTCTGGAGCTTCATCCGTTGCCTCGGACACAGCATCGCCAAGTAAACCTCCAGCTGAACTGTCGGTATCTTCATCCCATAGGCAGCAGAAGGCACCCGGCTCGCGGGCCAATGTTCTCAGGAAGAGTATGGTTCAGAATCTGCCCATGTTGAGGTGGCGTGGCCAGCAGCCGGCCAAACTGCAGAACTCCTCTATGTGCTTCGAGCTAAATCGTTTCAACCTGCTCCAGTTGAACGAGCGCTGCGAGCAGCGCCTAGGACCCGCCAGCTACTTCGAGCGGGCCCTGCTCGATCGACCCGACCGAAGGCCCTCGGGCAGCATTCACCCACTTTTATACCTTTGCCAGCGGTGCAATTGCCACGGTCCCGCCTCTGATTTCCTAGCCCCACGTAAGTTACGAATTCCCAGCAAGGATTTTACTAATAAACCCAAGCTTAGTCTTTAATGAAATATTCTTTTTCCTCTCCGCAGACTATTGCTCCTTGTGCTGTGTGCGCCGAGCGCAAAAGCGGCGCCAGCCGGCCAGCAATTCTCAGCCGGAGGCCAAGGTGAGCCGAGCATCAATGGAGCCAGCCCCAGCACAGAAATCCCAGGTAAACAATAGGCATCACCAATCGAAATCCCTGGCCGACATTCAGATGCACCGTCCAAAGGATAGTGATAAAATGCGTAAGCCGTTTCGCTGGAGCGAATACCTGAAGGCAAAAGGAAGAGATGTAGCGGCGCCCATCCACCTGTTCCTCAACCCATTTCCGATAAGCCCCAACTGTTTTGAGCGCGGAATGAAGCTGGAAGCCATCGATCCGGAGAACTGCTCCTTGTTTTGTGTGTGCAGCATAGCCGAGGTACGTGGCTATCGGCTTAAGCTTACCTTTGACGGCTATTCGTCAATGTACGACTTTTGGGTGAATGCCGACTCGCAGGACATCTTCCCACCCGGTTGGTGCGAGGAAACGGGTCGCGTGCTGCAAGCGCCTAGGGATTACTGCCCGGAGCGCTTCAGCTGGAGTCGTTACCTGGTTAAGACCAACGCAAAGGCAGCTCCGCGGGCACTGTTCGCTCACTTAAAAATGCCGCAACAGACAGGGGTTTGCAACGGATTCGCCGTGGGAATGCACTTGGAAGCAGAGGATCTGAACGACACCGGCAAAATCTGCGTGGCCACCGTGGCGGATATACTGGACGAGCGTGTGCGCGTCCATTTCGATGGCTGGGATGACTGCTATGATCTGTGGGTGCACGTCAGTTCGCCCTACATTCACCCCTGCGGCTGGCACGAGAATCGTCAGCAACTCATAGTACCGCCGGATTTTAAGACGACCGTATTCAGTTGGCCTGACTATATAGCCGATGTCGGTGGGGTGGCTGCCCGAAGCACCTGTTCCAACCCCGCCAGCCGATGGAATACCAGTCGCGCATGAAGTTGGAGGTAGTTGACCAGCGCAACCCCTGCCTGATTCGCCCGGCCACAATAGTAACCCGCAAGGGCTACCGCGTTCAAATCCACTTGGATTGCTGGCCGTCAGAGTACTACTTCTGGCTGGAGGACGACAGTCCAGACCTGCATCCCATTGGGTGGTGCGAAGCCACCTCGCATGATCTTGAAACCCCGCCGGGGTATCTGCAAGCCACGCCCCTAATGCCCTGCGACGTAGAGGGCTGTCGAGGATTTGGGAACGCCAAGCGCTTTAATCTCAGTGTGCACGCTTTGCGGGATTGCTGCCCGTACGCGCCGGAGAACTGGCGCCAGTGGCGTTCAAAGACGGTGAAGCCAGCGCGAGTGTCGCCCGATAAGATAAGGCGCGGAGTTCCGACGAAGAAATCAAGGAAGACAGCTACTACAGAAGTCCAGCAACTGGATATTAAAGAGGAAATTTCCCCTAAGATGCCAAATAAAAGGGCCACACCACCGCCTTGCGCGGATGAAAAGAAGAAGAAGAAAAAGAAACAAAAGACGAATGTGGCTATAGAGGTGCATAAGGAGGAGCAGAACCCAGATCCCAGAACTCTGGATATAGCCAAGAGCTTCTTGAAAGACTATGGCCCGCAGTTCCTGCAGAACTACAGACTTTGGAGGCAGAACAGCACTTTAAATCACGATCAGATTCGTAGCAATCCGTTGCACTGGACAACCTGGGATGTTTACGAGTTCATGGAGCGCGCCATGGACTCTACGGAGATAGCCCGTGTGATATTTGAACAAGAGATCGATGGCAGGGCTCTCCTGATGCTGGGGCGCCTGGAGTTGGACAAGTACCTGAACCTTAAGGTGGGCCCTGCGGCGAAACTATATTCGCTGATCATGAATCTGCGCATTGCCGTCGTTTGTAAATTCGGAACGAATAGCACCGGACTTGGAATTAATTTCTCCAATCTGCTAAATCTGAAAGAGGATGAGGTGAAGGATACACCATCGTCTTCCAAGGTGCAGGGCAGGAGCAACGGGTGGAGCAAGATGGAGCACAATCAGGAGCTTTTCGAGAGCGAAGACGACGATGATGATAATGATGAAGTGGTGCTGGACAGCGAGGACTTTCTCAGCGTCAAGCACAGTAACCGCCTGGTAATTGACGAGGACGCCGATGTGGTGATGATGCAGCAGCTGGATGTTTGCAGGCCCATAACTACGGCTTCCTAGAGGACTCCATGCCGAGGCCCTGCTTCCGTTGATTGATTTGTAAGATTCGTTCGGGTATTAATAATCTACTTTTAGTATTTATTATGTAAGCCGATCCTGAAAGCGATTTTGTTTGTTGCGCCCACACTATCCAATAAAGGATTCCCAAATACTGTATACTCCCTCTCCCTTTACATGTTTCCTGAAATTACGTTGATGAACTAATTTTGACCTTTATATCACCGCGATAAACCATTGAACATGTGTTTTGGATACATTTCTGGACCTGGATCACAGTGTGATGCAAGGTCTATAATCTGATGTGTTAATTGGTGCCCTAAGATGATCTAACCTTTGTCCATGCGGGGACGTTTCTGAACTTTAGCGAGCTCAATAATTTTCATTAAATTTTTTATTAAAACTTTAACCAGGTCAACAATCTTCAATAATTTGTTGGCATTAATATTACAGAGAAATTATTAACAGATAGTCGTTTCTGTAAAAAATATCTAACTCGTTGCGAGTATAGTTTAACTAAAAATGTTTCTCATATAAAAACTTTTAAATATAAATTATAAATTAAAATAGATCTGGTATTATAGAGTCAAACTATGTTGTCAATAATAAATCAGCAGTTTCCTGTAAATTCAAGAAATAAAAGGCAACGGATGCTGTGAAAATTTCTCCCGCCACTTTTGGACCTGCCAACTCGTTCTACTGGCGGATTTTTGGTATATGCGAGAACCGCATTGCAAGGGATATTGGGATTCAGATACACGTTTCGCCATTTTTCCTTCTTGACATATGGGTATTTTTATATATTTTCGACACCCTAAAAACGACCGACACCCGACAGCACCCGAGAGAGAATTGTGTTTATATACGATATATAAGAGCAAGTCTGTTAATGAATGTTAACTTCTAGATAAAATGTAAAATAACGTTCGGAATTAAGGTGGCCAGAAACCAAATATCAGCATATACCAAATAATATATTGATATGGTGGTATTTTTGATATTTTTTTCGACAACACAAAAATGACCGGTACCCGAGAAAGAGTTCTGTTAATTAACATACACCCGAGAGTGCAGAGAGGGGAAATGTTACAAGTCTTACATTTTACATGAGAATTCGACCTCTTGTATCTGTAAACGTGTAAAATTGTAATCTTGACGTGTAGGATGTAAAATGCTAAATAACAGCTTCGGATTTCAGAGTGACCAAAGAAAAAATATCATAAAACAAAAAAAATCGGACAAAATCGCACACAGGTTTTCTTTCCTGCGAAAAACGCGAAATTGAACATTGCGAAAAGGGTATATATAATTTGTGAAAAGTTTCGCGAACCGTGAGCCGACCGCTAATGATGTGTTCACCACAGTTGCGATGAAAGGCAGTAAATTGCGGCAATAGACGCTTACACACTCGTGCCCAAAAGGTCGGGTCCCGCGGCAGCCCCTCAGTTTACAAATAAGTAGAAAAAAAGCGGCGCCAAAGCCACGGTCAGTGCAACGCCGGAAATTAATGCAAGTGCAAATAGTTAATAGGCAAGTTACCCGGGCAAGCAGGCACAGCGGCCAGCAGGCAGTTTTCTGGCGGCGCATGTTTTGTTTTTTCGTGCACTGTACACCACAGTGGAGCGCCCGTGTGTGCCTGTGTGCGTCGGTGGGCTTGTGCATGTGTGTGTACACATTTTAGGCGGCAATGGAGTGAGGCCCTGGCCAGCCGATATGCACTGGCCAACCGATTGTTATCGATATGCGCGCTCTAACCATTGTTGTTTGTTTTCTTTGCAGTTCATGAGCTATATAAACAAGGGCACATCGAGCATTTAGCAATAAAAAACGAGTAAAATGGAGGAGATATCCAGCCTGGACTCGTTCGGCGCTGACTCCAACGCGCGCCCTGAGTCGGCCACACCCAGAACGGAGGAGGAGCAGGAACAGCCGCCAGCTGCAGTAGAAACTCAAGACACGCCAGCCTCGCCACCGGCGGAGGATGCAGCTGCCCAAGGCAGCGAAGTCCCGCCCGAGGATGCCAGTAAGGAGCCGGAAGACGAGTTTGAACAGATATCGGAGGGTTCTTTGGACGCCGATGAAAACCAGTCACAGGAAAAGCTGGATACCTCTCAGCGAGATCCCGTGGAGGCCGAGGCCGAGGCTGAGGCAGATGCGGAGGCCGAGGAGCCACTAGCTGCCGAGGGTGAACATCAGCCAGAAGCTGTTAGCGTTGATCCTCAGGAAGAACAGGAGGACGCTGAAGAAGAAACAGATGCCCTTAAAGCAACCGAGGAAGAAGAGGAAGCGGCAGCTGCCGCTGCCGATGCTGATGCAGTGGACGGGGGCCCGGCATCCAATGAAGCAATGGACGTGGATGATGGTGAGGGAGATGCCGAAGCAGAAGGCGAAGGGGATGCTGAAGGAGACGGGGAAGCACCGGAAGAGGAAACAGAGGAGCCATCAAATGAGCAAGACGCTGCGGATGATGTGGAAATGCGCTCAGTGGGCGGGGACTCGCACCATCCCGACGACACTGAGCCACCCGAGGGCCGGGACGAGGTCGACACCAGCCTGGAGGATCGGGAAACTGGAGCCGATCAAGACGAAGCGGAGAAAGAGGCGAACGCCGATGATGATGACATACCGGATGCTGACGCGGAATCGGAACAAATCGAAGAAGCAGCCGAGGAAGGCGGCGAAGCTGAACACGGCGATGGTAAGCGTATATACAATTTATTTTAAATAAGACTGCGCTCCGCTGCAATATTTTATTCGAAATAAGTAAACGTACTTTACACTTTACATACTCATACCAGATACTGTTGAAAATGTGCTGGAGCCCGAGGAGTCCGACGTGTGCCTCATTCCCGACGATCCCGAGACTGAGGTAACGGAAGCGGAAAAAGAACAGGCTCGAGAGAACGCAGAGAAGGCTGCTGAGGAAGAGGAAGCCGAGGAGCGTCAGTCCAAAACCCCCGACAACGTTGCAAAAACCTCTGGAGACGGATCTGCAGACCCAGAAGATGAGAATACGCCTGCAGCTCTGGATCGACCCGATTCCCCGTCTACCCCTACTGGTATGTTTGGTAGCCTAGAAAAAAATGTCCCATCCCATATCAATTCTTTTATCATCATTTTGCCGGCAGATATTCAAGCTGCAGCAAAGGAGGCGGCGGCATCAGAGAGTGCCGAAGGTGAGCGGATTTTAGCATTACAGTTGCGCGAATTCCGCAAGAATTTTATATGTTGTTTGCGTTTCTAAGAGCTTTATAGATTTCCGTTTGGTCCAAATTTATATTTTTCTCTTGTTTCTTCCAACTGAAGATACCTCGAAATTTTATTCAACCATTTTTCCGTATTTTTAGTTTCTAAATCCTAATACAATATCTTAAATTCGTCTGAATTCTGGCATATTCTTCATACCTTTAACATACAAAATTTCACATGCGAATTTGAAAACACTTTTCAAAATGCTGAATGCGTTGGGTTCTTGCTGCGTACTTTTGGACAACATTTTTAACTATTTCAAATTAATTGCTATTCCTGCTTGCCTTTTCCCATATGCGTACCTTTTATGTACGAGAAAAAAAACTAAAAAATGCTTAATTTATTTACAAAAACCTTTTCTTTCATCTGTCTTCCCATTTTTCATGTCGGTTTTAGATCGATAAAAATCGCGTTTTCCATTAGTTTTTCATGAACTATCGAAAATTATAATCATTTGTTTATTATTTTATTCATATTTTGTTATTAGCGACTGCTATTTAACGTTTCATCTTACCTTAACGCAAAAATGATTCAAACTAATCGAAATTATATGTTCTGCCGCCCACCAGATGATGGAAATGAAGGAGCGGGCAATGATGAGGAGGCCGCTGGCGATGCTCCCGACGCAGACGAGCCCACAGCCGAGGAAGGCGACGCAGCAAGTGGCGCAGGTGGAGAGCCTGGATCAGTGGCAAAGATCATAATCAGCTGGATAGTGGGCAGTGTGGAGAAGTGCAAACAGTGCGGCAACGAGAAAAACTGCGGCTTCCGATACAAACAACCCGAGGAATCAGAGTCAGATAAGGAAAAAGAAAAGGAGAAAGAAGGCGAAAACGCAGAAGAGACACCTCAGGAGCAGGCTCCCAGCGGGTTCGAGTACCTCTGCGACACCACCTGTTGCAATGCCCTCTTGGCCGATGAGCCCGGCAAGTTTTTCGTGCGTCGCAAGAAGTTCCTCGTGGAAGAGGTAGTCCGGGATGAGGGCGCCGAGCAGGAAGAGGAGCAAGAAGAAGGCGCCGAGGCTGAGGGTGATGAGGGTACGACACCCGCCAAAACCACGAATGAATGTCTGCAATGTAAGGAAAAGACGCGGTGCAAATATTTCATCAAACAGGACCAGGACTGCTTCTACATCTGTAATGATGATTGCTTCAACTTGCTCAACGCAGAAGAGCCCGACAAGTTCAAGCTTAAACGACACTCAATCCGAGTGCGCAACATTGGCGCCACCACGCTCCAGCCGCCTCAAAACTCATCGTCCAGCAAGCGGCCGGAGAGCAGCGTAGTGGCCAGAACGCTGGCCGAGGCGGAGACAGCGCGCTTGGACAGGATCGAGAGCTTCCGAAGACGTTGCGCCGACTGTGAGGCAGAGATTAATACTAACGAAAAGCAGCTTATGTGGGAGACCATGGATTTCTGCAACGAGGTATGCCTGGGCAGCTACCAGCGCACGATCGGCTCCAACTGCGAAACTTGCAAACAGGAGGTGAGCTCCACGGCTCTTGGCAAATACTGCGTGCGCTTCGGATTCGATGTCCGGCAGTTTTGCTGCGCCGCATGCCTCAACACCTTTAAAAAGGGCCTCAAGACATGTTCGTGCTGTCAAAAGGACATCAGTGGCGGGCAGGAGGGCTTCCTCGCCCCAGTGGGCGATAAAGATCAGTTCAAGGACTTCTGCTCGCAGGCGTGCCTTCGTCGCTACGACAGCATGTGCAATCCTCGCCGAAAGCTCCGCACGGACGTGTGCGGAGTCTGTAATAACGAGAAGCCAGTGCGCGTAGAGATGCTGCTGGAGGACAGGGAACACTATTTCTGCTCAAACCCCTGCTTTTCAGCTTTTAAGTTCGTGAGTAACGTGAACGCCGATCCGTGCGGCATGTGCTCCAAGTATTTTGAGCGGCGCAGCGCTGAGGCCTACACCATCTACAATGAGCAGCAAACGCCCAAGGTCTTCTGCTCACGCGTCTGTATCAACGTATTTATCATCGTGAACCGCCATATCGTCTCGTGTCAATGGTGCAAGGTGAAGAAATACAACTTCGATATGATCTACCAGGTGGGCGGCGAACAGGAGCAGGAAACGCTTACATGCTCTATCAACTGTCTGACCATGCATGGCGTCAGCTGCAATATATCAGCACGTGCCGTGACCAAGTGCGACAACTGCAGCAACTTTAATACGCCGCAGTATCACCTGACCATGTCGGATGCCTCGATGCGCAACTTCTGCACCTACCAGTGCGTAATGCAGTTTCAAAACCAGTTCGCCCGCGCCCCGCTCACGCTGGACAGCGACCTGCCGCCCACCAGCAGCAGTTCAAAGGCTCAGCTCATGTCCGCGCGCGGTTCAAGAAAGGATGTCGCACCATTCCCCACGGGTCTGCCCAAGCGCGTCAAGCTGAAGCTCTCGCAACAGGTGAGTTGATAGTTTACAAAGAAATTTTCCTTAGCATGTCATAGCCACCGAAAAGTTTCTCACAAATGTATAAGTCTGCTCTCAGTCTCAAAAAGGACAAATCAGTATGTTCAAAGCTTCGTCTCCTTTGTCATGATTAATTTTCAAAATAACACCACTGTGTACCCAGACTTTAAAAGACTGATAACTCGAAAAATTGAGTATTTGCGTTTGTTTTTATTTTTGTAATGCTGACAAGAGGTCGTCTCCTTGCGGTACCAAATCTGCTGACCTTGAAATACGTTTATTTATTAATCATGTTTTCCTGACTTCTTTTATTTTGCAGGTCGGAAAGAATGCCGGTGTGGGCGCCAAGAAATCCGGTGGCCCAATGATTCCGGTTATATCTACGGTCCAATCACTAGCCAGCGGGGAAACAGAAGCCCGAATTGGAAATGTGACTGTGAGGCGCAAGCGTGGTCGTCCCCGGGAGTCTGGCACATCACCGCCGCCGCTACTCTCTATTCCGGGGTCACACTCTTCAGCACCTCGGGGAAGGCCCCGCAAGCATGTGGACTATACAGTGCGCTCTCCGTCACCCATACCATTGGCCAGCCCGCACAGTATAGCCGGCCGACGGAACACCACCACAACCATGGACTACGGACCACCTACGGTATCGGAGACGAAAATCATCACAGTGCCGCCATACCCGAAGGCTGTGCGAAACGTCAACATCAGCTGCAAGCCTATGATGGTATCCACCGGGGAGCAGATCACACCGTCCGTGCGCGACTGCGCTACACAGACGGAAAAGGACTATTCAAACAAGGTGCTCATCCCGGTGCCGGTGCCAATCTTTGTGCCACAGCCCATGTACATGTACTCGGCGCCGTTCCCAGTGCCCGTGCCCATTCCGCTGCCAATCCCGGTACCCATCTTTATACCCACGACGCGCAACACCTCGCAGGGCATACTTAAAGAGATCAAAAAGATCCAGGACAAGATGCCTGAGGATCCTTTGGAGGCCGAGCTGCTCATGATGGCCGAAATGGTGGCCGAGGAGAAACATGATTCGGACTCCGACTCGGACAATGAGATCAAGCCGGATCCTGGCCTGGTCAGTCTGCAGTATCAGAACAGCCTCGAGTCCGTCGCCCAACAACAGCAGCAGCAGCAACAAGTGGTGGACGTCAGTGGGTCTGGGCACAATCCCTACGGCGACGACATGCTTCAGATTGCCCTTAAAATGGCAACAGGCGACTACGACAACCACCACCAGACGTCGACGGTGGATCTGGAGACTTCCATGACGGCGAACACGATCAGCAGCCAGTCACCTATGGGTCATGACGGCATGGGTCAAATGGTGCATCATTTGGACCAGCAGCATCACATGCTCGATGCCACGAACCGGTTAGTAAAGATTAAGTTCACGTTCCTTAAACACTATAAAATCCTTCTGTATATACAGATCACCGCGTGGTCGTAAGCGAGGCGTTGGCTCTGTCCTTGAGTCACCCAATCGGAATCGATCGCCAGTTAAGAGACAGCGTGGAAGCGAAATGGATCACTCGGCTTTGCAGCAGCAATCGCAGCAGGCCCAGCAGCCGCAGGAGAAGCCTGACGCTCAGATGTTCCTCAAGTACACCTTCGGTGTGAATGCTTGGAAGCAGTGGGTGATGACCAAGAACGCGGACATTGAGAAGAGCTCGATGCGCCGGCGGCCGTTTAAGACGGAACTTCTCCAGATGACCGCCGACGAGCTGAACTACTCGTTGTGTTTGTTCGTTAAGGAGGTGCGGAAGCCGAATGGAACGGAATATGCCCCGGATACCATATATTACCTAGTATTGGGTATGTAATAAGCCTTATATGCTTTAAAGTAGGTCTATTAATTTGATTGTTTACCTTTGTAATTCTCCAGGCATTCAGCAATATCTTTATGTAAATGGGCGCATAGACAACATATTCTATGATCCATACTACGAGCGGTTTACAGAGTGCCTAGACGATGTGGCACGCAAGTTCTCCGTGCTGTACAACGATTCGCGTAAGTTCCGAAATTTTTGGGTTTCTATGAAATATCCTTAGATTCATTCATTTCATTCACAGAATACATTGTCACTCGCGTGGAGGAGGAGCATTTATGGGAGTGCAAGCAACTGGGAGCACACTCACCGCATGTGCTGCTCAGCACACTTATGTTCTTTAATACCAAGCACTTTAATCTGACGGTAAGAAATATCTTAATTCCAATGGCTGTGGGTGGCTAATCATTATGATGTTGTGTTTCAGACTGTGGAGGAGCACATGCAGTTATCCTTCTCGCATATCATGAAGCACTGGAAGCGCTCGTCACAGAATTCTAAAGTTCCTGGCTCACGAAACGTCCTCTTACGCTTCTATCCACCGCAGGCGGGTCTGGGTAAGTAGTCACATATTGCGTTATCTGGAAAACCAATATCTAATTAGTTTTCTTTTTCTTTAACCAGATGCCAATCCACGAAAAAAGAAGGTGTACGAGCAGCAGGAGAACGAGGAGAATCCGCTGCGGTGCCCCGTCCGCCTCTACGAATTTTATCTCTCTAAATGGTCAGTGTTGAAGTTTATTGTATCAACATTTTTAATGTCGATCAATTATCAACAAAAAGTTTTAATTTAATTGTTCGATTAGATATGGCGCTCTAAACTTCCTAAGTTTCTTACTTACTTACTTTTTGTTTTATCCCTACAGCCCCGAGAGTGTGAAGACCCGAAATGATGTATTTTATCTGCAGCCGGAGCGATCCTGTGTGCCCGACTCACCCGTTTGGTACTCCACCCAGGCTCTGGGGCAGGACGCACTGCAGCGTATGCTTCATCGCGTTAAGATGGTCAAGGAAATCAACATTGCGCTACTGACGACTTAATGTTTATTTAGGCAGTTATGTATCTTTGTGTTTGTGCAAGGCATTGTCCTGCAATGACACCCGGAGGAGGGCGATTCTTCGGCTTGGTGCTTAGCACAAGTTAGTTTGCGGGCAAAACCAAATAGGGCTAACCTAGAGCGAGAGTTGTGCTATATTATAAATTGTTTTTAACTTACTTTTACACCTATTTTTGATTGTCATTAATTGTGCTGCTAAAGCGCTGAGCGAAAAGGAGAATTGTATAAAAATTGTGAACGATATAGCCAAGCCCATCTCACTTTCGATTGAATTATAATAAAACTAGAAACCATAACAAGCAACAACAATCCACACACACAAAACGAGACATACGCACATGTAGACACCCTCAGACATGCATCTTCATTAGTTTAGGATCGTAAGCCAGACTCCACACACACACATTTTTAGTCATTACTTAGATTGTTAAGGCGATAAGGCAATAAGGAGAATGTGCCCCGACCAGACCCAAGAGAGCGGAGTACCGGACGATACGTGCATGTATGTATGTACATAGATCGACGACGACGGATGAACACACAGTGAGTGTACAATGAGAGTTGTACATAGGATGCGACCCTTGACAATTAGCAGCGCCTCTGTTGTAAGTGTTGAAAAAAGTGTAAAATGCTGTACTCCTTAAATGCAAGATCTAAAATAAGTTCGCATGTCGCGTATAAACGTGTACATGTCTATATATTAATACATACTTTGAATGAATGTTAATTGTGTTTTAATTGTTGAACAATAAGGGTGAAAAATTTGGAGTTGTATGTTACAGTTTTCAAATTAATGCCGATTTCAAATCCTGCGTGCACTCCGATTAAAGAAAAACCGACTACTTCACAAGTGTTTCCGTTTATTGACACAATAGATATGCGGCTTTTGTTAAATACATTTTAATTGAGTTGATTAATCGCAACACAGCTCGCGGATCCTTATACAAAAACAGATGGAACTAAAATAAGATACTATACTGGCTCTCGCTTGGTCGTATGTTCAAGAGGGATTCAAGGCCGAAGGCGCATTCGATGAGGCTCTTTGTTTTGATGTCTTTTTTATATATATATATTCACACTGCGGTCTCTGCTTACCACTCGGCGTCTCCATTTGATTTTTGGAATACATAGTCCTTGCCACGCATGTTCATAATTCCATCTTTGAGATAGAACTTCCACTTATTGCGCGAACGGGTGATCTGTTAGTAGAGTATTGTTAGATCTAATCCTTGATACGTAAAACAAATGTTCTTACTTTATCATACTGGCAGACGATCACGTTGTCAGTGTCAAACATTTCGGCAGAGTCTTCGTCAGTGACATCGTCCTCACTGTTGAGAGGCTCCTCTTCGGCGGCATCTTCGTGCTCAACGTCTTCATCGTCATCCTTGTCTACGTCATCATCGTCGTCGTTGTCAATGTTGTCGTCACTCTCTTCGCTTTCGTCTTCATCGGACGAATCCAAGGCACCGTCCAATTGTTTGGCTGCAGCCAGACTTTCTAAGAGTTAAAGGAGGAATTTATTAAATAAATTCAAAAGGGTACAAATCTTGGGACTTACTCTGATGGTTAGCACTGCTGAGGGCAGCGTTAACGTGCTGCTGCAGCACAGACGAGGCCAAAGTGGTTGGCAAGGTCATGATGGAGGAAATCAGATGGGCTGTCAGAATTTGTGTTAGCTGATTCTCCTGGAGCGCCGAGGCAGGCACTTGAATGGTGAGTACGCGAGATTCCGAAGTTGCCGAGCCGACTGGCGATGGCAGTGTGATCTTCAATTGTAATAATAAATTATTGAAATCATTTTATAAATCAGTCATACTGATATCAACTCACATTTACGGGCATTATGCGGTTGGGATCCAAAGAAGCCACTATTGGAATGGATGCCTGTCCACCGCCGCCAGCCGACTGTTGTTTCTGCAGCATACCAGCACCTGAGGTGGGATGCAAAGGCGGCGGATTCTGTGAGTTGACTTCCTGCTTGATGGGCACTAGTCCGTTTTTGATGCCACTTCCTGCTGCACCGGTGACCGACTTTATTGAGAGCGACGATCCGGAGCTGCTGCCGCCGATATGTGGCTGTGATGTGGCCGCAGAGGCGGCGGCCTTCTTGGCCTTGGCATTAGCTGCCTGCAAATTTGAATACTAGCGATTAGTTGGTTAATCTAGGGATTTTCTCAAAAGATGCGCAGCTGGCTTTATTACCTTAGTGTTCTGCAGACGAGGTGTGCATGTGGTTGTGTGTATGACAGAGAGCATGAGAGCGAATACGGTTTATGACATGGAAATGTGTAAGGCAGCGCATTAGTCGATGTTGTTGTTGTTGTTGGTGAGGCGCAGTAGCATTGTTGTTGGCCATAAGGAAGATAAAGCAACATATCTTAGATGAAATGCTTCCGAAATTAATTAATTAATGTAGTTATTTATAATTTGAACATAGGGGGCTGCCTTTAGTTTATTTATTCCTAAAATGCATCTAATCGTATCTGGTTTAACTAATATGAAGCAGTTACTTAAGTTTTACTATGTTATTAATTCATATCTTGTCTTTAAATACATTAATGGATTTTAAGTAATTTCATGTACCAGTGGTCATAAAAAGAGATTTGGTCTTAGGTGACCTATATTTTTCGACTTTCTTTTTCTAAAAGGTACATGAAGTTAAATGAAATGTTTGTTAAAAATTTAGTACAAAACTTCGAAAACCACCACCTGGTTGACTTTGTGATCAACGTATACAACCAATTTTAATGTCTAGGTCATATATCTGGCTATCTGCTAGTGACACATAATGGCACACGGATACAGGAATGCACACACCCAATGAGCAGTGAGGAAGGCGGGAGTTTTGAACTTACCTTTGGATTGTTGGCCACGATGGGCGGTGGATGGGAGCCCTCGCCGGGTTCTGGGGTCAGCTCGACAGCCTTACTGGCCAGCAGCTTGTTGCGCCAAATTTGCTTCATCTCCTGCAGTACCTGCTCGTCCACGCCCTCGTCCAGGAAGGCGTCGCGCACGTTTGTGATAACATCCTCGATCACGGCATGATACACCTTTAGCTGCAGACGGTAAGCGTGTGTTAATAGTGTATTATTAAGTTCTGATTGCATGAGCAATCAGTGAGGAGCGTGCGTGTTTCGTGTTGATGTTAACACTCATTTTATTAGTCTGAAGTCAGTGATATTTTATGAAGATAGTAATTATACAAGTAGTGTCCTTTTCCTGTATAATTAGTAGATATTGCCAGTAAAAATTTTAAAAAGAAATCAGAAATAATCTGTTTTTCTCCAACATTGTATACGAATGTACAATATATCATGTATGTACATGAATATTCATGTGTTGGCATGTACATACATATATGTATGTACATACATTTGGTATATTTTCAAAGATGTACCGGTATCGCGAAATGCGACATTTGTTATTGCTGCAATCGCCTCATGGCTGAAGTCACCTAGGTGGAAATGTTTGTTGTGTTAGTACGTAGTTTTGCTTTATCTGGGGGGTGATAAGGGTACCGCACCACTGATAGAGTAGCATACGCAGAACCAACTTCTTGCTGGTAGTAACACTATATGCTTAGGAGACACCGACACCTCCCCTCCTTCGAGAGATGGCAACCCAAAAAAATGCAAGGCAACGAACGCAGCCAACACCAATACTAGCGCATGGCAGTCTGACGTGCACAGCACGCACGCACTCACACAAAGTGCCGCAGTTGCAGTATCAGTATTAGTATGTCTATAAAGGTATATACATATATCTGTATCTGTCCTGCCCCTGGCCAACGACCGAAACTTTCACTTTCCCGGGAGGGGGAGACGAAAGGAGCAGACTCCACCGCTTCTGGCTGTGAACCTCCATATGTCGGGCGTCTGTCTGGTGCACTTGTGAGTCCGTGTGCGTTAGGTACGAAAGTTTGCCTCAGCAGAACCAGCTTTGCACTTACCACCGATGTCTGGCATAGCGCCATTTGAACCTTCTTTTCCGCCAGTTTGAGGCTTTTCTATTCACTACTTTGGTAATTTAACTTTGAAATTATGTTTAATGTGAGAACTCAAGAATTAACTAGGGCTGTTGAACATATATCAAAATATCGATATGTCGATATTGAGATATTTATATCGTGATGTTTTGTTTACCTAAATATCGATTGTGCGATTTCTTTATGCGACTAGGGTATGTTTATAGCCATAAGGCTGGCCACACTGGCCACACAAACTTACGAGAACTTCAAAGAAAGAGAGGTTAACAGAGTTTTGCGGGTGAAATGAAAAAGAGAGCACTAAAGGTCACTATCACTGTTGCCAAATTTGCATTTTCCTATCAAATCTGTCAGTTGCTAAACAGCGGAATAATAGTGTGTGGTGTATTTGGGCTGATAGCGAAGGCGCGAACTATGAAAATGGAACCAGATGGGAACCAGTAGAGAACCACTCGCTGAACCAGACTATGAAACCATGTTAAGAAAAATTCTAAATTAAATGAAATAGCAAATTGTTGAATAAAACATTAAGAAAAGCGACTGACCAATAAATGGAAAAGCCATTCAATTTGGTAGGATTTTCATCTAAATGCCCCTCCCCGACAAGCAAAATCGACGCTAACTTTTACAAAAATTTTACGCCCGTAAATGATCGAGTGCAAGCTTGCACGGTATCTCAAACGATAGGGAAATACATTCTATAATTTCGAATTAAATCTCTATTAAAGAGAGATTTGTTTTTGTTTTTTAAACATGACACCCGAATCGGACAGGAAAGGAATTTTGGTACTGAAGGGTACATCTTCGTTTTCAGATCTCATTCACAAACACTGGCTTCATATCGATAGGGACGCCTCCCACACTCTACCGATAAATAGACCGTCAGAAAATATTCTTATTGACCATTTAAACATTTGTATAAAATATGCATGTCCCATAAATGGAATTGACATTCCAAGCATTTTGGTAGATGTTTCATCAAAATCCGTTCAGCCGTTCAAGAGAAAACATCCCTTTTTCATTTATTTCCATAAATGTTCCTTCGAAGAATAAATATATCTGGCAGCACTGTCTGCCTAAAATTAAGTCAATTTGATTTAAACTTTATAATAAAACTTATCCAAGCTGAAGATAGTACCATTAACGAGGTCGCTATTCTGAACATTTTGATCCACGTTTCATCAAAATCCGTTCAGTCGTTCATAAGAAATCTCGACTTTTTCATTTATTTCCATTTATGTGCCAGCGAAGAATAAATATATCCCGCAGCCCTGCCCGCCCAAAAACCAAGAAAACTTTATTTAAACTTTATGGTTAAACCTATGCAAAAGGAAGACTGTCCCATAGACGGCATCGCAGTTCTGGACATTTTAGTCTATGTTTCATCAAAATCCGTTCAGTAGTTAATGAGAAATCCCGACCTTTTCATTTATTGCAGTTGGGTACCAGGGGTGCATAGTCATGCCTACTTTGTATATAAATTAGTAATTCAAATGTTAATTTCTCCAAAACGACTGAACGGATTTCGATGAAACGCCTACCGAATTGCTTAGAATAACGATATCATTAATTGGGCAGACTATTAAATGTTATTTCGAAAATTTGCTTTTCAAGTCTGGTGCTTCAATGCCCTTGCTTTGTAATATGATTTCAGGTCAAAAATTTGCAACGCAGTGAATAAATTATTTCCGACCCTATAAAGTATATATATTCTTGATCAGCATGAACAGCCGAGTCTATCTAGCCATGTCCATCTGTCTGCAGTCACTTTTCTTAATGTTTTATTCAACAATTTGCTATTTTTATTTAATTTGGTATTTTTCGTAACATGGTTCCATTGTCTGGTTCAGCGAGTGGTTCTCTGCTGGTTCCCATCTGGTTCCATTTTCATAGTTCGCGCCTTCGCTATCAGCCCAAATACACCACCCACTGTTATTCGATATTCTCGAAATCTGCTGGTTAAAAACAATTAAAATTTTCACTAAATATTCGTTAATCTTCCCCTAGTAAGCCTATATACCGTGCATATGTCTAAGCGTTCGTAAATCGAAGTTATAAGCCTTACAATTTTGGATGCCCCATTTTGTATGGAGTCGACCCCGAGGTCAGATCACTGTTATTCGATTTGATCAAAAACTGACGGTTTGAAGAAATTGAAACTTGGTAGGGTAAAACTACAATAAATGTCCTTCATATTGTCATATCGGGTATTGATGCACACGTTTGATTATCCGAGATATTAAGAAATCCGTGAAAACACGATTTTTCACATGTTTTTTGTAATATATCCAAATGTCAAATAGTTTCAAACCCAGTAAAAAAGAATAGTAAATTAATTTTTTAGCATTTAACAACATTATTTTATTCGAATTAATTACGAAATAAATTAAAAATTAAAGATCCCCCCCATGTTCCATTTTCCCACCGTTAACTCATCGACGTTAATTTGACGGACATTAAAAAAAAACGATAATAACGAGAACGAGCTAAAAAAAATGTATATATAACGTTCCCAAGAAGTTTATGTTGTATAAACTTTGCAAGGGTTACTTTTATTTTTTTTATTGGTCCCCTTTGTTTTATAATAATAATAAGGCATTAATCCAACTAAGTTTCTCGTTTTACAATGTACAAGAAATTATACTTTAGTTGCTACATTATATTTCCTATTTGTACAAAAACGGAATATAAAATATTTCTCAATATAGAATACATGTAGTTACACCATGTTCGTTCAAACAGATGTTTTTTTTATTTTATTTTTTTTATTTATATTATATTAACATGTAGAAATCTTTATTAATGAACATCTTCTGTTCGTTTTCGTGCTCTCGTGTTCTCAAAAAAGAGCGTTACGAGAGAAGTTAACAGAATTTAGCGAATGAAATGAAAAAAAAGAGAGGTAACAGAATTTTGCGGGTGAAATGAAAAACAGACAGTTAACAGAATTTTGCGGTGGAATGGAAAAAAGAGAATGAACTATAGCAATTAGAGGTGGTCCGCTAGACCTGTTAGGGCTGCACAGTCGGTGATATTATTATCGATACTATCGTAAATCTGTGTGTCATGACAGCTGGCCACACTTAAATATGTCATGGAGCGCTCAATGCATCGTCGTTGCCAGACTGCACAGTGAGCTGGGATTTTTCCCCGATCTTTGCTGTGCAACAGGTTTATCAGATAGCAGCTTTCCCCTGCTGAATGCATCTGGAAATTGCATGAATCAGCCCCGACCAGTTATCCCGCCCACCAACCAACGAGATGAGTGGCGCAGAAACTGCCGAGGCAGTGGCTCTGGCCCAGGACCAGGCGAACGGAAATAGGACCAGGTCGCGATCCCACATCGATGACACCATGGCCATTCGACTGCTGCCTCTGCCGGTGCGTCACCAGCTCTGTGCCCACCTGGACGCCCTGGATGTGTGGCTGCAGCTGGCGACGGCCGTCAAGCTTTATCCGGATCAAGTGGAGCAGATAAGCAGCCAGAAGCAGCGGGGACGGTCTGCGTCGAACGAGTTCCTCAACATTTGGGGTGGGCAGTACAACCACACCGTTCAGACATTGTTTGCTTTGTTCAAGAAGTGAGTATAAAGGCGATAAGAAACACTACATTGGATTATGAACACCGTTTGCCTTACAGATTGAAGCTCCACAATGCCATGCGGCTGATTAAAGACTATGTGAGCGAAGATTTGCACAGGTACATTCCCAGGAGTGTTCCGACCATCAGCGAGCTGCGTGCTCTGCCGGATTCCAGTGCCAAGGTGAACAATGGCCCGCCCTTTCCCTCCTCCTCCGGTGTTAGCAACTCCAACAACAATCGGACCACCACGACCGAGGAGATTCCTAGTCTGGAGTCGCTGGGAAACATTCACATCAGCACGGTTCAAAGGGCAGCCGAATCCCTGCTTAAGATCGATTATTCTGAGCTGGAAATCGCCACAGATAACTGGTGTCCCGACAATCGACTCGGACAGGGTGGATTCGGAGAGGTTTATCGAGGCGAGTGGAAGCAGCTGGACGTGGCCATAAAGGTGATGAACTACCGCAGCCCCAACATCGACAAGAACCAGGTGGAGCTGCAACAAAGCTATAACGAGCTTAAGTACCTCAACACCATACGGCACGACAATATTCTGGCACTGTACGGTTACAGCATCAACGGCGAGAAGCCCTGCCTGGTCTACCAGCTGATGAAGGGCGGCTCGCTGGAGAATCGTCTTCGGGCGCACAAGTCACACCAGCCATTGCCAGCTCTAACCTGGCAGCAACGGTTCAGCATCTGTCACGGCACAGCCAGGGGCATCTACTTCCTGCACACAGCTCGCAGCACTCCGCTTATCCACGGGGATATCAAGCCGGCGAACATTCTGTTGGATCAGTGCTTGCAGCCAAAGATCGGTGACTTCGGACTGGCGCGGGAGGGTCCCAAGTCTATTGATGCAGTGATGCAGGTGAAAAAAGTATTTGGAACAAGGATCTATTTGCCTCCAGAGTTTCGCAACTCCAAGCAGCTTAGCACAGGCGTGGATGTGTACAGCTTTGGCATAGTGCTGCTAGAGGTATTTACTGGGCGACAGGTGACCGATCGGTTGCCCAAGAACGACCTGCAACAGGATCTACTGCACTACGTCAAACAACACTGGCGGCAGAATCGCACCGAGTTGCTGGACAAGCACGTTGCGATGCCACTGGGCGAAGAGTTGGACATGTGTATGTGCGCCATAGAGGCGGGACTGCACTGCACCGCTCTGGATCCGCAGGATCGTCCCTCAATGGATGCAGTACTCAACCGCTTTAAGCCATTCCGCAATGATTTTTATTAGCATTTCAGTGACCTAAGTTATTAAGTGCCTTATGTTATCGTTTTACTGTTTTATACCTGCTTTTTATATGTAACTCGAAGCACTATAATTAATCGTTACAATATTCTCCAAGGGTTGAATATATGTATGCTCAATCGAAATGTAGTATATAAAGCCGCATAAATCCACAGAATTCGCTCCTGATTTTTAAGTGCCTTGAAATGGTGTCGGAAAGTATGCTACAAAATGTAATACCTCTAAAATCTAAAACATGAATTGTTTAGTTTTTGTATTGATTCTAGCGTCATTTCGGTTACTACTCTTTCCTTTTCGTAACACAAACACAGCAAAATAATACCGTTTTTATTCGATAAGAAGGATTCCGGCTACCATAATCAAGTCGACCATATTTCATGGTTTTTAGTTTTTATCAAGAGCAAATTTTCCATTTCGAGAATCGAGATCCATCAGGGACAAGGACAACCCGCAATGAATTTGAAAAATTCCAAGTTTTACAAGAGGATCCAGGAGCTGCGTCACTTCTCAAAGAGAAGGTACGCAAGGATAGGGAGAACAGGACGCGCGTTTCCCGCGCTTTGAAAATGGCGATCAGTGAACAGCCTTGCTCGGACAGGGAGTGGTTCAGCTCGGAGCGCTCGCCCTCGCCGCCCCCAGCCCAGCCCATCTCTCCGCGTCGACGGATCAAGAAGTATAGGTCTCCCAAGAAAAAGGCTGTCGGAAAGTCGATGGGCAACCTGTCTCCCAACTACCGTCTGAATGGCGGGCAGTGTTCCGGCCGCGAGAGCCCCAAGCCAGGGCTGATGGCGTCGGCAGAAGCCAAGCTGAATGGCTTCATACAGCTAAACAACAAGCGTTATCGCGTGGAATGTCCCACTCGGGTTGCGGCCCCACTCGGTGTCAGCCACAACCCCGAGCGTTCCAGGTGAGATCTCTCACGCACTTTGTTTGGGAGTTAAGACTGATGCTCAGTCCCTTCTAATCGCAGCGATACCAAAAGCACCATCTGTGTGGCCAATTCCCGCTACGGCATGATCGGCAAAATATCCAAGACTCTGGGATTCAAGCTGGTCAAGGAATCGAAACTGTGGAACATCTTCTGGTCGGACTCATTTCCCGGTGTGGAGCTGTTCAAGAACATGAAACGCTTCCAGCAGATCAATCATTTTCCGGGTATGATCGAGATCTGTCGGAAGGATCTGCTCTCGCGCAACCTCAACCGGATGCTTAAGTTGTACCCCTTTGACTACAAGATCTTTCCCAGGACGTGGATGCTACCTGCAGAGTAAATTTTTTTTTTATATGTAATAACTATCTTCGATTTCCTTAATTTCTCTACTTAACATAGCTATGGAGACGCCATGAATTATGCCCTAACTCACAAGCGAACCTTCATCCTGAAGCCGGATTCTGGGGCTCAGGGACGTGGCATTTGGCTGACAAATGAACTGAAGTCGATTGGAGCTCATGACAGACTCATCTGCCAGACGTACATACATAAGGTAAGAGAAGCACCCATAAAGCACCCTACAAGTAATACCTTATCTTTAAATCTGTAAAGCCACTCCTCATCGATGGCTACAAGTTTGATTTGCGTGTTTACACGCTGATTACTTCCGTTGATCCGCTACGCATCTTCGTGTACAACGAGGGATTGGCCAGATTTGCTACCAATAAGTACGTGGAGCCCACGCCTGGGAATTCAAATGACCTTTACATGCACCTGACCAACTACTCCGTCAACAAGCGAAACTCGCACTACGAGCTGTGCGACAACGACGACTGCGGCAGCAAGCGAAAGCTGAGCGCGATCAACAACTGGATGAGACGGCACAACTATGACGTGAACGAGTTCTGGACCAACGTGGACGACGTTATCATTAAGACGGTGTTGAGTGCTTGGCCTGTTTTGAAGCACAATTACCACGCCTGCTTCCCGGGACATGACAAGATCCAGGCCTGCTTCGAGATTCTCGGCTTCGACATTCTAGTGGACTGGAAGTTGAAGCCCTACATCCTAGAGGTGAACCACTCGCCCAGCTTCCACACCAATGAGCAGGTGGACAGGGAAGTGAAACGCCCACTTATCCGAGACACCCTGAATCTTGTCAGCACTGGGCTCGTGGACAAGAGGCAGATCCTCAGGGAGGATCGCAAGAGGGTCAAGCAACGACTGCTTAAAACCAGGGGAGAGCCGTAAGTAGAATCAAACTGGTGCCTGCAACCCATGGTACGAATTTGCTTCTCCCTCTATCCCAGGGCAGTTCCCCGGGCTCGTCTTTATGCAGGTTCCGCGTCTAAGGCCAAAATAGATACCAATCTCGGCAATTCAGAACGGCTGGCCAACTGTAATCCTAAAAAGATTGATGCAGAGACCGAGGAAGAGGGCGCTCTGGCCCGGCAGGTCGCCTGGGAGGACAGCCACATGGGCAATTTCAGGAGAATAATGCCGCCACCAGATGCATCGAAGGGTGACTATTACATCCGCTTCTACGGGCAGACCAATCAGGTGTCCATTTTTGCTGAAACGGCTGCCAGCAAGAAACGGGAGGATCTCGCCCGAAAGATGCGCCTTCAGATCGAAGAGAAGAAGGCCAAGCAGGAGCAGATGCTCAATGGGCGACCGAAGCGAACGCGCCTTCTGCCGCGAGCTGTGCGTGAAAAGAACCGGATGACCCTCTTCCGGATGAAGGAGAACTGGACGCCGGGCTTTATTTCGGATGCGGAGGAGCGCCTGCGCCACACTTGGCTACACACGCGCACGGAGTCCATTAGGACGCTTAAGATCACGGAAAATGTAAGTTAAACCGAACTCAAATTTAAGAAGAATGAAAAAACGGTTAAGTAAAAATGTATAGTAAACTTTTGAAGACCATTTTAAATCTATTCCATCTTTTTGCAGATCTATACCTCGCTCTATGAGTCCGGTCACTTGACCAACACAGACATGATCGTTTATCCCCATCTCTACCACAACCTGATAAACGGTTTTGACATCAGACGAATCCATCCATGAATTTCTGCATTTCGAGCACCACTCCTCTTGTACGTAGATGTGTTATAAAATTTATTATCAATTCGATTGTAATTGGAAAAAGGACGGAATTATTTCATCTTTAATTGAAGCCCAAAACCCGGAATGCAGAAGTTCAGATGATGGTGATTTTTTTGAGATTTGATTCCAGACTTTACCACTTGAAGTACCAGAGGAACATATTGTACTTTAACAACACAACAGTTTGATTCAAAATTCTTCCCCAAATGTATGTAATAAACTAAATACTTTGAACTATACATTTTTAAATTAATATTTGTTAATCATATGGCTTAAAAAATAGTTCTCAATATCTTTGTTTTTCTTATTTATTTTTTAATTATAAACACTCATTATTAGGAACAGTAAACATATACATATCTTTCAACAAATACTTCCGATGCTAATTTGTTTAAAGCTTTTTATAGAGTAAATGCAAAATAAACACCAGTTTTGTTTTAAAGAAAGCTTTTATAGTGAGTAAATACTGATATATTCTTTTTAACAATATATTTCCGACAGCGTTATTTATCAATAAATGGTGTCAATTGAGTAATTCAACCTAAATTGTATTCGAAATTCCGAATTTTAGGCATCTATATTTCTGTTTAGATTGGAACCGCGACTGCCTCGGACTGGCACTCAACTTTAGCTTGATCCGCGTAAATGTGTGTACATATATTTGGCAGTCTGCCCGTCCGGCAAACAAACATCATAAACATTTTAAGAGTACAGCGATCGAGAATCGAGAGCACATCCCCATATGCTCGATTGAAATTGTATTCGACTGAAGAGAGGAAGCAGAGCACTGAGATCAGTCGGACCAAGGAGCAGGCACGGACCAGTCCACGCCCCAGGCAGTCGTTAATTAAGTTCGCGAAGAAAAGTTGTTTTGAAAATCATACAACTTTTAATATTTTCCAAATACTTGCGGCATGTTTAAAGTGTCGCAGGAAATGCGCCTGAATACCCAGGCGGCAGCTACCACCGCCTGCAGTCCCGGTGGGAGTGGTGCTCTGGAGGCCCATAGTCCGGAGGAAGGCGGTATTTTTGGACGCTACCAGCGCACGCCCGATGCGGGTGAGTTGAGTGCCCGATGGCGGCTATGAGGAAGTAAACATCGAAATAGCTATTTATACACACCCCCGCCTTGCAGATGCCTATCCCGCAGAGCCGCCCCGGGTTTATGTGGCACCCGAACTGACCGATGCCGGCAAGGTGCAGCTGCTCCACTTTCCCAGTGGCGCGATGAGGGTCAATAGCTCGGTGGGCTTCGTCATCAAACGGAACGGGGTCAAGGGGAACTTCGAGGTGCGCGTAGAGGGTCCCAGTGGGCAGCCCATTCAGCCTGTCCAACAGCAACAGCTGGATCCGGAGCGCTTTCAGATCGACTGCCAGTTGGCAGCCGGAGCGGGACTCTATAAGGTGCACATCAAGTGCAATTCAGTTACGTTGCCCAGGTCGCCGTTCATCATTGTGGCCATAGCAGGCCTTGCAGACTCTGTGGAAGGGAAGCCAGCGAGCTCGACAGGTATTTAACTTAAAAACTAAAGATTTATTTTAATGACCTACTTATTTTTTGCCAATCAGTCCCCATCTTGGACTCGGATGTCAGCAAGGTGCACAGTCGAGGCCTGGGTCTTACCCACGTCAGTCTATTGGAGCGCAATGAGTTCACGGTGGACTGCAGCCAGGCGGGCAGCAACATGCTATTGGTGGGCGTCCTGGGACAGCGAGGCCCTTGCGAGGAGGTGGTGGTCAAGCACTTGGGCCGTAACATCCATCGGGTTACCTATCGTGTCTGCGATCCCGGCGATTATGTCTTAGTGGCCAAGTGGGGGGAACAGCACATACCGGGATCGCCGTTTAGCCTTACAGCGGATTAGGATTCGAAATCAATGTGAGTTTCCGGTTGTGTACGAGAACATCTGCTGACCTTGATTTGGAGCTATTTCTATGTCTTCTCTATCTTTGTATCCTCCGAGTGGTTCCCTGAGGGGATGTTCAGTTTAATGACGATTACGGAAGCATTATGGCTACTGGAACACGTTTCTTTTTAGCCCTGTTCAACGATAATGACGTTGGCATTTGGAATTGATGCTGTCGTCGCCTCACAACCTACATATGTATGTATATAATGATGATGACCGGCAAATGTACCAAATGAAAATGAATACCAATGTTTACAGCTAAGATAATAATAATAATAATAGTTAAAGTATGCATGCATAAAGTACATATTAAATAAAAACAATTTAATAATATAGTCTTTAAATGTGCCGTAAATTGTGTTTTTATATATACTTATGTAAGTAGTGTTTATATAATTGACAATTATTAATTGTACAAAAATAAATTTTGTGTGTAATTTTTTAGTTTTTTGAAAGCTCCTAGAAAAGGAATTGCTCATCTCTGTTGAGTTAAAGGGTAAAAGGTGGAAGGACTCAAACGCGGAAGCCACACAATGTCTTGCTCTTAATGATGATGATGGGAAATTTATTTTCTATACTTTCATGGCCTGAGATAGAAAAAGTTAAAGCCAACAAATCCACGAACTCAGAACGGCTTTCTTTTAATGATATTCCTTTATTTACAAACATATTTTCCCTTGCTTGGTATTACAATTTTAGTCAGTGACTTGTAAAGATGTGAAGGGGTAATTTCCGACCCCATAAAGCATATATATTCTTGATCAGCATCGAAAGCTGAATCTATATAGCCATGTCCGGGCAAAAAACAAATTTTTCGACATTTTTCAGATTTTTGCCAAAAATGACAAGGGGTTACATCATTAAAAATTGCAAAAATTCGCCAAAAATCGGTTTTTTGTAAATATTAAGTGAAGGAATCACTTCCGACCCCATAAATCATATATATTCTTGATCAGCATCTATAGCTGAATCAAACTAGTCATGTCTGGGCAAGAAATAAAATTTCGACATCTTTTCGATTTTTGCGAAAAATCATCATTAAAAATTGCGAAAATTGGCCAAAAATCGGTTTTTTGTAAATATTAGGTGAAAGATTCATTTCCGACCCCATAAATCATATATATTCTTGATCAGCATCGAAAGCTGAATCAATCTAGCCATGTCTGGGCAAAAAATAAAATTTCGACATCTTTTCGATTTTTGCGAAAAATCATAAGGGGTTACATCATTAAAAATTGCAAAAATTGGCCAAAAATCGATTTTTTGTAAATATTAGGTAAATGATTCATTTCCGACCCCATAAATTATATATATTCTTGATCAGCATCGAAAGCTGAATCAATCTAGCCATGTCTGGGCAAAAAATAAAATTTCGACATCATTTCGATTTTTGCGAAAAATCATAAGGGGTTACATCATTAAAAAGTGCGAAAATTGGCCAAAAATTGAATCTTCTAAAATCTTAAATGGAATATGCAGATTTATTAACCTAACAAAAACTAGCATAGAAATGCTTTCCGAATTAAAATTAATGATTTTTTGGCTTAGTTAAGAGTTTTTTAAACTATAATTTTTTGACAAAAATTTTCTGTTTTTATACCCCTTTGCAGGGTTTTATTATTTAAGTCAGAAACTTATATTTGCACCAACAAACGCAGTATGCAGATCTGTAGTGCTTTAAAAACTCGCACAGAAAAGCTTTCCGAGTTAAAATATATGCAATTTCGGCTTATTTATGATGTCCGAAAAACTTAGATTTGGTATACAAATTGTCTGTTTTTTATACCTTTTTGAAGAATATAATTTAAGTCCGAAGCATGAAACGTAATGAAGGAGTCATTTCCGACCCCATAAACCATATATATTCTTGATCAGCATCGAAAGCTGAATCAATCTAGCCATGTCTGGGCAAAAAATAAAATTTCGACATCTTTTCGATTTTTTCGAAAAATCATAAGGGGTTACATCATTAAAAATTGCAAAAATTGGCCAAAAATCGATTTTTTGTAAATATTAGGTGAATGATTCATTTCCGACCCCATAAATTATATATATTCTTGATCAGCATCGAAAGCTGAATCAATCTAGCCATGTCTGGGCAAAAAATAAAATTTCGACATCATTTAGATTTTTGCGAAAAATTATAAGGGGTTACATCATTAAAAATTGCGAAAATTGGCCAAAAATTGAATCTTCTAAAATCTTAAATGGAGTATGCAGATTTATTAACCTAACTAAAACTAGCATAGAAAACATTTCCGAATTAAAATTAATGATTTTTTGGCTTAGTTATGAGTTTTTTAAACTATAATTTTTTGACAAAAATTGTCTGTTTTTATACCCCTTTGCAGGATTTTATTATTTAAGACAGAAGCTTATATTTGCACCAACAAACGCAGTATGCAGATTTGTTAGTGCATTAAAAACTCGCACAGAAAAGCTTTCCAAGTTAAAATATATGCAATTTCGGCCTATTTATGATGTCCGAAAAACTTAGATTTGGTATAAAAATTGTCTGTTTTTTATACCTTTTTGAAGAATATAATTTAAGTCCGAAACATGAAACTTAATGAAGGAGTCATTTCCGACCCCATAAACCATATATATTCTTGATCAGCATGAAGAGCTGAATAAATCTAGCTATGTCTGGGCAAAAAATAAAATTTCGACATCATTTCGATTTTTGCGAAAAATCATAAGGGGTTACATCATTAAAAATTGCAAAAATTGGCCAAAAATCGATTTTTTGTAAATATTAGGTGAATGATTCATTTCCGACCCCATAAACTATATATTTTCTTGATCAGAATCGAAAGCTGAATCAATCTAGCCATGTCTGGGCAAAAAATAAAATTTCGACATCTTTTCGATTTTTTCGAAAAATCATAAGGGGTTACATCATTAAAAATTGCAAAAATTGGCCAAAAATCGATTTTTTGTAAATATTAGGTGAATGATTCATTTCCGACCCCATAAACTATATATTTTCTTGATCAGAATCGAAAGCTGAATCAATCTAGCCATGTCTGGGCAAAAAATAAAATTTCGACATCTTTTCGATTTTTTCGAAAAATCATAAGGGGTTACATCATTAAAAATTGCAAAAATTGGCCAAAAATCGATTTTTTGTAAATATTAGGTGAATGATTCATTTCCGACCCCATAAATTATATATATTCTTGATCAGCATCGAAAGCTGAATCAATCTAGCCATGTCTGGGCAAAAAATAAAATTTCGACATCTTTTCGATTTTTTCGAAAAATCATAAGGGGTTACATCATTAAAAATTGCAAAAATTGGCCAAAAATCGATTTTTTGTAAATATTAGGTGAATGATTCATTTCCGACCCCATAAATCATATATATTCTTGATCAGCATCGAAAGCTGAATCAATCTGGCCATGTCCGGGCAAAAAAGAAATTTTTCGACTTTTTTCCGATTTTTGCGAAAAATGATAAGAGATTACATCATTAAAAACTGCAAAAATTTGCAAAAAAAAATTGAATTTTCTAAAATTATAAATTGAGTATGCAGATTTATTAACCTAACAAAAACTAGCATAGAAATGCTTTCCGAATTAAAATTAATGATTTTTTGGCTTAGTTAAGAGTTTTTTAAACTATAATTTTTTGACAAAAATTTTCTGTTTTTATACCCCTTTGCAGAGTTTTATTATTTAAGTCAGAAACTTATATTTGCACCAACAAACGCAGTATGCAGATCTGTTAGTGCTTTAAAAACTCGCACAGAAAAGCTTTCCGAGTTAAAATATATGCAATTTCGGCTTATTTATGATGTCCGAAAAACTTAGATTTGGTATAAAAATTGTCTGTTTTTTATACCTTTTTGAAGAATATAATTTAAGTCCGAAACATGAAACTTAATGAAGGAGTCATTTCCGACCCCATAAACCATATATATTCTTGATCAGCATGAAGAGCTGAATAAATCTAGCTATGTCTGGGCAAAAAATAAAATTTCGACATCATTTCGATTTTTGCGAAAAATCATAAGGGGTTACATCATTAAAAATTGCAAAAATTGGCCAAAAATCGATTTTTTGTAAATATTAGGTGAATGATTCATTTCCGACCCCATAAACTATATATTTTCTTGATCAGAATCGAAAGCTGAATCAATCTAGCCATGTCTGGGCAAAAAATAAAATTTCGACATCTTTTCGATTTTTGCGAAAAATCATAAGGGGTTACATCATTAAAAATTGCGAAAATTGGCCAAAAATTGAATCTTCTAAAATCTTAAATGGAGTATGTAGATTTATTAACCTAACAAAAACTAATATAGAAAAGCTTTTCGAATTAAAATTAATGATTGTTTGGCTTAGTTATGAGTTTTTTAAAATATGATTTTTTTCAAACATTTCTAAAAAATGTAGTATGTTTAAATTTTAAAATGAAATTGCAAAATACTTAATTTAATAAAAATTACCATAGGAAAGATTTCCGAATTTAAATTAACGTTGTTTTGGCTAAGTTATGAGTTTTTTAAACTTGAAATTATCAAAAAAATAGTCATCTTAATACAACTTAGTTATGATCGATTTCCGGTTCGTTCCTAATTAAACTGAAAACTGCAAGAATATATAAACTAAGACTTTCCGAAGTCATTTCCCCTTCTTGTTATCTTTTGTATGTATTTAATTTGCTCTTTTAAATAAAATAGCTTTTAAAAATTATTACTTTTTCGGGACAAACATTTATAAATTATTATATTATTACAATGTGTATGCAACATTATTATATTATTAGTAAAACACAAATATTTCAAGAATATTTTTAAATTGAAGTTCAAACTTCAAACTAATGTACATATTTGTCAAAGACTTTGTTTCGGCAATTTCAAATACATTTTTAGAAGATTATGAGTTGGTTTTCTTGCAAAACTTTAGTATAAAAGTGTGTGAAAAGTTATAAACTTAACTTCCTCCAATATGGTTGTCACCATCGGTTCCAATTTCACTTCCACTTAAAGCTTAAATCCCTCAAAATGGGATAAAAATAAACGTATGAAATTCTGGTGACCTTGTTATTGGGCTTTCTGCTCCCCCGCCGCATCATCCACCTCGCCTTTTTCTGCCTCCGCGTTGCCCCCGCGTAACGAGACGATGTGCAATTTAATGATGATTACACCAAAGCCCGACGACTGTGGCAGCAACATTATCATTTTTTGTTATTTAGCCCGCTAATGACGTTCGCATTTGGGAGCTGGCGCTGTTGTTGCTGTTGTTATTGCTATTGCTGCCATCGTCGCACAACCTAATGATGATGATGATGACCGGCAAATACGTGTCCGTGTTCGCATCGGTTTGCGAGTGTGTGTTGTGTTATGCTCCAACAAAAGCGGCTTCTGGAGAGGAGGGGGCGGTTGATGATGATGAGCGATGAAATGCGTTTGCTTTGTGGCGCCCTAACGAGCCGAGCCTGGATTGGAGGCAGGGAATGGGAGAGGGCAAGATAAATCACAGATGACTGGCCAATGGACGTACCTAATGGTAGCAAAGAAGCATAACCCCGCTGGATTTTCAATTTCCCACCTTGGCGCATTCAAGCTGTAACGTTTTCTCCCGCCTATCTGGCAACGCCGCGCTGAGCGCACACACTAGCTGCACCGCTCACACCATGTTGCTCTTGGCGTGTTGCTGTCTTGCTCTCCGGAGAACATCATTATACTGCGCATAGGAGCTACGTTTTTCGTGTGTTTCCCTCTTGAAGATAATTAAAATTTAATTATTTGACTTATTATTAAGTTTTGTGCTCGCTGGTGACGCTGTGTGCTGTTGTTGTTGCCCCGCTACTGTTCGTGCATGGAGAGGAGCCTAGCCGCAGAATGCAACCGACGCAAGAAAATCTGATGTGAAGTACGTACGTGTGTGTGTGTATCTCAGGAAAGGGAAAAAGTTGTGCGTGTGTATTCAAGAAAAGTAACATCTCCCCCCGCAAGTTACAGCCGCACAATAGGCTCTCCCCATCCCCACATTGGCCAGCAAGTGCCAATGTCGTGGCGTTGGCGTCGCCGTCGTTGAGCATCTTCATCCGCATCTCGTATACTTGAATTACCGCTTCACTTCGATTCCAGCCGTCGTCGCATCCACTTCGTTCTCGCTGTCTCCTTCTGCCGAATGCGATTTACAACTTGTTTCGCTCCCACTATTTATATTTGTTTACCGTTCGCCTGGAGTGTGTGAGCGGCGGGCGAGAGGCAGTGCCGTGTAAATGTGTGTGTGCCGGCTTAATGATAATTGAAAATCAGCAATTATAATGACAGCATTATAGTAGGGCGCAGGCAAGTCATAATCGCGTTTGGGGGGCGACCTAGCCGCCCACTCGGCGACAGGAATATCAAACGGTGTTTTAAAGTTTCCATGAACACTTTGAAAAGTGCAATGAAATGGGCGTTATAGTGGCATATAAACAAATACATTCGAGTGTTATTTACTTGCTGTAGTGATAATCGCAGACGACCTTTAAAGTGCACTAAAAATTAGATATTTGAAGCACTTATTGTTCAGCATGGATATTTTGGAATAAAAACATTTTTTGTGATGTGAATAGGTACATACTTGCCTCTAATTTCTCGCCAAAAATTATAAAACAAGCACTATGCTATCGTACGATTCATAAAAAAATAAATGAAGTAATCACATAACAAGTCCTTCACTCGAATAAAAACCTGTGAGAAATTGTTACCTTGATGTAATTGGTAAAATTTTGTTTCAAACAGCAGCATGCAGTCTGTAAATAAAATGTCGAACCATTAAATGACTTGGGATGTTCTTAAGATTTCACAGTGATTACAAACGAACCCTTCCAAAGCTGAAATGATTCATAATCCATGTATTTTGAGAGTTAATTACTTGTTTATATACATTTTTCTATAATACACACATTTCATTTCAGGAGTGGATGCATGAACATTATGCTTGTCTACTAGGATAAATCGCTTCATGTCCTGCTTCAGCTGGCAGACGAAGTCTGTTGGGCGAACCCAGTTGTCGGCAGTGAGACCCATGTGAAATGCCTGTAAGTGTGCTCCTCGTCGGAACCGCGACCGTAATGATATCGTGTAATAATAACTTTGGAATATATATCTTCTCCACTCCCGACAGTATGAAAAATTCAACAAAAAGCGCCGACAATGGGAGGATAGTGGTGTTCTGGAGCTGATCAAACTATGGAAAGTCTGCGCCTATGAGCTGCGCACCATTAAACGCAATGGCCATCTCTATGTGGCAATGGCCAAGCAGTTAACTTCTCTGGGTGTCCCTGTAACAGCTCTCGAGGTTCACTTTAAAGTCAACAATTTAACGCAGCGCTACCGTCAGGAGCAGAAGACCTTCGAAACAACGGGCATAATCAGCACCTGGAAGTTCTACAGTCAAGTGGATGATGTATTCAAGAGTCTGGCCGCGCACACCGGTTACAAGTGGGTTTTTATGCATAAAATCTGTAATATTTTGGTTAAGAGAAACTATCAAAATGCACAGACGTATTAAGAGTTCTTAGGACAAAATTTCTCTTAACCTCTAAGCCTATTAAAGGACCAGGTATTAATGTTTCTTATCACTTCGCAGAGACAAACGCATGACGAGTGCCTCTAATACTAGCAGTTTACCCTCTACATCCGAGTCACCAGTTTGGAAGAATCCAATGTCTCAGCAAGAGTTTAATAGTAACAACACGGAAGGGTTCTATAAGTAAGTACTACTAATCCTTAAAAAGTAATGACAATAGAACTATCTTGTTAATAAGACGGGATAATGTATCCTTCAATTACTAAAATAGCATTTATCAATTTTATCATATCGTGGCTTTAAATTAATAATGTTTTTATTTATAGGACCGAGTACGGCATGCATCGGCACTTTATGGATCACTCCCAACCACCGCCTAATGCCGGCAGTGTGGACAACTTCATGGCCTCCTCGGCGGCCGTGGCGGCGGTGGCTGCTGCTGCCTCCGCCCGTTTGGCCGACAACAACATGGATCAGCAAATGAATGCGGCTGCTGGTGGAAGCGGAGGTAGCGGTGGCGGTGGAAACACCAACGGTGGCGTGGCCAATTATCAGAAGATGAAAAAGTCCCATGAGGATTACGACAAGTTCGTGGACATTGTGAAGAACATCGTGGACACCCATAAGAGTACTCCGGACAAGGTGGATACCTTTGGCGACTTTATCAAGTCGTACATGAAGCGCTGGCCAGAGCGTCTGCAGGACGAGGCCATAAACCACATTACCAACTATGTAATTGTCAAGAATATGGAGCATAGCATGGTCAGCAGCCACAATCCGGAGGGGGTGAACAACCGACAATAACAATACAAGCAGGAGCCCAACAACTGAACGAGAGTTGTTGGACGAAGCAGCTCCACGAATTAAGCGGGACGGCAAGCGAGGATTACTTAAGGTGGCACGCAGTTACTTAACCGCATCTGAGTTGCAGCCAAGTTCATCATGGGACACACACAACATACACGGCATACAGTATTTTTTGTATAGTTAAAATATACAACGGAGTTTTAGTTCTCGTCGGTCGCGCTCCCTCGAAATCGAATTGATTTCGCTATCGGGGCGAGCGAGATCCATCGTACATAGAGATCCTAGCGAGTACATTACGTTTAGACACCATTTCCTACTGTTTAGCTGTAAACTATTATACATATAAATTAATAAATGCTTTAACGATTATTTATGAATAGCACAAAGCAAATAAGCCGTTAGGCCCCTTTGAAGTAAGCAAAAATCTTTAACTAAGAAGCAATTCCAAATAATGCAAATATCTTATTTGAGCAAAGGAGAATATATTAATTATTTAAGATATACATTAATTACATTTGCATAGCAACTAACAGGCTACCAGATACCTTTTAAATCAATCCCCTCATTAACCAGGTTAGAAGTACAATGTATACTTGGCTGTTGGCTTTTATTTTGGTTAAGAAATATCAGATACGTTGCACTTGACACGCGACACTGTTGAACATGTTGGCCGACTTTCCTGGCACAGACGGTGCCACCAAAAAGCGAGCAAAGGTGCCGCCCTTGCTGTCTGCTACGCGTCCTGGATTGATGACCAGACAGTCGCTGACCAGACGAATGAAGTGTCGCTGATTGCCGGGCAGGATGAGTACATTTGGCAGCTGTTTGATCTGGGCGTACTTGAGAGCCAGCTGCGAGTCAAAGGCCATGTCTTCGTCGGCCGGTGGATATATTGGATAAAAGGAGCCCTGATGGAACAAATGGTTAATTGCTCGATGCATCCGTTCACCAGCGTTTGCGGCAAACTCGTGGCTCAGCAAATGATCCACGACGTCAGTGGAGGAGACGCCCAGCGTAATTCCGTCCAGATCCACCAGCGACGGATCAGGTAGCATGTGAAGGTTGGGATACGTTTTGCGGAGAGTGGGTGGCGGGGTGGGGTAAACCGAGTGCACCATGGCATCCTTCTGGCTGCTGACCATCAGCACCGCGGTGTGACTTCCAACCACTTCCATTATCCCGGCAATCATCTTCTCGAAGAATGATTCAAAGGTCTCGGCCAGTTCGCTGACTATACTGTGATCAGCATCCAGGAAGGGCCCTGTAAGCACCAGCACGTCGGGACGGTGCTCCTTGAGGTAATTAAGCAGGTCGTGCAGTGGCTCGTAGATCAGATCAGTACTGTGTGTAAATGGACCGGCCGCCACCACAAACTGTAACTCTCTGTCGACTTTCAAGGGTGCGGGAGGCGTCAGCTTCCGTTCTGTGTGGATCTCCTCCACCACGAAGGAGTTGCCCTTGGGTATGAATCCCTTTGCCAGCACCACCTGTCCTGGGAAGATGCTGGCTGATTTAATCCTGGAGAAGTTTAGCGAGAGAAAACTGTTCTCGTCGGCGTCTGTCACGGAAAGAAAAGCGGAGTGGGCATCTAGAGGTCCGTCGTCCTCGGAATGTACCATGCCCACTGCATGGAGCAAATGAAGGGCCTGCAGAGTTTGCCTGTCTTGCGGATACCAACTGCACTCGGCAGCTCCATCTGGGCCCAGCTTCTTCTCCACCAGAGCCCGTCCGGTGTCCACGAGGCGATCGTGCAAGTCGTCGCATCGATCACCCAGCAAGTCGTTCATGTAGCCCAGATTGGCAATGGTCAGCGGGGCGTCCTTGTGCAGAAGTTTTTGAGTCACTGGCAGCTGGTGCTCCACTTGGGTTTGCCAGTTGGAACCGGCCAGAAGTTTGGGATGGCCAAAGGAGTCTACAATGTCACCCGGCTTGCCAGCTACAGTGGCATTTGGTGTTCCTGCTTCCACCAGCGTTTTCTTAGTCGATTGCGGCGTGTAGCTGACGGGACTAAATAGCACTCCGCCTTTGAGGGCGGCGGAGCGTTGCTTATCCTTCTTAGCCTTCGGCGTGTGCATTGCGGATGAGTCTGAAACTGACTCACTTACGTAGTCGTCCATCATCTGGTCTTCTTCCATTACGCCGTAGGTGGCCAGCGAGCTCAAGTCCGGTCCAGAGCTTGCGGTTGCAGTATACGATTTGGCCTTTGGGGCAACCTTGTCCTTCCTCAACTGCAGCACCTTGCGCTCGAACTCGCCCAGGTTCTCGGTTGTGGGGTCGTCGCCGTGGAGGTGGGACAAGCTGAAAGCCATCCACTGCTCCACGAACTCGGTGGCGTCGAGCACGTTGTACGAAATGGCCAGCTCCAGGCATTTCTCCAGCACCGCCTCCGCAGGCTCTACGCCCATCTCGTCAAACTGCTGTTTTATTTCCACGTCCATTCGGGGTGTGCGTCCTATTTGCCTTTCAGGTTTTGTAAATAAATAAACTCACTATTACTTTTGGCGGCAAAACCATGCACAGGGTTGCCGGATCCGCAGCAGCCTTGTTTGCAATTGAACATCGATAGCGGCGACTCATTTTCTGACCGCGTTATCGAACTGCGATAAGTATATCGGCCACCCCTATCGCGATGCAACAGCTGTTTTAATTTTTATTGACAAACTTGATTTGTTTATTCCGTGTACAAGTGCAATTTCGTTCCTAAACGCGACGCCCTAATTCATGTGATCGTCCAGGAAGGCGAAGAAAGTGTTGTGAAGTGAGTGATTCGCCATGAGCACGGACGATTTGCTAGTGCGCCGCGAACGGAGCGACGACTCCCAATCGCTTTCGCGTTCCCCAAGTGCCGCGTCTCCGGTTCCGCCCCCCACGGCAGCCACTACGCCTGCGTCTGCATCAGGCTCCTCGTTCGACCGCCTGCGCAACACCTTTCGGCGTACGGAGAGCATCTCCTCCCAGATCTTTAGTCACATCTCCACGCAGTTCTCCAACGCTGCCGCGGCGGCGGCTGCATCTGAAGTAATTGATGGTACGACCACTTACCCGTATCCAGAGCAGTCCACGCCCATGCCAGCACCACCTGTAGCGCCGCCAGCACCGGAAGCAGGCACCACTCCGTCGCCTTCGAAAATCATGGCAAAAAGGCTGAAACGCGGTGAGTTTGACAAGTTCTGTTACATTATTTACTAGAGTGATAAGAACGCGACTATTTCACGCTATGTGATATCTAAAAGTTGTCGCAAATTAAGTATCTGTAGTGTTGGGTACTAAATAAAAAAAAAATCCAAACGAAAACGAAACTAAAGGCAAATTCGCGAAGCCCATGTTTTTATACCCTTGTAGTTTGTAAATTTGTTATGAGGCCGAATAGAAAATGGATCATAACTAAAGCAAAAATGCATTAATTTCGAGTGCAAGTTTTCCTGTGCTAGTTTTTATCAGCTTAATAAATCTGTATACTAAATTGTATTTTTTTTTTATTTAAATAATATTAAATATGCCTATGGAGAATTACTATCATTATTTCCTTAATAATATAAAATTAATAATAATATAAAAAATAACCGTAGTTATGGTTTATCCTCTATATACATATATTATATTCTAAAGAATACCCTTATCAAAAAAGCTTTCGTGGGGTAAAAGCTTTGCAAACTTGATAAATCAATAGGATAAAACAGACCCGACGTTAGTCTTACTCAACGCGTACACAAGAAGGATAATAACGGTGCAACATCGTAGCGGCGAGTATTTTTCGTTATTTGGTTAATTTCCAAGAAAATCCCTCTTTAAAAGAGGTTCCAACAGGATAACACAACACAAAAAGGTAACAATATCCAAGTGAAGGAAGCACTGCTGAGCAGGAAACTTTCAGTTTAATCACCACCTAACATCGATATATATACATGTATATGTATATCTGTATTTTTATGGCCGATTCCCCCCATATAAAAACGGACGCCCACGCACTCACATACTGAATGCTGCATACACAGCAGGCAGCTTCGAAGCCTTAGCAAAATGCGAGGACTCGTCGAGGATACGAAGAAGACCAAGCTGTCGTCCAGCGGCAACAATAACAACAACAACACCAGCACCAGTGGGAGCAGCACTCGCCTCAAGTCTGGCGGCACTACGGCAGGCAGTGCCAGTGGCAGTTCCACTTCCAGTTCAAAGCCACTAAGGAGTTCAGTGAAAACGCCAACAATGAGCACACCAGGCGGAGGAATTGGAGCAGGGGCTGCAACCAAGAAGGCGCCTCAACAACAAGTTGGCAAGGCTGCCAAGACGGCGACAACAACAGCAACTGGGGCAGCAGCAGCAACCAGGGCGGCGACAGCAACGTCAGCCAAGTCACAAAAGGGTCAGAACCCACCCCCACAGCCAGTGCAGACACCAAAGCAGCAACAGCAGCAGCCACAGCAACCCCTGGTCGTGCCACCACAGCAGCAGCAACAGCCTCTCCAGGCGAACAATGGCAGCACCACGATTGCTCTGCCAAAGGCCTCGCATGCCAATACCAGCGAGGAGCTGGCCGGCGGCGTCCAGGACACCATATACCTATGCAACTTCCGGGTGTCCGTCGATGGCGAATGGCTGTGCCTCAAGGAGCTGCAGGACATTGACGTGGCCGGCGGAACTGGAAGCCAGCAGCAAGCGCACACCACCACTGATGTACTGGGTGGCACAGGAAGCTCCAGCCACTTTTCCAGTGGCTCCAACTCCAGCAAGCGCAACAGCAAGCGCTTCTCTGGACTGTCCACTGGCAGCACCAGCGGTGGTGGCGGCAACGGCGGCGGCGGAGGAGGTGCCCTGGACATCACGGACAATGGTATTATGGCAATTGAAAACCTTATCGGCCGCAGGCTGTGCGACATGGTCCACAGTGGCACCACGGCACTCGGCTCCCAGCCGCACTCCCAGTCGCAGCACCAGAGTGTCGGCCTCTTCGCCGAGTGGTCGCATCTCTGTAGGTCGCTTCTTGTTGCCTCTGTTGCCCAGCACGCCTTCTTTTTTGTAGATCTCTTCATTTCTTGTTATTTTATTAATATTCGACCACAATTGGTTTCGATCACGCAGGCCAACTATACAAACGGAATATCCAGGACCAATAGCTGACGTTTCTTTGGCTAGAGAACATATTGGTTTAGTTTTGTAAGCTTGATTACTGTGCTAAGCATTTGCTTTACTATTAATTATTCAAGAGCGCAAAGTATCCTGTAGTGCATAGCTTTTGCCACAGTTTATAACTCTCTTCTGACTCACTATCTCATTTACCTAAATTGAGTTCCGATTCGAAACCCAGAATAGATCTTACAGATTAATTATATCTATGCGCTTTTGGTTCTGGGCATTCCATTGGCCTGGGTGTTATCTTGGATTTATTTGCATGCCTTTTCTGCATTGTTGCACATTTAGTTGCCTGCACTTTCTCGTCTCGATAGGGGCTTAACTGAAGGGCTTTTAATTTATTCTTAACAAAAAATATAATTAATGCAACGAAAAAGAAATTGGTGGTGTTCCCTGCCACAGCCACTTAGACGTCATCAAAGGTAGTTTCCCAGCTCGGAGTGTCCTTCGTCGAATGTGGAGATGACTTTAGATAGCGAGATTAATCTCAAATGCCACGTACTTAATTAGTTTAATCGACTTACCACCGTGCCGCCTTTCAGCCTACTTGAGTTGCCTGCCCTTGTCTCATCTGACTTTTTTCTATGCCGGCGAGAATCGTAAATTGAGTCCTCCGTATCTGGTATTGGGTAAAAGGATAATTACAGTTTCAACTGTGCCTTTTTGTAGGGTTAACAATTTTCAATTAGAGGCCCTTAACATTACTTAACTGAAACCTTTTTCATATTCCTTAAAAAAAATAACTTACCGATCCTCACTCTGCTGGCTTTCTGCCTTTCCACTGGTGATGAGTTCTTTCTGTCAACTAGGGATTTGGGCTGCAGGCGATTCTGGTTTTAGGAATCTAAAGGGGACTTAACTCTTCTGAACTCACCGTCCTACTTTGACCTGACACTCCTTCCTTTCGACCCTTCCGTTTTTTCTCCCGCCTCTGTTTTTGCTCTGCCTCTTTCTCTTCGATATCCGAGCTTGGGGTCAAGTCGTACTGGTGTGACGACAAGGACACCAGCTGCCTTTGCGGCGAGATTTCTGCGGAGACAAGTCGGTAATAGCTTTGTTCCTTCTTGCTGGTGAACTTGGTTGGCAAACACTTTTGCTTAAGTTGACAGTTCAACGAGGAGGATGAACGGTCTGGGATTCAAGAGAAGAGTATTAATAGCTCCTTTAGGAGTGCGTTAAACCTACTGTTTTCCTGGTTACCATAGTAGGTGCTGCGACTGTCTCCTCCTTTCGGTCGCTCCTTTACGCTCTTGGGTGGCTGGGGCTTTATACTCGGTGGCGCCTCGACATCCATAGGCTGAACCTTGTCTTTCCGCATCCTGCCACGTCGCATGCAGCAGAAGATGACGATCAAGATGATTATTAGGAGTAGCACCAGGATGGCGGCAATGTACCAGACCAGCGAGCTGTTGTTGCACTCGCGGCACTCTTCGGGCTCCTTATCAACGGCTGTCACATTCTCCTGTTCGGCAGGCTCCACATCCTGGCTCTTTTCTTCCTTGATCGGTTCTGGATCCTCCTGCCATTCGCCAGTCGAACGAATAACCTTGCGCGAGTCCACTGCATAATTGTTTTTGTCGTCTTCTTTGCAGTTATCCTTCTTTATTAAATACAGCAGCGTCTCTTGAATCCGCAGGATTCCGCCCAGACCCGGGTAGAACACCTCGTCTATGTAGTGCGCGTCCACGTTCTCCCGTATCCAATTGAGCAGTTTGTTGTTGTAGCTGGCCTGGCTCATTCCCTGGAAGCGGTGGCAACTGGTAACGGTCTTGAAAAATTTCACCAGCACACGGGCGCAGATAGGAGACCGCAGGTTGTAGATGCGTCGCTGTCGGAAAGGAAGGAATATGTTACTCAAGTGGCCCTCACTATCCACCGGCTCAAGCTGCGGTAGGGGCACAATCATCTGTCCCTGATCAGAATCTTGCGAGACAGAGTGCTGATCCAGCTGGCTACAGCTGGCGGCACCATCCTCAAACTTAGAGCCTCTCAGCTCGATGGGCTCGATCTTGAAACTCTTGAACTGACACATTATATCCTTGGACGGAGACCGCCAGGCATTCCCGTTCGTGTTGAGGACAACGTAGCTCTGCCGCTTGATCTTCAGCAAGCACTGCATGGTTTTCAACTTAAGGCTACCAGCGTAATAGGAAACTTGGGCCGCGGGCACCAGGTAGTATCGAAGGTATCCGCCTAACGCGTCATAGAAGGCTTTTTGCGGCACTCGTCGCGTTGTCTCGTCCGACATTTCTTGCACGATCCGATTGACAGTATTGACATACCGGATCAGCATGTGGACAACGCTGTCGGTGAGCAGGCAGTTCGGATAGGACTTGGGCACCAGCTGCTCCAAAGTCTGTCGGGCGGACATCAATGCCATCTCCTCCATGGAGAAGCAGGTTTTCCGTTGGCTATCGAAGAGATTGGTGCCCAGAAAGGTGGCTGGTGTGACAGGACTTCGCGATATCTTAGACAGCTCTTGTAAAAACTTCGGCGGAAAGCTTCGCTTCTTAGAAGAGGTTGTCGCATCTAGGTTATTTCGATGCTGCTGCAGCTCGGAGCTGAGCATCGTATGCAGGGTCAGCTCGTTCTGAAAATCATCAGTGGGCACCTCCAGAGTGGACACATTGATGCTGTAGATGGGGCAACCTCCGGGCGCCAGGAAAAACAGCAGCCACGATAGCACGTGAAAGTTCATTTTTCAGTTAGTCAGTTGGATGTGAATGTGGCAGTGAATCTAGCACTTTCGAAGCACAGCCTGCTCTTCGCACGAGTCTCTAATCCTGGGATCCCTCCAAACCCTTTGCAGCCCGGGACACGGCGGAGATCGAGCGCAGCAACCTGGTGAACATCTGCAAGCTGGTGGTCAAGGAGCTGCTGGAGCAGTCCTTGCGCTATGGCCGCATGCTGGATTCAGACCACTTGCCGTTGCAGCACTTCTTCATCGTCATCGAACATGTGCTGGGACACGGCCTCAGGCCCAAAAAGGGTCTCCTGGGACCGCGCAAGGAGCTTTGGGACTTGCTGCAGAGCGTCGAGCACTACTGCCCGGAGGCACAGGACATTACGGCCAGCGTGAGGGACCTGCCCACGGTGCGGACTCACATTGGAAGGGCCCGGGCCTGGCTGAGGATTGCCCTCATGCAGAAGAAGCTTTCGGACTACCTGCAGGCACTCATCGAGCACCGGGAGGATTCTCTGTACGACTACTACGAGCCGCATGCGCTAATGATGAGCGACGAGGTCTGCTTCTGATCCGGTTCTTCTCCGGCTTTCCTTTTAATGCCCATCTCTTCTCCAACCAGATCGTTGTGATAATGGGCATTCTGGTGGGCTTAAACGTGATCGACTGTAATCTCTGCGTCAAGGAGGAGGATCTGGACTCGCAGCAGGGTGTCATCGACTTTTCCCTGTACTTGCGCTCCAGCTCAAGAAACGCGGATGCCGCGCCGGAGGACAGTGCTCCGCCGGCGCTATTGGATGCCACCGGACAAGGCAATATGATTGCGGTGCTGGACCAGAAGAACTACATAGAGGAGCTCAACAGGCACCTCAAGTGGGTTATCTCCATCATCCGCCTGTGTTTTTCCTCGGCTAAGTTATTCCCCCATCTTTCAGCGCCACTGTGGGCAACCTGCAGGCCAAGGTGGAGTCCCTTACGACCACGAATGCCCTGATGAAGGAGGACTTGGCCATCGCACGGAACAGTTTGCTGGCCCTCCAGGCCGAAAACCAGGCTATGCGCCAGTCCAGCCACGGAGGGGATAACAACTCCACTGGTTCGGGGGACAAGGATAAGAATAAAGACAAGGAGAAGGCTTCCGAAGAGCTGGTGGAAGAGCGCCGCAAAACTGGCGAACTGGAGAAGGAACTCAAGCTGCAGGTGTCCCTTAAGGCAGAGTCAGACATGGCCATGAAGCTGTTGGAGAAGGACATCCACGAGAAGCAGGATACGATAGTCTCGCTTCGGCGCCAGCTAGATGACATTAAGCAGATCAACCTGGAGATGTACCGCAAGCTGCAGGTGAGTAGGTTCACGCAAACATCAACGGGGCGGATCGGTTGGCTAGGAAACAGTCTGATTCAAGGATTCACAGTGTGAGCTCTCTGTGCTCCTTCTGACCGATCCCACCCGAGCATCACAACATAATACCGCTCATCACCACATCATCATCTGGCCATCCGTAGTTCTTGTCTTTGTTTCCTTAGTTATTATTTGATCATTAGCTCCAAATGTAAGAATCGGTTTAAGCCTAAAAGTCAAAACGTAATCCCCTCTAAAAATTCAACCAGGAATGTGAAGATGAACTCACACAGAAGGGCGAGATGGTCTCGCGCCTGCAAACGAAAGCCTCACAAATTGGTAACATTTTACAATCGCTAGAAAAGAAGTACGAGTCGAAGCTCGTCGACAACCAGCAGCAGCACCATGGACCGGGACCGGGACAGGGAGCTGGAGCGGGAGCCATTGGTGGAGACCGTTCGCCCAACACACGGCGACAGCAGAATTTGGAGAAGTTCGAAGCGCTCACCAAGAAGCACAAGCAAGACGCTGGTCCTCCCATGAAGCGAATGCACCTCAAGATGGACGCCTTTCCGCCCTTTGATCCAGCCAAGTACAGGAAGTCGCCGCGTCAACCGGAGCCGCCGAATTCACAGGAGTTGCAGGAGAGCAGCAAGGACGTGAAGACGCCCACATCTGCCAAGTCCCTTAACGATGAACTGGCCGAGGCCGCGGCTGCGGTGACCCAGCACTTTGGGTCTGGCGATGGATCGCGCAGTGATTATGTCCTGTGCCGGGAGCAGAAAGCCACTGCAGACACTTAAGTCCCTGAACAAATGTAGAATAAGATGATCCTCTGTCGATATATGTAAATGGCCCAGTTTCGAATTTCACCCTCACAGAACTTGATATCGTTTCCCTTTGTTAACTTTTCTATTTGATTTTCCTGAAAGGGAAACTAAAATTAGGTTTATTACCAAAATGGATTCAGTGCCTGACTGCATTTATACCTAAGGAGCCGGTATATCGTTCTTTAAGTGAAGGAAGCTAAATATCTCATCCCTAATTCAAATGAATTCCATTTGTCTAAAATCAATTATGTCTATTTATTAAGTTTTTTTGACTTTGATCTCAAATTAAAAGATTAAAACATGAATATCGAAACAGGCGGCCTAGAATGCTCTCTCAAACCTTTAGCACTCAAAGTCAGCGTCCAGTTCCGAACGGGACATAAGGTGCAGCTTCTTCACAGGATCCCCCAAAACTATAGACTCCCTAGCTTTCTATAGGTATTGTGTGTGTACGATATAGAATGCCTTTAAGCCGTAGACCAGATCTCCCCGAAAGTGGATTGAATACAAATTGTTAAAGGTTATATTAATTACAAAGTATGCAACATCTGTTAGCTGAATTATCTTCCCAGAGTCAGAGTCCCCGCGTAAACAAAGATTATATATACGATGATTATACTAAATAAAGACGTATGTATGTATATATGTATAGTGCGATTAGAGGAGGCTTCAGAGATGTTTATTATACATATGTATGTACATATGGATTCAACCCCCGCGCAACCGCTTAAATATAATGTAATTATACACTCCGCCTAGTCGAAAACAACAAGTATTGTAATTATATAAATAAATATTGAGACTACCTATATATGAATATACAAATCTATATATAATGTAACTCTGCTGTGGAGCATCAGCCTCTGTATTCTAGTGCTCGTACTCTTCTAAATCGATCCCAGAGAAATAAAAATTATCCGAATCCCAGTCTTTCATTTTTCACATCTTACTAACAACCCAAGAAGAGGGTCCTTCCATTCGACGCTGGTACAACCAATTCTTCTCTTCGTTGGCAGGACTGCAAGGCCTCCCTAACGCACAAGACGGAGCTAATGAGCATGCTGGAGGTCCAGAAGGAGGACATGGAGAGCACTATTGAGCAGCTGGAGAAGAAGTAAGGAAGCTATGGGAATTGACTGTGCTTAGTGCTAAAGAAACGGAGGGAGCTAGTCAGTGCTTTGAAATTGGAACATTTAATGCATAATTTGTATTAAATATCCGAGATTACTAAATTATTACCATTAAGAGTCAATAATTAAATACTAACTTACTAGAACTGCTGACTAGTCCCAAGCCCTTCAGGACATCACAGATCGGGTACCTCAGGCAACTGTTATAGTCTACAATATGCTTCATTTTATTACCCTTTCCACAGGTGGACCCACGACAAAAGCAACCTGGGCGAGATTCTGAAAACCACGTCCCAAACCCTGACTACACAAGTGACAGCTAGCGAGGAACGAGCTGCCCGGGCGGAGGCCGAGTCCCGAATCGAGCGCGAATGGCGCATCTCGCTGCAGGAGAAGGAGCTTAAGCTCAAGGAGAAAATATCCACACTCCAGGCCTGTCTCAAGGAGTTGGCCGAGGAGAAGGAAAGGAATAGCAAGCTCAAGGCCGACCTAGACAAGGTGCGCACCCAGTGGACGGAGGCACAGACCACGCTGGAGGAACTGGGCATTCAGCTGAGCGTCAGCAAGCTGAAGGTATCCGAGATGCAGGACCAGGAGCGACGCCAGCGGCAGCTGCTTTCCGGTTCTGCACAGTCGCTGCAGGCCACGCCGGAGGCGCTGGGGAGCCCCGGCATCTGGGCACCCGATTCCATTGCCACACACTGCACCGCCTGCGAGCGGGAGTTTAATCTTACGCGCCGGAAGCATCACTGCCGTAGCTGTGGAGAGATTTTCTGTAAGGCCTGCTCGGAGCACACGCTCCGTCTGCTAAATGCCCAGGGCCAGCCAGGGAAGCCGGTGCGGGTGTGTGACACCTGCTACGCCGCTAAATGATAATAAATAAATTATTGTGACTGGGAAACTATAAGGGCGGGGATTAGAATTTGAAGAATCCTGAGATTTTTTAACACATTCTATGCTTCCAGAAAATATTTCAATGTATGTATATTGCAGTTTTGTTACTCCAAATAGTTTATAGATTTTTTTTAATTTTACAAATTATCAACAAAAGTGAAAAATCTCAACGAAAGGTCAGATGTTCCTACCAAATTTTGCAATTGGTTTCTGTCTTCTTGTAACTAAATTTATATACATTCTACAATGCTTTTAACCCCGCCCCTAAAAATAGTGTTGTCTAGATGAGATTTATTCAGTTGACCTCTTGACGTTATGTATTAATTGAGTTATGTAATCAAATTAAAATAATAAATGTCCTTAAAATTGTATTTATCAGTTTAAAATAATTTATTTAAGTGTTTTCAAAATATTCTCTGTTTGAGGTTGATAAATATTTAAAATAAGCTTTTAAGCCGCCAACCGTTTTGCATATTTCAAATGCGACCGTTGAAACGGCTTATCGATAACAGCTCGTGTTGCAATGCTGCAGCCCTGTCTATCGGCGATAGTCGCTTAGCCATGCATCCCTGGCAGAAATAATTTTAGAATCTCTTATTTGTAATTTTTTGCTTAGTGTCCGATCGAGAAATTTCATATTAATCCATGACCGGGCCGCGTTTAAAAATGATCAGAAAGTGAAGTGGCGGGCGAAGAGTAGCCTCACCAACCTTCAGTTAGTTAGGAGCACCAAATACCCTCAGCTGGTGGCGACGGCAACGCTCAGCCATCGATTTTTATTCGAAGCGAATGTTGCGGAATTTCCCACTCAACTTTCCAACGCGAGTGTAGAGAGCTCTGAATTGAAATCGACGACGGCGGCACTTGTCACAGCGCAATGCAAGACGGTGGACACATAACGCTTACGCTCTCACCCGGATCGGGCACGACATCGGGATTGCTGGGCGATGAGCGGGGCAGAAAGAGTCTGCGACGGGTGAGTACCAGGGGACAGATGTTTCTACTGCTGCTCCAAAAAAAACTGTCCATTTGTTCTTATTCCCATGCATTATATCGACGCAACTTAGGCTTGGAATCAGCTGCCGCGTTGTCAGCGTAATCTCATCATTCTGGGCATCACGGCCTTGTGCGTAACGGCGGTGCTCTGCCTGAGCGGCGATCAGTTGACAGCTACCAGCCACCAGGACGAAGACCTAAAGACGGTTCCCTATCATCTGCCTCTGCAGAATCCGCACCACCATCCACCGTTGCCGGTGAAGGAGCCGCCCGAAGCTGTAGAGGAGGGGGCGCTTCCCGCTCCCGAAGATAAGCGCCAGCCCCACCCGGAGGCGCTGAGCGATAAGGTAAGTAGCGGCGGACTACTTTATTGATAAGTGCTTAATTGACAGCACTCAAGGCGCGGACTCATTAAGATAGCCCACGGTATCAGTACGATTGCCTATTAGTGATTTGGTTTACAAGCCGCGGGGCGCACTTCCAGTGAAATCAACCTATATCAATGATACCAATCACTTTTCCAGTTTAATGAGATTGTGGCCTACGGCGATGGGAACTCTGCCGAGAATGTGGTCCGTCTGCCGGAGACTGTGGCCGCGCAGGGTCCTCCTCAGGCCGTGGCCTTGCCCCCTCCAGAGAATAACAAGGAACCGGACATCGGTGGGATCGACATACTCAATAATGTGGAGGAGCCCATCGATCAGAAGCAGCCGCTGCATCTAAGCGAACGCGAGCTGCTCGATCAGGCCATCAAAAGTCCACTAAAGCTGGGCGGTGTCAGCTTCAAGGAGCATCTGCGCAAGATACAACCGCTCCTGGTCAAAGGCCAGCACTTCCACGGAGCGACCAATGAGCGTCAATCGGCGGTAGTGGCCGCCTTCAAGCACTCCTGGGCGGGCTACAAGAAATATGCCTGGGGCCACGACAATCTGAAACCAATCTCGCAATACTCGCACGAGTGGTTTGGCCTCGGTCTGACCATTGTGGACTCTTTGGACACCATGTACATTATGGGTTTGGATGATGGTGAGTTGGCATTATGCCCCTTACGTGGGATGTTTGGTGTAGGTAGTAATCTCTCTTTCAAATAACCAATGAGCCGTTTACGATAGGCTTCAACCGAGCGTGATCCATTTAATGTTATTGGCAGCGCTTAAAATGATAAAGACTACAATGAATAGGAAGAAAGGAGCTCATGCACGAGAAATTTTTTACGCTTTAAACAAAACAATAGGCAGTCAATTGATATTTATGTATTTCATTTAAACCAGTTTTTCTTTTCTACGAAATAGACGTCCTATTTTAGACCTGTTAAGATTAAAAGTATTGATTAGACTTATTAAACAATACAGCTTCAGATTTTGTTTCTATATTCTGATGGTGTTTAATTATTAAGTCAACTCACTCTCTAAAATATAGTTTGGTTGTTTAATATATATTAAATATATTATTTTAGCCATATCCGCATAGTGTAAGAATATGCAAATTTCGGATTTTTTTAGTTAGCTTCCTTTCTTGTTTAAATTTGTTTGTGTATAACAAATTATTGAATAAAAACCCGTGTTTACTTACAGAATTCAAAGAGGCACGAGACTGGATAGATAATTCATTGCGCTTTGATACTAAGCGCGATGTTAATCTCTTCGAGGTGACCATACGGGTTCTGGGTGGCTTGCTGTCTGCTTATCATCTGAGCGGGGACACCATGTTTCTCGCCAAGGCATCGGAGTTGGGTAACCGCTTGTTGCCCGCATTCCTGTCGCCGTCTAGCATTCCCTATTCGGACGTAAATCTCGGCGATCTATCGGCACACTCCCCAAAATGGTCACCGGACAGTTCCACCAGTGAGGTCACCACCATTCAGCTAGAGTTCCGTGACCTGAGTCGGTCCACAAATATTTCCATCTACGAACAGGTAAGGAAGAGCTCTTGTAATGTAAAATATATTCTATAAAATGTTGTTTAAACTCTTAAGGTTGCCCACAAAGTGAACGAGAAGGTGCATGATTTGGAAAAGAATCATGGCCTCGTGCCCATATTCATCAATGCCAACACGGGAACCTTCCGCAACTATGCCACCATTTCACTAGGCGCACGAGGAGATTCTTACTACGAGTACTTGCTCAAGCAATGGATTCAGACGGGCCGCAAAGATAACGATAAGTGAGTATTGCAGATGATATATAATAAGTATTAAGTATTATACTAAACTTATGTTTCTTGCTTTCAGCCTTATCCTAGACTACATGCAGGCCATTGATGGCGTGCTAACTGAGTTAATGCGTCGCACTCCTAGGGAGCATTGGGTTTACATTGGCGAGCTGATCAACGGCAAAGATTTCAAGCCGAAAATGGACCACCTAACGTGTTATTTGCCGGGTACTCTGCTTCTGGGACACCAGAACGGCATGCCGGACTCGCACTTGATCCTGGCGAGGGACTTGATGGATACTTGCTATCAAACCTACATGATGAATCCCACACACTTGGCCGCAGAGATTTCGTACTTTGCACTAACCGATAAGGACGAACAGGACATCTATGTGAAGCCAAACGATGCACATAACCTGCTTCGGCCGGAGTTCGTTGAGAGTCTCTATTATTTCTACGCTTTGACCGGGAATCGCACATACCAGGACATGGGCTGGACCATATTCCAGGCGTTCGAGACACATGCCAAGGTGAACGCAGGCTACACGTCGCTGGGGAATGTGAAGAACACGCAGAGCACGCGCCTACGCGATCTGATGGAGAGCTTCTGGCTGAGCGAGACCTTGAAGTACTTCTACCTGCTGTTCAGCGATGACCGCAAGGAGATCGATTTAGATCAGTGGGTCTTCAATTCGGAAGGCCATCCACTGCCTGTCTATCCGCTCAAGACTTAATTAGCCAACTAATTGGAGGGCAACGCAACTTAGTTGCGTCGGCGTAGTGCACTAACTGGAAACAGGAATGAAAGGAGTAGGCGCATTTAAGCTGCAATAATCTCTTACTCTAGCGCAAATGCCAAATAATATACTAAGCTTAGGGTTAGGCCGAGCTCACACATAGTTGGTGGCCAATCGAAAGAAGCAGTGTCCCATGCTGGGATGGGTCGATTCTGATTAAGAAGGGGAGATACATATAGATCACCAAATTCTACATGTACATGCTACGTTTTTGAAACTACCTGTAGGATAAACAACTTGAAATTTTTGTATACAAAAAAATATTTTTTAAATTATTTGTTTAAATGGCGTTGCTCCCTGAACCTCGAATGTCTTTTAACAAAAAGGATAAGGAGATGTAAGGAAAGGTATATCTTCCATGCAATTTGAATTGCATATTTTTATATCAATATAAAAAATAAAAGAAAAATTCTTTAATGTTTTCTCCTTGTACATATATGTATCTCCCACTTTTAAGCGAAAATAATTCAAAATCAATTTTAATAGTTTTCCGTTAAGCAATGTTATTGGAATAGTACTTTAACTAATGCAATTATTGATTTAAATTTGCAGAATGAACACTATTTGTAATTAGGCAAAATCTTTAAAAATCGACTTATCCTGCTTGGAGTTTTTAATTATCAGCGGTGATCAATTGTATCTATATTCTTTGTACTGATATCTGTTATTTTGTAATTATTTATTTTTTACTATATAAGCACCTCGATATTGGGCCATTGCTGATCCATCTCAGCCAGAAGGTTTTAACTTGGTAATCTCTCTCGTAGTTCAATGTGTGTATGTGTTTATTTTAGCCAGAAGTTAGGAGCACAAAGTCAATTTGTGTGTGTAATCTAAAAAGTACGAATCTCACAGGAAATCTGAGCCAATTACGGCTTATTTTCAATCCAAAAAAAAAAGGAAAAACAGCCGATACAATAAAATGCAAGAGTTTTCTTAAAATTTTATGGAATTTTCACTTTATTTGCCTAAGAACATTTCTTTTTACCCAGTACAAAAACGCGAATGCATGATAATCTTTGATTGCATTTTTCATTTTATTTAGTTTCCGTTTTTAGTTGGGCTTTCTTTCGGTTTCGGTTTCGTTTTGTTGCGTTTCAGTGAGATTTTCATATTGAATCCTTTGTTTCGTTTTGTTTCTTTTTTAATGTACTTAATGTTTATGACGACTATGAAATGGATGGGCTTAATAAACTATCAAATATTAAAGTTTTCATTTGTTTACTTTGCTTTGCTCGCTGTCTCATTCTCCCTATACTGATGATGTTTTTAATTAAAACTCACAAAGTTTGCTTAAAAATCTTTAGTTTTCTCCTTAGGTTCAATTACAATTAGACACATTTTTAGCTGAACAATTGAAATGACGACGACACACCACTGCCCTTTTCTGTGCTTTGCTATTGGAAAGGGGCTTGAGTTGGGGGCATGAATTAATTTTTAAACACAACTTGAAACGATTCACATTCGATTAATCTATCAATAGATTTAAATTTATTCAGTTTTTGGGTTTGGAGTTTGCCAACTTAAATTATGCTATTACATATACAATTTTTACACGAAAGTTATTTGTCTTTGAAGTAATAACTAGAAGAGTAATTCAAGATCATGCAACTAATAGTCGAGGGGGCAGGTGGGGTTCGGATTCGGATACGGGTGCGGGCAGGTTCGGGGGTCATGGATGGTGCGTGGCGGTGGATAAACGAAGCACATCTTAAAATATGGTACCTCTCGAAGTTCTCTTACAGACTACACACGTAATACAAGCAATCCGTCCAATGTTTGGTAGTACGTATCCGTAGTATGCAGGAGTGTTTTAGTGGTGGTATTAAAGTAGTTAGTTAGTATTGTAATTGGTATGTAATTGAGGCCCACCAATCTTCCTACTGGCTGTGGCTTACTGAGTGAGTGGTGTGGGTTTCTTCGTTTCGTTTAGACTTTTGTAATCGTATTTATTATGTACGTTTGTTTGTTGTTTTTTGTTTACAAGCTAATCAGACATCTATATATTTAAAACGTGGCACAAATCACAAGTCAGAGATTTGTCGCAAGATCAAGGATACAATTGATACGATTCGTTAATTTGTGTGTTATCTGTGGCTGCTCCTCTCCTCGCCTCGCCTGCTAGTCCTATCTTTGCTTCTCGTTTCAATCAATCAATCAGTTTTTTGTTTGTTGTTATTGTTAAGTGTATAAGATATTACAATAGATTTAATAATTTATATAAATGTTTAAACTAAATTGGCTAAAATGGTAATTTTTTGAACTGCTTTTGGTTTGCTTCGTAGTTTGCCATATGTAGTTGGTACACTTGTTGTTAATCCCTAAGATCTTTGCATTTGCATTTCCCAAATGACACCCGTAGCTATGCCTATGCCGAAATATTCTCCTTTACTCCCTCGTATTGAGCACGTCGTCCATAGTTTGTTTGTCTGTAATATCAGAAGCAGTCGTACGTAAAGCGCTGGAAATCATATCTATGTATATCTCCTCCCCGCGTTAAAAATGCTTAGCTATACATATATATATATTATTTATAATTGTTGGGCAGAAAGTTGCATGCAGCAGCATGCTCACTAACTATTTACAAAACTCTGGCGCAACTTAATGCATAAATAAATATACAATTACATATATATATTTTTATCTGGGATGCTATTGGATGCAGCTACATAAATTGCTCTGTCTGATATTCCTCCTTCAACGACAACAACAAAATTGGCAACGGGATTTTGAATTGTTTCTCAGAAATTGCTTCATGTTCATCATGCTTGTTTGTGTGTAAACTTAATTATGAATTATACAACCAATTCGTTTTACTTTCTCCTCCTTCCTCTTTTGCGCATCATTTCAGTTGATTTTCTTACGTACATTTCTTCGTCTTGGTTCCATCATTTAAATAATTGTCTAGGGGGCCTGCATCTGTCTTAGTTGCATTGATAGCTACGTAATTACTTTACTTAGGTTCCGTTTAGTGAAAAGCATTTAATGCTATTTTCGTCGTTTAGTTTTCAATTCACATCAATTGCTTTCTTGGCTTTATTTTGGGACTCTGTCTCTCCTATCTGCGCGTTCATTCGCTTTAAGTAATTCGTCGTATTGTGAGGGCTTTCGTTAAAATATTGTACAAAACACATTGGACTAAAGTATATAAAACAAATGGGTGTTAAAACAATTTATGCTACGATTTTAACTTATATCTAGGCTCGGAAGGGGACAAACAATAACCAAAAGGACAACTAAAACGGGGTCTCTCTCTATCTTTATACAATCAGGAAGTCACTGCTGCTATCTAATGCTCTTCATAAGGTCGTGGCATTAAACTCTAGTATCAGACTGTTTGAGGATGCATTTTCCGCTGCTGCTGCCGTTGCTGGCAAGGCTCCAAGTCAGGAGGTCATGATCGATTTGACCGGATCGTCCAGACCGCCGCCGGCCACGCAACTAAAGTCGTTCAGCTGCCCCAGATGCTGCGCCTGGGCCTGCTGAGCCATGCTCGGATGGCCGTGGCTGTGGTGATGGTGCTGCAGGTGCGACTGCTGCTGGTGGTGGTGGCCCTGTTGCATCTGCATCTGATGCTGCTGCTGCTGCTGGTGATGGTGATGCTCCAGCAAAATGTTGCTGCTGTTGTTGTCCGCCACACCGCCGACAGAGCCACCACCACCACTGATCAGACAATCGTTCATCTCCTCGCCTAGCTGTCGGCGTCGCTGATGATGCACTTGCTCTTGCTGGCAGCTTGGCAGATTGGCGGCGGCCTGCCGCTGATCGTCTAGCATGCTGTCGCCGAGAATTGAGCCCAAGGAGAATTGCAAGGAGTCACCGCTGTTCTGCAGGTTCAGGATGCTGTCAATGGCGCTGGCCACATGCCGACTGATGTCGTCATCGTACTCGCCACCGCCGGCCACTGCTGCTCCACCCATGTGGCCCACGTGCATCTGCTGTTGCTGCTGCTGTTGCATTTGCTGCTGCTGCATATTGTGTTGAAAGTGCTGCTGCTGCTGCTGCGTGTCCAACATGTTTCCATAGGCAAAGCCATGTTGCTGCTGCTGTTGCTGTTGCTCCATCAACATCTGCGGGAAGCCAGTGGGCAGCATGTCCGATGCATCCAAGAGTCCGTGCTGCTGCACCTGGACGTGCTGCTGTTGCGAGGACATGGGTGATGACGAGGAGGACGATGAGGCTGTGCACAGCCGCTTGCTGTTGCTGTTGTCGTCGTCCATATCGCTGCCGGACCCCATTAGTTGGCTATCCCAGCTCCGCTTCCGCGACTCTCCAACGCCATTCACCAGCTCGCCGCCGTTGCTCGTGCCACTGGATAAGAAGTCGCTATAGTGCGCCTCCATGCTCTGCATCCAACGGGGATTGTTATTGCAGTTCAGTTCGATGTGATGTTGCTGCTGTTGCTGTGGTGCTTGCTGGGTCGCTGCTGCATATTGCTGCTGCTGTGGAGGCGCCTGTTGCTGCATGAACGTGGCATCGGGCACCCACATTCCCAATTTGTTCTTATGGTTTACCACAGGCGATTTCGAGTCACCAAAGATTTCGTCCAAATTGGACTCAATGTCATGGGCATCGCTGCTGCTCTTCACATCCAAATGGACGGGCGACTCTCCAAACATGGCCTCCAGACGCGTCTCCACCGACTTTTGCACATCAGAATCGCTGCTGAAGAATTCGCTGATGGCTGGATGCTGGTTTTGGTTCTGCTGCTCCGCGTCCATGACCACTGGTGGTTGCTCGCGCTGTCCACTGCAGGAGTGGTTATTTTTGGCTGGATTTCCACTCGCACAGCTACTATTGCTACTGCTGCTTGTGCTGCTCTGGTTGCTCTTGTCGATGCAGCCGTTAGGAAACAGATCCGCCATGTGGTTGCTGCTGTTGTTCATCATGTTGTTGTTGGAACTGGAGCTGTCAAGAAAGTGTGGGTGCTGATGGTGCTGCGGCTGTGACTGTTGGCGGTGGATAGGCAGGTGTGGCTGGTTGCCATTAAGCTGCTGCATGGGCTCGTTATTCATCAGATTGAGCTCCTTTTGCAGGCAATACCAGCCATCATCTTGATCCACTGGATCCACTAAGCCATTGCCCTTGATATGTTGTTGCTGTTGCTGCGGCTGCTGCAGCGGTTCCTGGTAGCTATTCTCAGTACTCTTGGTGGCCGCCGCCGCTTTGCTTTCCACCTTCTTCATAATAAAGCTGGTGGTGAGCTCGGACTCGATGTCGAAGTTGTCGTAGTCCTTCTTGATATATCTCGCGGCTTCCTTATCCTGGCCTCCTTCACTCTTAACAGGCTGCTCTCCAGCTGCTTCGCTACTTTCCTCCACCTTGACAGATGATTGCTGCTGCGATTGCTTGTTGAAGGCTTTGTTGACATCAGCACTGTTCTTTAGCAAATCAAACTTATCCACCACGGCTTCTGGCTCTGGTTCCTGCTTCACAATCTCATCCTTGACCTTGGACTCAGTTTGAAGATCAACCTTTTCGCTGTTCGTATGCTCTTCCTCCTTCTTCAGCTGCTGTTGCTGCTGCTCTAGCTCGAGCTCCAGCTCCTTCTCAGCTGTGCGAATGTCATTGATCTCGCCCTTCAGATCGTCTATCATCAGATGCTGCATCTGCACTAGCTCCGAGGTGCGATGTGGCAGCTGTTTTTAGAGTTTAAAAGTGTTAAAAATACCAACATTCGCTTCAGACATTTATAGTGTACTCACAGTTGACTCTTGCATGAGTATCTCCTGGAATTTACCGTTCAGCTGACGGAACTTATCCTGAAATCCCAAGGCGGTGGCCTCAAACTCCTCATCCTCATCCGAGGGCAGCTCCACATCGTTTTCGTGCATGCAATGGTACCTAAGGTGAGTACAATAAGTATAAAGTGTGATTTGAAGATCCTCAGTCCTTACCTTATCAGCCTTTTCACCGCCTCATCCTTGGTGCGGAAGGGCTTTACATAGTCCGGCTTCAGACAGCTCTCCTGATCGACCTCCAGCTGGCGGACGAATCTGCGAAGAAACAAAGATTAGTATCTCTGTACCGATGCCGCGTATTGCTAGGCAATCTGCAATCCAGTGTTGGCCGCTTCATCTTGAAATCGGCATTGGTTCAACCAACTACTCACAAGGAGAGGCGTGCAATTTTAGGTTTCTGCGTGGGCATTTCATCCAGTTTGCTTGGCAGACTGTAGAGGGGCAGGCTCGGCATTATAGTTGGTAGCGAGGGGACTAGGCTTCCCAACGCTCCTCCTGGTAACGTCACAGGTGGCAAGATGGGCGTAAGTTGCTGCTGCAACTGTATCGCTGGCGCCTGCTGCTGTTGCTGATGCTGCTGCTGTTGTTGCTGCTGTTGCTGATGCTGATGCTGCTGATTTTGCTGTTGCTGCTGATGTTGCTGTTGTTGTTGCTGGGGCTGCAGTGGCGGAATGGGCAACATGGAGTTTCCCTGCATTACAGCATTGCTAGTGAGCGGAGGAGCATTGCTGCTGCTACTGCTGCTGCTGTTTAGCAGATTTGTGGAGCTGGCAAAGATCAGTGGTGGCGGTCCACTCTTGTTAAGCACTGGCTGTTGAGCTTGTTGCTGTTGCTGCTGTTGTTGTTGCTGGACAACGGGCAGCATATTCATTTTTTGTGGCAACATATTGAGGGTTCCGTTTGACTGCTGCTGCTGCTGGTTTTGTTGCATCTGTGGATTGTTGGCTTTAATTCGGTTAACTGTTTCTTTGGGTTTTATTTGCAGTTGCGGCGGCAGCTGCTGCAGCTCCTGCTGTTGGGCTTTTGGAGGCTGAGCCTGCTTCTGCTTATTGGCCACCTGCTGCTGCTGCTGCTGTTGGTGCTGCATGGGATAGATGTGAATCCTCTGGGTTATATTCTGCTGGGCATTTGAAGCAGCTCCAATGGCAGTGCCTCCTGCTACGGCTGTGGTGGACGAGTGATTGTTAGGTTGCACCACATTGGCAGGAACGGCAGTGGTCTTTAGTGGCTCAGCGACCGCCGGCTGCTGCAATTGTTGCTGCTGCTGCTGTTGCTGTTGTTGCTGCTGCTGTTGCTGTTGTTGCTGCTGATGTTGCTGTATTGATTGCGACATTAGGGTAAAACCACCACTACCATTTGCCGTTGGCAGCATGCCCTCGGGTGTGGGAACCTCCTTGCCGGAGGCTAAGATCCTGTGCTGCTCGGCAAAGAGTCGTTGCAGTGCCAGATTGATCTCCACATCGGTCATCGGCTTGTTGTAGGCTGCAATTGTCGCCGGATCGATCTCCTGTCCTACCACGGGCATGAAGCTGGCCTTGTTCTGCAGCTTGATTGTGAGGAACTGAATCTGCATCTGGACTTGCTTGAAGACTTGTTGCATCTGCGGTGTCAGCTGGATGGTCTGCACCCGGGATACAGTGTTCGGCTGCGGCTGTTGCTTGGCTTGGCCCTGCACCTGAAGCTGCTGCTGCTGGGGCTGCAACTGTAACTGCAACTGCTGCTGTTGCAGTTGCTGCGACGGCAGTTGCAATTGACTGACAACGGAAGCCACTGTGGGCGACGAGGGTATCGATGCCGCCGATGTGGCCACTGTTGTGGTTGTCAGACTGAAGCTCGTCCTCTGCTGCTGTTGCTGTTGCAATATCGCTGCTGTGGGCTGCTGCTGTTGCTGCTGCATCGGAACTGTCACACCCACTAGCTTGGTCCCGCTCGTCGTCTGGAAGGGCTGGATGCTGCTGCTCATCGTGGTCGTGGTTGTGGTCGTTGTCTGGCTGCTGATCATCTGCTTGCCGCTGGCCACATTGGGCTGCACAATTTGCACGGGATTGTTGTTGGGCTTCTGCGACAACGGATCCAGCTTGGGCATAGGCTTCACCACACCGGCGTTCTTCAAGTTGGCCAACTCCGAGGCATTAGTGAGAGTTGCCTTGGGCTTTCTCACCGGTTTCTTCTTAACCACAGCTCCTCCACCGGCTCCGGTGCCAGCACCACTGGGTGCCGCCTTGGCCGGCTCTAGTTTGGCCTTGCTTTGGTCTATAATTGGCGCCACATTGGCCACCTGCTTGGTCACCGTAGTGGTTGTGGAGGTGGTGCTGCTGGTGGTAGTTGTCAGCGTACTGCTGGCCGTGGTAGTGATAGCCAGTCCATTCGTAATCGGCTGGATGGGATGCACGATCTGCTGCTGCGGCGGTTGCGGACGCAATGGAAGTGACAAAGTCAGAGAAGTGGAGCCAGAAACCAGCGCTTGCTGCTGATGTTGCTGCTGCTGCTGCTGAGCGGGCAATGGATTCACATCGTTGAAGTGGAGCTGACCCAGCTGTAGGCACTGTGCCAGCTGTTGGGCATTGATCCCGGCCGGAGCAATGAGCAGACGCTCCGTGGGCCCAATCGAGGCTGCCGTCTGTCCCGCACTCATGGCCGTGATCTGATTGGTAACGCTATTCAGGCAGAACAACTGCTGGGTACTGGGATCGATGGGTGGCAGGGCAATGTACCGCTGCTGACCATTGTTGGCCAGCTGGGGAGCAGGCGCGGGCGCTGGAGCAGGTGCGGGCACTGGGACGGAGATGGTAGTCGATTGTGTCACGGGCAGGGTCATAGGCTGCAGCTGTGGCTGCATTTGTGCCGTCACCAATGGCTGCTGTTGCTGCTGCTGAATAACAACCTGCGAGTTGAGCGGCAGCTGCGGAAAGGAGACAACATCGTTCGGCTTGGCGGGCAGCGCGGCCGGTGGTTTCATCGTCGTCGTCATGGTCGTCGTCGTTCCACTGGCCATTCCTAGCATGCTACTGCTGACCGGATGTGTGCCTCCTTGACCCGTCATTTTCCTATTGTTGGCCACTAAGAAAAAAGTGAGAGAGATGGTTAGTCCTTGAAGGGTTCGAGTGATCCTTTATTCAATGCCTTACCTTTGACTTCAATCTTGGGAGCTGCTGAAACCTTGGGCAGCGCCTGGGGCTGTGGCTGCTGCTGAACTATTGCTTGTGGCTGAGGGATCTGGCTAACCTGCTGCTGCTGCTGCTGTGCCTGCTGCTTGCTGGGATCCACGCGCGTCGGCTCATTGATGATGGTTACGTTGGGCAGGGCGCCCTTGAGCAGAGCCTGCAAGATGAGCTGCGACTGGTGATCCTGTGGATTGTTTGGATCGTGGCGCAGTATCAGCCTTTCGCACTGCTCCGACACGGTGAGCGTGAGACTGCCGGTAAGCTGCGGCACCAGAGCCGCCGCCGAGGCGGGAGATCCCACTGAAACCGAGACATTGGCGGGCATTCCGGTTAGCTGCGGCGGCAGTATCGTTGCTCCGCCAGCGGTCAGAGTTGGCGTGGACGTGGGCGTAGCAACCGGTGGCGGTGGCGGAGGGGTGGCCTGTGGTATGGCCACCAGTTGCATTTGCCTGCCATCGCTGGATAGCTTCAGTCCGGTGCTCGATTCCGTGCTGATCGTCGGGGCCACCGATGGCGTCGCAGGCTGGAATACCAGTTGTGTTGATTGTTGACCCGTGGCGGATGCATGGCCTCCTCCTGTGGCCGGTGTTCCTCCCATAACTGTGGCTCCTGGCGGCAGGATCGGCATGATCTGGATCTTGTTCTCTACGGCACTGCTCACGGGCAAGGCGGATGACGGGTGGTGATTCGGCACCTGCGAGATCTGAATGTTGCCAATCTGACTCGGCACGGCTGTCGCAGTGCCGTGGCTCAGCATCAGCGTGGGATTGCTGCTGCTGCTGCTGCTCGTCGTCACAGGTGTTGATGTGGGCGTGGGAGTCGGCGTTGTCAGGGTAATGGTATTCACCGTGGTGGGCATGCTGATGCTGATGTTGCTGCTGTTTAGGCTCGTGATGGTGGTGGTGGTGCCGCTGTTGCTGGAGGAGATCATTGTGCTGGCGGTGCCCGTTAGCTCCGGCTTCTTGGTGTTCCTTCGAACCGCAGGCTTTCTTCTCGGCTTCACAGTTGCCGTTGTGGTGGTGGCCACTGGACTGGATTGGATGGCAGCAGGAGCAGGGGAGATAATGGGGGTCGGCGTTACCTGGGGCTGCTGCTGCTGTTGCTGTTGCAGCGTCATGCTGGGCAGGCTGATGCTGATGGTGGGCGTGGCAGAGCTAGCCTTGGCCGCCGCTGCAGCGGCTGCTGCCGCCTGCTGGGCGAGATGCTGCTGCGCCTGCTTCTGGATCTCCTCAGCTGTGGGCAAGCGCGGTGTGGAGAGACCGAACGGCGGCACCGCTGCCTCTGCGCTGGGATCAATCTTGATGAGGATATTTGGTATTTCGGTGGCTGCTTCGTTTCCCGCCGGCGGCTGCTGCGTCTGCGGGGCAGGAATGGTCAGGGTGAAGGGCAGGCCATCGCTGCCGTTTTGGTTCGGTATGGAGATCATGATGTCGCCGCTGCTGCTGCCACTGCCCGTCGCTGTTGCACTGGACGTTGCTTGGGCCTGCGCGGGGGGCTCGGGTTCTGCTGGATGGGTTTCCAGGCCCATCCCGTAGTCTTCGTCGTCGTCGTCGTTGCCCGTGATGCCGCATAACTTCATCACATCGCCGAGGTCCAGCTTGCCGTTGCTGCTCCGCTGTATGTGCGTCGGTGGCGGCGATGGTGACTTGGAACGTATTGTGGTCTGCGGTTGCGTGGGCGCAGCAGCGATGGCTATCTTCTGCGGTGTGCATGCACTATTGACCTCCATGGGAGCGACCACGGGGGCAACAGTGGGTGCTGCTGTTACCGGCTGCTTCTTTCTGCGTGGCTTCGGCTTCTTCTTGGGTTCTGCTGCAACGCTTGCCGCTGCCTGGACTGATTGCTGGGCCTGCTGCACCTGGGACTGGGTTTGCTGCAACTGGTGCTGCAGCTGCTGGATCTGGGCCTGCTGTTGCTGCTGCTGCTGTTGCTGCAGCTGGATCGTGGCCATCGCTGCCTGCTGGTGCTGCTGCTGCATCATGGGTACGGGCGTGGACTGACGTAGTGGCTCGGGAGTAACGGCCAGCGGCACATGCGCCGGCGAGGACTGGGTGAAGAGCTCCGTGGCCGTGCTGTTAGCCCCTGAGCTGTTTGCTCCAGGTGCCTGGGGCGTCTGAAAGGCGGTGGCTATCTGCTGGATATGAGCTCCGTTGAGCTGGTTCAGGTTGATGGTGGCTCCGCCCAGACTCTGCTGCAAATGGGCCGGCAGCTGGGATATGGTCGTGAGACCGTTGGGCATCTGGATTTGGGCCGCCGCCGCCGCCAACTGCAGGTTCTGCAGCTGGGCGGCGACGCTCGGTCCGAGGAGCTGCGTGTTCAATGTGGCCGTCGTAGCAAACGGCTGAGATCGTGGCGCCTGCGCCTGAGCTTGAGCCTGAGCCTGAGCCAGGGCCGCATGAAGGCCCGTCAGCTGCGTGCCCGTCTTGATGGCGCTCTGGAACTGGCCCGAGGCAGTCTGCTGGATGAGGTTCGCCTGCGAGGACACAATGAAGGTGGGCGCGGCAGCCAGCTGCATGGTCGCTCCATTCGTGCCCACTATCCGCAGCAGTTGCTGCTGCGCCGGCTGCGTCTGCAGTTGGGGCTGTCCCCGGGCATTCTGCTGGATAACTAGCGACGGTGCCGCCGTCAGCTGGGGCGTGGGCGGGCGCAGAATGAGCTGCACGCCCTGCGGATTCTGCTGCACCAGCACGGGCATCTGATTAAGAAGCAGCTGCTGCGGCTGACTGGTGGTGGCTGGCAACAGGATCTGCTGCTGCTGGGTGGGATTGGTGGTCTGCTGCTGGTTTGCTTGCTGCGATGTCTGCGAGATCTGTGCCCCTCCTCCGACAACTTGAGAGCCCTTCTTCTGCTGCTGCTGCTGCTGGAGCTCCGGCTTGGGCAGGATTTGCTGTGGGGCCTTGCCATTCTTGCCGGTGGGCATGCCCGTGACTCCCGCATTGCTCACGAACCGATGTGCCTGCTGCTGCTGCTGCTGCTGCTGGAGAGGCTGTGGCGGGTGCTGCTGCTGCTGGATCGGATGTTGTTGCTGCTGCTGCTGCTGCGGCTGGCTGGTGGCTATGAGCTGACCCTGCGGTCCCTGGATGAACTGGAAGACCTGCTGGGCACCCTGCTGTTGCTGCTGCGGCTGCTGTGAGATGGTGAACTGCTGGGGCAGCATTTGCACGGGCTGTGGCTGCGGTGTCGGCGGCTTAATAGCAGCCGCTGCTATGGCGCCGCTGGGACTCGGGATGGGGCTGTCCGCTATCAGAGGACTGCTGCTCTGGTAGTGCTGGAACTGCTGCTGTTGCTGAGCCTTCTGACCCTTCGCCGGGCCCTTGGAGACGCTGCTGACCACACTTCCGGCCGTAGCGAACGAGGTGGGAGTGCTGATGGCGGTGGCATTGAGTTGTCCATAGCCTCCGCCGCCGGCTGCCACTGCTGTCGCGCTACTGATCGAAGTGGGTGCAACGGCGCTGCTGCTGAAGATCTGGTGGCCCAACTGTTGCTGCACCTGCTGTTGCTGCTGCGTAGCTCGCTTCGTGCCCTTCTGAAAATTTAAAACGGGAATTTTTAGATTTATTAATTACCACTTTATAAACAATATCTTTACCTTATTGAGCTGGATGTTGTTGGAACCCACCAGCGTGGCATTCAGCTCGTTTCCAATGGCATTACTGTGCAGGGCAACACCTACTCCCACTCCCGAACTGCTACCGGCTGCGAGTGTTCCACTTAGACCCGCTCCAGCTCCAGCTCCAGCTCCGGCGGCGGTGGCTATGAGGCCACCACTGGTCACGCCGATGACCGTCGTGGCAGCGGCCGGTGACTGGGAGGGGCTCGGCTGGAAAACGACGGTACCAGCGTTGGGGCTGCCATTAGTGAACTGATGGATGGACTGTCTCCTGCCAGGCGTCGCCGCCTTGCGCTCCTAAAAGAGGATAAATATATTTAATTCTCAATGTGTGATAATTATGCCTTAAAATCTTAAGTGTACTTATTAGAAATGTAAGAAATACATTATTTATTTGTTCTAAATAAATGTTTTAAACATTCCTGCATTGTTTTCCTTTTATTTGATATTGAATACCAATATTTTGAGCTCCTCTTCTTCATTTTTGCACCTTTTTAGCCTTTTTAGAGATCAACTTACGTGTTCCTGGGGATTGCTGTTGGCGTTTACTTGATTGCCACCGGCTACAAGCACCACATCCTGTGGGAACGGCGATAGCGAGGGCGATGGCTGCAGACGAGGGCTAGCTGAGATCGATGGCGATGGACTGGGCGTCAGAAACGGACCCGGAGGAGACAATATTCCTGGAAACGAAACGTAGTGAAATTAATATTTGCTTACCAAAAATTGGACGCACAGTTGACCCAAATAAATATGGAGTGAGAGAGTGAGTGTGATTGTGCAGTGTTTGGGTTCATATCTGGGAGCTGCAATCGTTTTTTGGTACGTGACCAAAGTGGCAACTGTCCTCGGGTCTTCCCCAAGTATCCAAGTATCCAAGTATCTCGCAGACAGACACGAGCAGGCGCATCTTCCATAATTGTCCGCCATTTCACAGAGTTGTTTACTCTGCCGAGGGCCCCCAGTTGAGGCACTCTTCCTTCCATTTTTTTTTTGTTTTTTTGCTCCCTTTGTGCATACAAAAAGCGAGAGGCAACTTAGCACATTTTCAAACACCAGCTGAGAGCCCCCACTTAGCCGCTAACACACACACACACACACACTAGATAGAGATACGGATGCGAGCGGAGCGTTGAGATACAATTTGGTTTTGGGCCAGAAACAGAAACAGAACCAGTTTCATTCGAGTTCTTTGCACTTTTTGCTCATCTTGAGGAGTTCTTTCACAGCTTTTGTTTGGCTTTCAGAGAAGGAGGGGCCCAGAGCACATGGTCCCAAAAATATTGGCAATTATCTGGAGAAGCATTTAATTCAATTGGTTTATCACAAAAGGTGTGTGTTTGCTTGCTTAGAAATAAGAGTTAATCCATCAGATAAACGCTTTTAGATTTATTAAATTACTTCTTTGGTCCAGAGTTCTCTCTCTTCTCTTCTCTCACCATATGGTTCAATAATTTGTTACTCTGTCCAAGTAAATTGAATTAAGGACCAGCACTGAAGGAAGGGGATGGTGTGATGGCAACTATTCTCGGGAATAATTTGCATATATTGCCGCAGCTGGAAAACGACAAGTACGGCGACGCCACCAGAAGCAGTAAAAGCTACACAAAAAAGAGGGCTAAAAGGATGTGGGGCCAGCAGCAGCAGATGCAGAAGTGAAGAGGGAAAGACCACGAAATAAAGAACGAAAGGGAATATAATACGTAAATGGTGGTTCTACAAATCCAAGTAGATTTCAATAATACCCTTTTGTACTAGTTGCAAATGAAAGGGTCTTGAAGAAGTATCTTTAAGATATTGCTGATATTTTTATACCCTTGCAGGGTATTATAATTTCAGTCAGAAGTTTGCAACGCAGTGAAGGAGGCACCTCCGACTATATAAAGTATATATATTCTTGATCAGGATCAACAGCCGAGTCGATCTAGCCATGTCCGTCTGTCCGTCTGTCCGTCTGTCCTTCTGTCCGTCTGTCCGTCTGTCCGTCTGTCCGTCTGTCCGTTTCTACGCAAACTAGTCTCTCAGTTTTGAAGCTATCTGAATGAAACTTTGTAGTTAGCCTTCTATATACTCTCACTCGTATATATGTCGGAACGGGCCGGATCGGACGACTATATCATATAGCTGCCATAGGAATGATCGGAAAATGTTTACAAAAAAAATTTTAACTTTTTCAGTTTTCAATAGAATTAGATCAAATTTGAGATATAGCCATTTTACTATACTCTACAATTTTGTATAAAATTTTATGAATATCGGACTACTATATCATATAGCTCCCATAGGAACGATCGAGAAATTAAAACAATTAAAAATTATAACTTTTTCGGTTTTCAACAGATTTTCATCAAATTTGAGGTATAGCACTTTTATATTAGTCTTAAATTTTGTGTAAAATTTCATGAAAATCGGACGACTATATCATATAGGTGCCATACAAACGATCGTTTAATGTAGAGGAAAAATGCAAATCTGTGAATGTAAAACTGCAAATATAATATGTATTGTAGAATGAAATGAAAGCAGGTATTACTTCATTGTTTTTTAACACAAATATATATAATTTATATTGTATGGATTCCTAGTCATAGAAGTTCTATCTGCAAGGGTATATAAACTTCGGCGTGCCGAAGTTAGCTTTCTTTCTTGTTATATGCTCATTTTTTGGGTAAATCAAAGTTTTCCAACATCATAACTAAGTCAAAAATTCATTAATTTCAATTCGGAAAGCAATTCTGTGCTAATTATCATTAGCTTAACAAATCTGCATATTCTTTTTATAATTTTAGAAAATTCAATTTTTTGCCAAATATTGACAATTTTAATGATGTAACCCCTTATGATTTTTCGCAAAAATCGAAATGATGTCAAAATTTTATTTTTTGCCCGGACATGGCTAGATTGATTCAGCTTTCGATGGTGATCAAGAATATATATAATTTATGGGGTCAGAAATGACTCCTTCATAACGTTTCATGCTTCGGACTTAAATTATATTCTTCAAAAAGTTATAAAAAACAGACAATTTTTATACCAAATCTAAGTTTTTCTAACATCACAAATAAGCCGAAATTGCATATATTTTAACTCGGAAAGCTTTTCTGTGCGAGTTTTTAAAGCACTAACAAATCTGCATACTGCGTTTGTTGGTGCAAATATAAGCTTCTGTCTTAAATAATAAAATCCTGCAAAGGGGTATAAAAACAGACAATTTTTGTCAAAAATCATAGTTTAAAAAACTCGTAACTAAGCCAAAAAATCATTAACTTTAATTCGGAAAGCTTTTCTATGCTAGTTTTTGTTAGGTTAATAAATCTGCATACTCAATTTATAATTTTAGAAAATTCAATTTTTTTTTGCAAATTTTTGCAGTTTTTAATGATGTAATCTCTTATCATTTTTCGCAAAAATCGGAAAAAAGTCGAAAAATTTCTTTTTTGCCCGGACATGGCCAGATTGATTCAGCTTTCGATGCTGATCAAGAATATATATGATTTATAGGGTCGGAAATGGCTCCTTCATTACGTTTCGTGCTTCTGACTGAAATTATAATACCCTCGAAAGGGTATAAAAACGGTAAGAAAGAATTTATTATATAGGGCCACGTTCTTTTCACCTTTTAAAAAATGAAAAAGAAACACAAAATAACTAGGAAGGAATGTTTTAATTGTGAAGTATATATTATAATATTTTCAAGCCAATAGCATATGCAATACATGGAGGCAGAGGATAAGCGAATATAAGCATGCATCAAATCGACATCGTTGTCGTCGTCGTCGTCGTCGTCGTCTCCTTGTTTCTCATTGGAACAGAAAATGGATGAGATGGAGGCAAAGGATGCAATGGAGGCGATGTGTTTCAGAGTCTTTTGCCATCGCAGCATCATTATCGACAGCAAAACTAAATGCAAAAGAATTCAGCAAGCGCCCCTTGGCAGCACAATTGCTCCTACTCCTCCTCCGAATGCCTCCCGCTGGCATTCAATCCTCGTCACAAGGTGGCCAGAAGGAGCAGGAGCAGGAGGAGCAGGAGGAGCAGGAGGAGCAGGAGGAGTAGGAGTAGGAGCAGTAGAGATTGTGTGTTCATCGTGATATATTCCTGGCAACGAGAAATGCGAGTCTGCTGTCTTTTGTATGGTGCCGCCGGTTGGTTGCCTTGGCAATGTTTGTTTGCAGCCAGCAAAGGATTCGGAGGGGATGAGCAGATGGGTCACCAGTCGAAATCAAAAGCAACAGTGCCATGGAGCACATATACATATGTATATACATATGAATGATAGTCTGAGGGATGGCGGATAATCACATGTTCAACTTGATTTACCTTTGACGCTTTTGTCGTCGCATTTCCATTTCAATTACGTAATTAGATAATTTGTTGTCGATGGATTAGAAAGCATTAATAGCAACGCAAATATTATTGTGTAATATTTACAAAAATAATCATAAACATGTCACATAATGCGTAAGCTTTTACTAAACTTAAATTGATGAAATCTTACTATTATATTTCATGTTTTGCAAGTCTATCGTCCTTGATAAATTATTATTATTTGAGTCTGACAAAACATCTTTAAAACGCTTCTAGCATCCTGAATTAAAAGTTCCAAAGAGCAATTACCGAATGAATTAATTAGAAGCGGTCGCAGACCAGCATTAAATTAGTTTATATATTATTTATAACATCCAAAAGCTTTATAATTAGACTGGCTGCCGTTGCCTAAAAGTATCCAACGATTGACGGCGATATCTTTGACACGAAAACTCCCTTTTGCCACAGTCTTTAATTAAACAGTTAGCAGCGGGAGGCGGAGTAAGCCAGACGACGGAGCCAAAAACAGAGACAGAGCCAGAGCCGCCTTGGTAATTTCACACAAAGGCAACCACAAACGCAACTAACAGAAGCGGCGAAGGACGACGACGACGACGATGGGTGGGTGGAAAAGGAAAAAAGGGGGAAAATTGGGTGACTGCAGGGGGGGAAAGGAAAAAATTGAAAGAGAAACTAAAGGATAAATTGACAAGCAGACACACAGAGATACTCAAAAACTTTTCCTCCCGTCGAACCACAGATGAGCGCACTTTTGGCTGCCGCCTGACATGGCGAAAATGGTTTGTGTGGATGCATGGATGGATGCTGGATGGATGCTGGATAGATAGATAGATAGATGGCAGCTGGAACTTGGGTGCCGAATGGGGGGGGGGGATAGGAATGGGGCATTGGTGGCACCGCCTGTTGGTAGCCAACTGCCTGGCGGCCATTTGCTTGAGTGTCTGGGCGCAAAACAGAGGCAGCAGCAATGGCAACAGCATCCACATCCAACCATCCACGGTCTGAGAACGTTCCTTTCGAGGAATCGTTCACTGAGAGAAAGAAGTATTCAATATGAAATTGAAATATAAAGAAAGCTAAGACACTTTCAAGCCTATACTGTGATACTTGACATATGCTTTTTAATATTTTAGTAACGTATTCATTTGACAAAGCCTTAAAAGATACTTTTACTTAGATACTTGCCATCTGTATACTTATTTATATATTTTAGATACTTATATAATTCCATAATAAATCCCAGTTTCCTTATTATTCAACCTGGTTTTTCTCTCAGTGCTTCTCCTTGTCTAAGCTTCGTAATATTTTGCATTTCGTGCCAGGACTGAGGCAGAACCAAGCGGCAGTTGGTCGC